TACTTAAGATAGGCCCTTGCTCATTTTTTTTGGTGGTCATTAAGCGCTTACAAGAAAATTTTTTGATTTTTTGTTCCTTCTGGGAAAGAATAATTTTTTGCAAAATTACTGTGCCTTCATTTTAGATATTTCAAGGTGTCGGAAAAAAATTATTGTAGTAACTGAGTTCAGTTGTTTCATAACTCTTGCAATAAAAAAGCTAAAAATTAATGTTTGAAACAATGTTTGAAGTTATTTTTATATTCTTTAGAATCTACGTGGTTTCTACTATCTATATTAGATATTTAGTTCGAGATAGAATCGAAAGTCGTGTAAAAAGTCGAAAATCATAACTTTTACCAAAAATCCGTTCACTATGAATTCCTAATATAAAGCAGAATTACTGATTCTATATTGAAACTCCTGTGCTATTGAGGTCGAATTCGTTCTTTACCGAGCTATTTTCTTGCTAATTCTATTCTTTTCTTAGAACTTCTTTTTATATAACTTTATGAGAAAAGCAAACGCTGAAAGAAATTTTCTAAGAGCTTATCCACCCCAGCAATAAAGACATACAACTAGTTCTTCATGTCAAACAATTTTTTTGCCCATTTGTTCTGTGAACATTGCAATAAATGTTCGTGTTACCCAAGCACCATAGTACATACATCCTCAAAACTTCTTCATACATTGTTATTACTGCTTTTTATACTTACCATACTGCGAGTTTCACATGTTCGAACAGCAGACTCGGATTTTACAACGTTTCAAATGCGTTCAAAGCGGATTTACTTTGTTTCGAGAAAGTTTTTTGTCCCAAATAGCGGCATGTGTTCCAACGAGCATATGTTGTGCCGAGAACCGTTAACCATGTGATGTTGGTTACATATGGTCTGAGTATGTTGGCCATTTATTTTGGGAACTCTAGAAATTCTAGGAATTCTTTAGAAAATCTTGCAAGTGTCCGATAAGCTCTATATGGAGTGCACATCTCACGATTCCTGCCATTATCACTTGAATTCTTTGCATTTTTCTCATTCTATGCTTATTCAATGGTGCTATAAATAATTCTGGAAGTTTATACTTATAAATTTGAGACTCAAATTCGTAGGCTTTTTACCATCGAATATTGATCAGAATTTCTCAGCCATTATATATGATCCTATAAAATTATGGCTTAGTATGTTTTCAAGTCGAAACCAGCTACTGATTGTGAGAACGTTTTAAAAAGCCTTTGTATAAATACAGCACACGCCTACTATACACTCAAAAATAACATACTTCAAGAAAATCAAGAAAATCATAATTAAAATGACGCTTTTATTGACAGAACAAAATTTTCCCTATCAGTACCCCAAGAATAATTATTTAGAAATCTCATAAAGAAATCTTAGTAAAATTTGCGTTTGACCAATTTCTTGGCTTGGTGTTTTCCATTCAGGGACCCTTCGAATTCTAATAATGGCAAGATTTCGATTAAATAAGCATGAAAAAGTGTTATGCGCTTACTTTAGTAGTTTTCAAATCGAAGCCAGTTACTAAATTGTGGAAATGTTTTAAAAAGTCCTGTTCAGCTTCAGCTTCTGTCAGAAATGATTATCAAAATAAAACTGTTGAGTTGTGCTATACCATTCCTTCTCCCCATAAGTAAAAGATTTTTTTTTCATTTGGACAACGAGAGGTGTAAACAACGCTGCCTAATGTATGAGGCCCCTACGTACCAGATCCGTGCTAAGAATCATATTTTATACTTTGTAAAAACAATCCATCAGTGCATTCCTGAATTTCATTTGTACTATTGATAAATCTAGAAGGTGACCTTGAACGAATTTTTTTGGAACAACTTTACCGACAATTCATTAACAATTTCTAGGTATCTTTTGAACTTAGGTAAAGCATGAATTTTTTTCAAAAGCTCTCGTAAAATCATCGCATTTAATCTACTTTGCAAATTTTTGTCTTCTGGTCAAAGTTCTCCGCGAAGCTTACTTTCTTTGGTTCAGTTCCTTCTGCAAATAATAGCAATTCTGCTTTCTCCCAATTTTGCAGGCGTTTTTACTAGCACCATATTTAATCACCATCATCAGTCATACGCTCGTCGTTCTCAGGTCATGTATTTTGACATTTATGATTTTTTGAGTTGATGGAATGTCGTAAGTGTTTGAGTCATTATGACAAACTGTCTCCGCGAAAATTCATATTAAATTTTGATTTTTGGTATCTGCGAAAAAATTGGAAAATCTGAAAGGTCGAGAGTTGCAATTGTTTACTACCTACTTGCTTTTTGTTGACGTCATAGCGCATTCTTTGACAGTTGCGATGTTCTGAGATTTTCGAGTAAGCTTGCAGCTTGTCTTCCACTTTTTATCATCAAATTCTCTTCCTTGTAAGTATTTGCTCAGATTGTCTTAGTGAAAATCAAAGAAGTACAGCGGCCAACTTTTTGCTCACATTTTATCTCACTATATTTTACGTATTAATGCCTTTTTAATCCTTGAAAAGCACTTTCAAAAAACTCTCAAGGATCGGAGTCTTTAAGGTTTGTATACTTTTTGATTTCGCAATTTCCTATGGGTGATTGAATCCTCAGCGAATTTCCTATTGAATGTTGACCTCTGTGAGTCAGTGATTGCACCCAAACCTGATTTTGCCGACTTTTGGATGCTAAGTTTTTCGTAATTATTTATTCGTTCGAAATTAATATTATTCATAGTTTGAAGAAATAATATTTTTTTAATCAAAGAATTATTCATTCATATCAATATATAATTTTCGACATAGTTTTCTGAAACATATTTCGAGTTGCCTTATGAATCATTTCATGAGTCCTCAAATTCCGAGCTGTATATAAGCTCAAAAGCCTTCTACGTTTTGAAAAGTGCTTCAAAGCGCTAGCTTTTCTCGAGGTTGCTCACCGCCGGAATGACAAATTGGAGAAAGAATTGCCTGTCATTTATAATATTCGAAGCATGAAAACAACAATTGATAGTCTGCTTCCGACGCAGCAATATTTAAACGGAACTACTATCTGGAAAGTTTGTGGAGGAAATCAACAAACCGAGCTTGGTTAGTCTTTTTGCTAGTTTTTGCGGTGAACCTGGGAGTATAGGTATGATTTAAACAAAAAATTATCCACAAAGTGAATTTCTACCAACAATCTATGTTCTAGTGAACCTACAGAATGAACCAACCTTTTTGTTATGTACACCCTGTTTTACTTCACTAAGATTTTTGTTATTGTCATTTCTGTTGTTCAGCTCACCGTTTCATTTCCCTCTTTTTTAGACTTTCATAAGTATTCATTTTGTTCTACTTTTTTGCGAACATTTAATTGAGTTAAACAATGCCTAAACTACAACAAAAGATCTAAGCAACCTCGCCACACCATTATAAGAGACATAGGCAGCGTTCAGAGTTGCTTGCGCCAGTGCCGCTCCAGCGCCGTGCCAGCGTTATACCGCTATCGTGTCGGCGGCGGTAGATTGATCAATAAGCGGTGCTTGAAGGTGGGTTTGGCACGGCGCTGGCACGGCACTGTACGAACGTGACACATAGGCTACTCTGGGCGCATGGCTGCTATTCCGAACATGACATTATTGAGTGATTTCTTTTTGTAAATTTGCTTATTTTTGATTCAAATCCATGTAACAGAGCAATATCGGTAAAACTGTAAAGTGTCTGATCTTTAACTGGTTTATCTGTAATTTTTTCTAATTCTGAAACTTACACATACACCACTGTTTTCAAAGAATGAGATCAATATCACCGAAAAAACGAACACACACCATCTAAGGGCACTTTGTCATCGTTCTGTTATGCATTGTCCTATTCTATGTTTCTTTATGGGCTCGATAACAGCAATTCTTTCTTATATCTGTTGAAACTTGTACAGACATTGTTTTCATAGGGTTTGATAGCGAAATTTCTGCACGTGTGCAGCCATTCTAAGAAGAACTTCTTGAAATAATCGAAATTCTTTGGTTGCTTGCTCATAATTGAGTCAGTGTCTTTGAATGCATTAATGGTTACCTTTGGAATCTTATTCATCATTGTGAGAAAACTTCGCGATTGCTTCATAGCACCGAATTTTAGTATATATAGTAGTTTCTCTTTCAAAACTACTCTTTTACACTTGGTGATACTTTGGCTCATAAGTTTTGCACAGAAAAAATCTGAAGGAAAAAGTATTCCCCTTCAATTGCAACGACTTTGTTTGATCCAGTGCAGATTATTGGTCAGTAAGAACGCTAAAATAAATAAAATCTGATAATTTTCAAACGGTTTTGCAACAATTAAGCTCCAGACTTCTTGTACAACTATGCTCCACATTTTCTGGATTTTTCTACATTTGATAGCAAAAATTTTCTTTTTCATTTCTTTTGTCTCCTATCAAAATCTAATGTATCTAGTAAAATAAACTTGTTGTAGTCAAAAAATTACACATTTCAAATTGAAACATGCATTCAGACAGTTTTGAATGATTTTCCCAGAATTTTTGACTAAGGCTTGTGCAGCAACTCACTAATGATCTAATTGTCTATTTTCTTGATGTTTTCGCAAAAAAATCTGATTTTTAAAGCTTATTGCAAATCCATCAGCTGCAGATATTCTATCAACCATTCTGTCTATAAGTTTGCATTAACTTTTTCATTCCTGGCTCAGTTGACGTCATTCTTGCACCAGTATACACTCTTATCGCATAGTGTACATTTCTACTTATAATGACGATCCTCTCGAAAGTATTTTTTCTCTTCTCTTTCTGTTCTGCTTTTTTCAAAAAATGTGAGCACACTGCACCACTGTGAGCAGTATAATGGAAATGTGGGCTACCTAAGACATGTAACAAAAAAATCCGCCACGTCTTTGACTTTATTTTTATTATATTCTTTTCGTAGCTTATAGAGTAGTTCCTTGTCATCAGAATTTGTTTTATATGTGATTTTTGTAAATCGTACACCAAGGCCTTTATTTAATGCCTTTTCTTAATTCACAACAGTTTCTGCTTAAAGCAAAATTTTCAGAGAATGTCCTGCTCAAGGGAGGTGGAGATAGCGTTGAGATATCTTCAGCAAGTGATCTCGTCACAAAGTCCACATTTGATATTGAGTAAGTTATTTTCTGGAAAGAAATTTTCCGATGTGATACTCAAAATTTTTTTGCTAAATGGTGACAATACTAAAATTGCTGAATTTGCATGAGCCAAACTTACTACGGACTCCTTCCTTTTCATTTTGAGTTTAGGGTTGAATTCTGATTTTCAAGTATGGTAGTCCTTCGTCATCAAAATCAATTTTAATTGCTTTGCTTTGAAAAATAATGTGCTTTTCTATGTTTGCAGCTTAGAGTCGCTTTATCATCATAAAGAGCTGCATTCTTCAAAAAACCATAAAATAAAAATTGACTTTGAATAAAAGCTCAGAGCTTGAAAACCAGGAATCGGCCCTAAGCTGAGGTACCTTCAACTAATCATGAAGTAAATTTTGCTCGGGTTTGGCCTACTCGCTTCTGTTTATTTTGTTCGTAATCCGAAAAGATAATCTTTTTCCAGTAAATTGGAACAAAAAAATAAATCTTTCCCAACCTGCCTTATTAGCATTTAGCGAATAAAATTCGTACTCCTAAATATTTCAGATAGCACTTCGGCTGTATTTGATGCCGTGTCAGTTAATTGCAACAATAAAGATAAGCGATTACAGGTAATAATCAATCAAAATCAATCAAAACTTCACTTTCTTTGGGAGAAAAAGCTCCAGTCGATCTATAAAGTGACACTTTTATGTTGCAGGCTGCACTTGTTCAGTTACTACGATGTACCGATAGGGAATGTGTGAAAGCGGATGCACAACCCAAAGCTCAAGAAATACGAAATGCAGTCGAACAACTTTCTGAGGTATTTTGGCTTTTTTTGCATTGGTGACAAATTCTAGGTCATAGTTTTGGTGCTATCATTAAATAAAATTGGTAAAAAGTGTCTTTTTTTTTCAAAAATTCAGCATTTCCTCTACTCACAGAGAGAAAACTCGGTTTCAAAATGATATCGGCTGCCTACTCTTCTCGCAAAAGTTGCAACTATACATTCGCTGAAATTCATTCGTAACTTATTATGTGGATTATATACTGCACACTCCATCCAACGGCGATACTTTAGCGAAGAATAGTCAGAAGAGAGAATTCAGTGAAGTGCACAGTTGGGAATGATCATTTATTTCTGTTTTTACTTGCTTCCCAAAGAAAAGAAAACATTGAGAAGACCATAGAGATTGACAGCACACAAGTCGTAAAATACCGCGCAGTATGTGCAGTAACATACATACTAGTTGGCAAATTTTAGGGAAACTTGTCGCGCAAATTGTTGCTCCGTTTTCGGAAATCTCGAACTGCATCTTTTCAGGTTAATTTTCACAAAAATCTTCCCTCTTCGTCCAAACAACAAGCTTCACTGCACCTAAGACGAAATTTTGCTAATTTTAGCCTAATTAGAGCAGACTATTGAGATGGATTGTAATAAATTAATAGAAGTATTCGTCCAGCCTACTATTCCGAAGAATAAATGATGAACGTAAAATACTCAACACTGCATAGCCATTCTCGTTCCAGCGGTAGCTTGTGTAACTGCACCATTTCAAATATCTTTTGCGCAGCGAGCCGATCGTATAGAGTTTAGACAGTGCGAAACGATGAAAACTGACTCCAAACAAAGACATGAAGTAAAGAAAAATACAAACTAGCATAAATGGATGTAAAAAAGAAGGTTTTCACTTCAGTGGCACAGGTGTGTCAGCGCGAGTTCAGAGAGTAATGCGAGCGCACAAAGTGACTGATAACAGCCCTTTATTGAGGAGTATTTGGGGTTTATATGGTGTGCTTGCGTTGCAGACAGCACTTATGCGTAAGCAATCAGGATTTGAGGCCATACGCGCAAGTTAAAAGCAAGTTGACGCCATTCATAAGCGTGGCATTTGTTTTCGCAAAGATGTTGTCATCACCGCAAGGACACTGTTTTGACTGTATGTGGACAGTACGCTAATTTTGCATGAGATAGGAATCGAAAAACTTTTTTTTGAGACAGGAAGCGTTTATTTGTGAAAAAAAATTTTTATGTTTGCCTAATGATTTTTGACCAGTTTTACAAATATTTTCACTTGAAACTCTGCTTCACTGACTAATCTTAAGCCAAATATTCAGCAGAATCTTACCTGAATTTCCTTCATTTAGGCCGTCAAAAGCTGCTCAGCGGCAGCTCCGAACGCTAGCGTAAGCGGTACGGAAACGCCCCCTCCAGACTTCAACACGGGACAAGACACAAATCATAAAGCTGAGTCTGATGTACAGGAAGAAGACAATGTAAAGTCCACCCTAGAAGAGGAACGCACCCTTGATGATTTGCTAAATAAACTGAATTTGAGGTGATTCTGAACATCATGTGGACGTTTACGATTTCTTTATTTATAGGAAAGTGCCGAAATTTTCGCCTACTTTCCCAGATTTGGATACAGCTGAGTCAGATGACGATTATGGAGTGACAACAGATGAAAGAAAAGAGGAAAGAGAGGAGAAACATGGGCAAAAGGTTATCAATTTCCTCCGTGTCCATTATGAATTTTTGCAGAAATTCGGCTATTGTAATGTTCTTGAAGTTGTTCTTTTCATAACAAAAATTGCAAAAGATGTACATTCTACCCATTTGCTTATGACGTCTAAAGGCTTCTTACAAAAACATCAAAATTGCTTGTTTGAATACAGAAAAACACTACTGTCTTTAGAAAGTAGATTCTTTTCGTCCCAAGATAACTTCAAGCTGATCCATGAGTGTTGCACCAAAAATAGTAGAAATTCATTTTGAGAATGTTCAAAGAAGAGGCAGATATGCCACATGCTATATATCATATGTAATAAATGCTGTATTTTATTGCTCACATTAGAAACTGAGTCCAAAACAAAGTTAGACTGAATGAATTGAAGTGAGTAATCATTGCAGATCAATTTTTATGGGAATTTTCAGCAATTCTAATACCAGGTGAAAGGGATTTGAATGTTCCTAAATCTGCTCGTATCGTCGAGTACAGGCTTTGAATTTTGAGGAATTTTCGTGCAAGACTTATAAATCAGACTCTAGTATATCATTTACCTCTGCCAAACAAAGAACAGTTAACTCATGGCGTCAAACTCATTCTTTCAATAGTAACTTCCGAAAATGGCTTAATCTGAGGTAATCAGCAAGTTCTACAATGTGCACATTTGGCATAAGGTACATTCTGAAACGTCCGGAATACAAATTTTCACAAACTTCCACTAATGGCCCTGGATCCTTTTTCTGTGTTCTTGTTGTATTTGTCTTGATTCTATTTTTGAAAACACTCTATTTGCTCGCATTTTCAGCTCTGCGAAGAGGAAGTACAGAAAATGCCAGATGGTTCGGAAGTACGTGTCAAGAAAACCAGAACAGTTAATGTGCAACAAAGTCGAAAACATGTAAGTGATTGTTCTAAATAATTCACATTTAATTCTCGTTTCCAAAAAAACCGTTTCGCGGAAGGCACTTAAGTGAAAGATCGAAATTATATTCGCAAGAATCTTTTAGTTCACAAGTACAGCAGAGTTTGCAAGTCTTGAGAGAAATACGAATTGCGGCAAATTTCTTTTCGTGACGTGTTGGCAAAAACGTTATATCAAACCAAAACGTTAGACTTTTCATGAGCACTTCTAAAATAGATCTCAACTGATGACAGTCTATCGCTCAGTATATATTCAAAGTTTTAGAATTGCTACTGTTCATTCTGTGCCACGTAATTTTAACGGCAAGATGTCACAGTGTGATGCCTTTTTCCTTAGAAGTTTTATAGACTTTTCCTAAATTTTCTGCTGACCTTGGGATTTCCGGAAAATTGGAAATTACTGGCTTGGTTAATTACTCAAACATCAAAACCTTTTGCACAAAGCATTTGGTAGTATGCTCTCATCACTTCAGTTGACTGTTAGCATGCTACTAACTTACTACCACTACCGATGAAAACCTTACCGTCGAGCTGAGTTACCGTAACCCCAAAATTTTACCAAGCGCAAAAGTTATGGAAGCATTCGCAGCATTTGAATAAGCTCCGTATTAATGATTTCCTCATATTCGCGTACTTCATATCCTATTTATTTTTAGTGCTCGTTTTATATTTACTCTCCATTTATAATGTAGGTAACCATATCAAGTCGTGGTGGTGGTTGTCCTGGAATCACTCGGCATTTCACCGACGGCAAAAGTGCGATGCAGGAGGACGAGGAAGAGGAAGAAAGTGATTTCTTCAAAAGGGATCCCTTTGATAGGTTGGTTTTTACTGTCATTTCGATAAGATGTCCTTCCGAGCTGAACTTTACAGGTTCCGAAGGAGACATGCGCCTGATATAGAATCGCTTGAATTAGTTTCTGCAACGCCTGGTACGATTTTATTTTTGGCTTTTTTCGGGGAGATGAAGGGAGGAATACTGTCGGAATATAGCTTATCATGATAAATTTACTTTCTGTTTGCAGTGTAATACACTTGCTGATTGATACGGTGTAACTGCAGTGAAGGCAACATTTGCGCGGAAACAAATGTTATGTATGCGAAATACTTGGTTGCGAATTGCGCGTAAAAAAGTGGAGTTAGAGGGCGCATTGCCATAACTTACGCGCAAACGTTGTCGGCGACGCAAAAACACTATATTGTTCGTTGCTCCATTTTTCTTAGCTAAAATAGAGAAATGGAAGGTTCCTTTCAGATTTTTAGAAAATCATGACCCTCCGATTTATATGTACAATGAACAATTTAGATAGGGATCTCATCGCATAAAAAAGCAGATTTTTTTAGGGGCTGGACAGTCCATGAAGACCAAGAGCGTTGAGCGAACTAGTGAAGTAACACAATCAGTCAGTGAACGAAAAGAACGCGATGGACGAGTTTTACGCGAAAATGCAGCTCAAAAACTCGACAGCTCTGCGCTAACTGCTCGCCAGACGGATACATATCAGGTAACATTACAGCTTTATTTTTTTTGGGAGGGAGGGGGGTGTACATGGAATTCGAAACATGCAAACAGCAGGCAAACAGAAGTTGCGTCAACTTTTGCGCCACGTCTGTATCGCGAAAGGCCCCCAAGACTCGCAGTCTGTTTTGTAAAACAAAACTTTGACGCAAGGTGTTTGTCTTGGCGCGAATTCAAAATCGTCGCATCCGCACAACACCCCTTTGCCTAAATAATATCTTTTGCATCTATGATGGAACTCGTCCCAGTTGCCAGGAAGCAAGCGCGTCGCAAGACGTCTGCATTGAAGAAATGTTGACATGAGTTTTATTTGCACATCGCTGTCCGTGCTTAAAGCGCTCGTCATTTTGCAGCGCTGCAAACTTCTCATTCTCGCAATGAGAAAAAAGCTTTGAAGTTCCCGAGTTTTCGGAAAATTTATTCTATTCAATCGGGAAAGTTATTGGCAAGGCAATTCGTAAATTCCCAATATGTTCAAGGCTGTCGAATACAGATTTTTTATTCGCCTTTGTATCACTTTGTTATTGCGTCCCTAAGGATTTCTATACAAATAAATTTTGCTTCAATTCAATCGAAGTATAGGCAGTAGACAAAAAAGTTTGTGCTTCGTTTCTGTCCTTGTCTTGAGCCGTGAGCGCAGCCAGTTAGTACTTCATTTTGCTAATGTTTGAGTGCACTATTTCTAAGATGAAGTCGGCCATCGGGACCTATTTTTCTTAAACCGCACTATAACCGTGTTTGATTGAGTATAAATAATAACATTTTGTTATGTCTTACCAAAAAGGTAGGAGTTTTATCATCACATCCTGAAAACAGTGCAGTTATTAGCAAAAATAGTGCACACATTAGCAAAACGTTCTTGTTGCCGCGGGGCCTTGTAATGCCCTAAATGTTGAATACTATTGCTATAGCATTTTAGTTAGTTATTGCAGTATACACTGCATTGCATCAACGTATACATATAATACCCACAATGCATTTGTAGCCTCGATTTGTGGATCTGGAGATATCTGGCAGGTTGCCAAATCGCGCGGCCACCGAAACCGCGCCAGATCCTGCTTTTTTGTAGCAAAAAAGCAATGTTTTCCTTCGCTAACTTCTGGCCATTCATTTAGCAAAGCCGAAAATGTGCATTTTGCACAAGTCAAACTTCTTCAAGCATTTTCAGGGCTCACATTTGCTCGATCGAAAAGGGGAGGGCACATATGAAGAGAGCTGCGTTGTGCGCGGTGGGCCGCTTGCTCTTGGACCACAACCTGTTCTTCCACCACGGAAGCATGTTATAGAATACATGCAGGTAAGCCAATTTCTTTTTTCTTTTTTCCTTTAGTTTTCGCTCTTGCTTCCAAACAAATGGTTTAGTCTTTTTCGTCATATTTCCTAGCAAAATTTTCGAGATGCTCAGAGTTTTTTCTAGTCCATTTTGTTGACGTCACTATTTTATGCTTATTCAGAAATAAACTAAAAATTTTCTAAAAATGCTTGGTACCATGTGCGTGCTGCTATCTCCAGTGTGTATCCTAAAACCAATCTCAGCAAACAACCAATTGTTCTGTTTGTTTACTCCCATGAACAAAAGGAAATCTATCCGAACCACATCTGACTCTTAAACTCTCTTTCACTTTCTTCGTCCATAGCATTTCTTGCTACGACTTTACAATTTGCAGACGTTTGGCAATAAAGAGAACACAGACGTGGACTTTTTCCGTGGAACGGCACTCTCATCCTACATCACTCTAAATGACAATTTGCGATATCACGAAGAACAGTTTCGAAAAAAGCTACAATTCGAGTTTTCCACAGCAGGTGAAGATTATTCAAGAAACTTTTACTTTTACTGCTTAGTACTTTTTTGAACTGTAATCCGACGAGGCTATCCATAAGAAGAAAAAAAATCACGTGAGAGTACAGCCAAAAAGCTAACAGCTGCGGATAGGTGTAATGCGAAAAGAACTCTTCTTACTTTTCTTGGCCCTTACAACGGAGTAGGATTTTTCGTTTCCCTGTTTCTTCTGGTTTACAACGTCGAGGTTGCTTCATCATGAGTTTCCATGGCGAAGCTTCTATTTCTCCAGGAGCTTAGTCAAGGGGTTGGGGGGACAGAGCCTATTATATTAGTACATTGTATTGACATACCCATCTAGGGCAGAAACAGGCAGTATATTAGCTTATTGTTAAAAAAAGTTTAGGTGGTTGAAATTTTCCACAAAGCTCTGTAGCACGGGCAATGAGAAAAACACCTAAACGAAATCTAGAGCTTCTACGTTGCAGCGCAGGGAACTTAATTTTGAGTGTTTATACACCATTTACGGTATCCCAACTGACTTCCACCAGGCTCTGAAAGAAAAATGATAAGTTATACCTAGCATTCAGAACTCTGCTGACCCTTGCAGAATTTCTTAGAATTTATTTTGTGCAATGTCAACTCATTGCGGTGGTTGGAGTTACAGTTCAAGCTATGATTTACTTATCCGTGATAAAGAATTTGTTTTCAAACAATTTCTGAGATGAATTATCCTGGTTACTAGACGTCATAGAGATCTTTTTATCTTGACTTCTTCAACTTTACTACATTTTGTCGTCTCAGTTTTTTTTACTACATTTTGTCGTCTCAGTTTTTCATTAACTGTTATTAATAGTCACTCTTTTCATTCTGTTCTACTCGCTATGTAAGTTCAAGTAATATGTTCTCTAATGCGGTTTTCAAGGACAAGTTTTTGCTTACCTTAAATCACTCACTTTCTACACAACGATCTCATTACGATGCCAGAACTGTATAATACTCTTTGAGTCAAAACAGCATCCACACCTTAATTTTCTTTAAATCGAAGTCACAGTTCTGAAAAGTTTTTACCATCTACTGTACTACTGGGACGCCAAGTTGCGCTTTCAAAAATTCTAAGTGTTCGACTGCTAGAAACGCTATGACAAAAAACTGCTTAGCAAGAGTTCTTTTTCGAAGAGATTTAACCGGATGAAACATTAATAATTTCTTGACTTGGTTAGTGTTTTAGGTGCAGAATTTTCTTTAAGTAAATCTAAATTTCCCAATATTATCCAGCAATCTCGAGCTGTGAACCTTTTCGAGGTTTTCATTCATTTGCACACCTTTTTCCAAAATCGCAAGCCCCCTAAAAACCTCGGTGCTAATTTTAATCCTTACGAATGCGTTGTTGCAAAGATCCACAGAAGCGTTTCGGGCAAGGTGTAAGTAGAACCATAAGAAGCAATACAGACAAAGCGAAAGCGTTTCTTTGATAATGTACTTCCATATATGACCTTCGCGACGACCGGTTCGCTGATATCGCACGCGACTTCGCGTCACAGTGAAATCGCAGGCGGCTGCGATCATCGCGCACACGCGCCTGCGACATCCTGTTGATTTGCGTTATCACACGCATATATCATCGAATCGCACCCCCACGTGCGCTACAACACACCGCTTCTTCATCGCTGTATGTTTTGCGGATATTCTTCGGATAAGGAGTCTAATAACCCGTACTGGGTACCTATCGATTGGTACGTCGATCTACTAGGTAAATCGCATGGTTTGTTTGATTTCACACTTGATTTCTCCTAATCACTTTTGGCGGGAAAGACCCATGTTTTTTTGAATTTTTTCTTGTCCCTAGCATACGCATTTTTCACAATTTCACAATCAAAAAAAATTCAACATATCCACATTTGTATGTTTCCTAGCTTCACGTAAGATGTATGACATAGCGCATGAAAACAAGAAAGACGAAGTGGCAAACTCCGCCCACTTTCTCTTAGACTTGTGCTGTTGTTTTGTTTCAAGGTGTTTTACGATTTCTTACTTTTAGCTCTTGTTATTTGTAGGAAGTTGCCTATGCATAATAATTAAATAAAATGTATGTAGCGCTCAGAGTGCCAGAACACTAAAGTGATTCAAAAGTGGCAAGCCCCTCCCCTTTGCCCTAGACTCCTCCCTATGCCCAGATATATCACACAGATGAGAGTGAACCTGCAGATTTTGAATGTCTTTTATGCACTGGGTACTCCCAGAAAATTGCAGTTTGGCAAATGTTCGAAAATTACTTTGCCAGTCTAATTTGTATTTTTAGGAACATCCAGAGTAACTCCAGATTTTACAAACCTAGCCGACCTCCTTCAAGATGCTGAGTTTGGACAATTCAAACTCCCCTCCAAATGGGCAGAGGAAGAAAAAGAGGTAACAATTATCTGGGGTAATACTGAATACAGTACTACTTACTATAGGATGACCACGCCCCTCGCCAAGCGATTGATTGGTTGGAGCGGCGCGCAATCGCGAATGTACCGGAAACAATCTGTACCTTAGATGCATCCGAATATCTTGTAATGCGAGCAAAAGAAGACACGTCGAAACCTCCAGAGGTTAAATTTTTGAAATGGGAGGAAATATCACATGAAAATTCCGGGGAAATTTTATAAGAAATTTTTTTTTCAGGTTCGAGGGGGTCCACGAGATGCGCTAATTGTGCATGCAACTGAGCATAACTCCTCTGTACTTTTTCAAGAAGCATTCCTTGTCACTTATCGAACGTTTATATCGTCACATGATCTCATTAACAAACTCATTACAAGGTTTTTTTCATTTTTACAAATTGGCGATAATATTTTGTACAGTGAAAATCTACAGATACGTGTATATGTCCATGTCGGGAGATCGAGCATCGCAATCAGCAGCTCGGCTAACATTTTCTGTCCTAGTACGAGTAGTGGATGAGCTCACAAATTATGAGTTAAGTGAAGCACTCGTACACACAGTCACCTCATTCGTCTATCGCCTTATACATGAGGGAAACCTTATATTTGCCCGTTTGCTCAGGTAAGAATTTTTCAAAAATTTCTTTTTGGCGCGAAAACAACCTGGCAATATCGAGTTCTGCTGACCAGCCTTTTTCTTTGAAGAACACTGTTCTATTTCGAGACACATCAAATTTCCCAACGTATTGCGGTTTTATTGCCGGCAACTTGCGTGCATTTGCAAACCTTCGACGAACCTGTCCATTTCACCTTACACTGGAAAACGCCCTATTGCGGCACTGAAGCATTTTTTATGGCAGTTTTATAAGCGAGAAGAAAAGAACATTATTACTCTTCAATGTTTGTAAACTCTTCTTGTCGTTGAAGAAGTTGAACCAAGGAGATAGGGAAGTAACAAGACCTTGACGCTGTTTTGAGAGAAATTACTTGCGTCTCAAAGAAACGACTGATACGATTAATTCTGTCGGGGAAATTTCGTGAAGAACCTGAGGTTGTAAAGGTTTTCACAGTCCAGAGATTCTTCTATTTTATAGATTGGCATTATTTCAGATTTCCCAACACATAATGAATGTTTCTTTATTTATGTGATAGATTCAGTAGTCTTCTAGAATAATAGACTTGAAAAAAAATCACGCAGATTGAAAGAAAAAGAAGAAAATAGCGGTCGTAAAAAGATTGTAAAAAATATGTCATTCTGCCGCGAAAGGCTTGTTTGGCACTGCAATCTGCATGGCTATTTACTTTCTCTCTATAGGCGTGCAACCGCACCGCATTGGCAAGCGCTGCGTGCATTGTCTGCGTTGGTGAACGCGGCTGCACATAGGCGATATTAGCTGAATTATACGCCCTTGTATTTTTTCGCTTTTTCAAATCGTGTTGTTGGTTGTTATATCAAAATTTTGAGTTTCTTGGAGTAAAATCAATCTGTCAGGAAATAACAAAAGACAGAAAAGCTTTGATGCGTTTTATACATAATTTACACTATTCGGTTTGGTTTTTTTCCACGGGATATGTTTGTAAACATCACTATTGGAAAAAGCCCAACTTCTGTGGTTTTTAACAAATCGTAATCTTATTCTAGAAAACGATTGTTGGATCGGATTATCACTCCAAAGCCACCACCAGCAACCGTATCGAAGTTGACTCCACCTCGAAAGTTTGTCTGATTATTTCAAGCTTCAAATTCAGCAGCAGCATATGTATTTTCCAGGCCTTATACACTTTTCGACTTCCGATCAGCAGATATCGCTTGTCAGATGACTTATATTGATTCCCATCTGTTCCATCTTATTGAGGTAACGTTTTTTGAAGCGATGTCCATTTTTTAAATCAAAGTCCCAGAAATTCTGTAGTGGATGAGAGCAACAAATTGAAGAGGATAATTGTATACTTTTCTTCTATCGGAAGGTTCCCCAACAAATATGCTGGCTTGTTTTCCTATCAGATTCTGAGCTATGAAATTATTTTTCTTGATCCATCCATTTTGACAACACGAGATTTTGCAGAACATTCTTAGCGCTACTATAATGAGAGGCGTCTTGGCGATAGTCTTCATGATATGATGTTAACCCAAAAATCAAAGCTATAGAGTTTTATTAGAAAATCTCAAAATCCGAGAGAAAGAGCATTGAAAATTTCTCCAGACTGTGTGGGCCGTCGTTAGCCTATGACTTTTTACTAAATATGAGGTATGAAAAATTGGAGGCGAGAAGATTTGAAAGTTTTTCCAAATCAAATGCACTTTTTGCCATTTTGCAAATGTTGTTTGCCAATCAGATATGTCAGTTTGCTTTTGGGTTCAAAATCTGATCACATCTCACCTATTAACAATTTTATATTACATCTAATGATCTCAAAAAAGTCGATTTTGTTTGTTCAGGCGTTTTCTGATGCATCTTAATTGTACAAACCGAGTAAGTAAATAAGTTAATCAACTGATAACCTTGTTACATGCGTTATTATATTTGGTTTCAGTCAGTTACATCTTGAGACAACTTTTTGATTATTCTGGTTTTTGTCCGTAATTTTTATTTTTTAATTTAGTTAGCAAGAACTGCTAGGTTTTGCCGCAATTTTACGCAGATACTTTGCAAATGCTGCGAAGATTTGGTTTATAATTTCTAACCAAGCCCTAATGAAACTGAGAGAGAGATACTTTGCTGTAAACAACTTTCCGCAGTCGTTGTCGAAAAAACATGATTCTCATTAACAATGGAGCTGCTAGTATGAGAGCGGAAAATTGAACTCTGTTTCAAAATATTGTTTGACTTGGGAGTGGCGCTAAAAAGTTTCTTGATATCGAGTTGATTAACAAGTTTGTCGTGCAGAATTACTTTTTGTTTTTTTGCGAGAAGTTCTTATACGTATGTAAGAGATGCATTGTAATTTTCTTGATTTTGATAATATTACTGCAGTCATTAATTTTCTCTCTGGCATTCTTCTTTGTACTCTTGCTTTGCCCATAAAAAGACTTTCTTAGCTTCAAAAAAAAAAGGCGTCCTCTTTGCAGCCTATTGAACACACCCATTGTTTTACGCTGCACCGGCATGAATAGCAAGGGCATTTCATTGGATCCTGAGGGTCCTTGGTGGGCGAAAATAGCGGACGGACAAACATTCTGAAAGGAGTAGATTCTGAGGGATGCCATTTTCGAAAGCTATCGATTTGTATTAACGAGGTCCTCGCGGCGATATTTGGTAAAGTAACACGTAAAAAACCTTTTTGTTTCTTCTGTGACTAGAGCATTTCGAAGAACGCGAAAAAAATCAGCAAAAATTGTTAAAGTAAACAGAAACCACAGAGCAACTTGATATATACTAAATTTTTATGCGTGTACTTGTACATAACCACCAGGGAAGCAGAGTCCTTATTTTGAAGCAACGGAGTAGGAGGCTTTTTTTATGAAATAAAAGGGGTGGCGTAAGCCTCCTTCGATAAAAGTCTTTTAAGAGGTTCGCAAACTGTTTGCAAGCCTTCTAAGATGAAAAAAGTGATCGGACTCAAACTTACAGAATATCACAATGCTATTTTAAATTTACAGTTCTGTGGATTTTTTTTTTCGAATTTTGAGAAATTACTTCTCCAAATTCGTAGCTCATACACTCCGCTTTTCCGGTCCGATTTTGAAAACGAGAGGAGATATGAGCTGTATGAAATCTGCGATAAAGAATCATCTACAAATTGACAAAGGCAAAGTTATGTAAATCTGCCCTGATGGCTTCAAGCTCCTCTAAATGTAAATACATATATCTTGGTTGTGGATTGTCCATTCTGGTAGGCAAATTTCTACGCAATTTGGTACTAGTTCTATCGTCTTTTCTTGCAATGAAAGTAAGAAACAACTGTATTAAGGTCTCAGATTACTACTATATTTGAAGCTCAATATCACAGTAGTCACAGTTTCAAAAACTTCTTTTTTAGCCGGCCGAACTCCTGTGGTGGGCCCAAGAGCAGGACGAAGTGAAGAGCCCAAACTTGGTAGCATTCACTGAACATTTCAACAATGTGAGGTGCTTTCCGTATTAGCCGTTTTTACTGTATTTTTATGGGAAATATATACATAAATGAAATGAATTTTGTCATTCATAGTGTAATATTGTTATTTACAGGTATCATTCTGGGTGCGAACCCTTGTGATCACACCGTCCACTCCAAAGGAAAGGGAAAAGTATATGCTGAAATTCATAAAGATTATGAAAGTGAGTAAGGTTTTTCACGTCAAATAACCCCAATTAACGAATCTTGCGTAGTGAATGAGTATGCTAGAGATTCTGATTGATCTTCAAACCGTCCCTTTAATATTTTGACATGAAAAAAGCTATCATGTGGCATCTTGTCGAAATGCGCTCATGATGAAATTAAGCAAATAAGAACCAGTAAAACAAAAACGCGTTTATGCGCTACTATATACGGATCCCCTGGGAAGTATTAACGACTACTATTTCTACAGTGTCAGAAGATCATCTAGCTCGTGGTAATGTATCAAGTTTTATTTTAAAAAAGCTTAAAAAACAACTTGGCTCGCTAATCAATAGCTTTATAAGCTTACATTTTTTTTCGAAAATACGCACAGGCACCTCTTGTTTCTTAGCATGCACCATTAAATAGTCATCATTTACGAAAGTTACTGAAATTTAGGACAATGAAACAAAGTTCTTGTGGAAGTTTTAGGGCATTTGCAGCCCCTATCTGACCCCACTTTCCAGTTTCATTCCGGAATACATTGGATCATTTTCTATTCAAGGCTATGTAAACATTCAACTCGCCCTTTCTTTGATTCTCCATGAACTATTAGATGACAAATAAAACAAGTTTGAGGAAGTCCAAGTTTTCTCAGCTCATAAGAGAACTCTTGAGTGTTTTTTTAGTTAGCATGAAAAAGGTGGAACTGAATAAACAAGTAAATTTTATTCATCTATATTTTTTTCTTTCAGCAATTACGCCGATTAGGCAACTTCAACTCCTATCTTGCCCTATTATCCGCACTCGTCTCAAGTCCTCTGGCCCGTTTGGACTGGAGCAAAGCGGTGACCGATGCCCTGAGGGAACACGCTGAAGTGATGGATACGGCCCATTCATATAAGAATTACCGAGTTTTGCTACAACAAGCTACACCACCCACTGTTCCATACATGTGAGTTAGATCTCATTTTCTATACAGTTAAAAACTAGTTGGTAGATCAAAACGGCTTAAAGTTACTGTCGGATGAACTTATCCGTTTTTTGTCTAAAATCCAAACTAGGTTGAGAGACATCGGAACGATGCTTTAGATAGTAATTTTATCCAGTCAAATGCACTAAAGCGCAACATTCTCGGGATTACATGCTCCAACTTAGGGTTGCATGGGCGGTACTGTCCCCGTAGGCGGAGTTTTCCCACTCCTGCAGCAGCATCTCGCTTGCGGCCCATTTTTTTTGCACCGCGAACGGGCAACTTTTGTCGCTGTGCAAGTTCCGTAGATTTTCCTGGGAAAAAGGGCTTTGCCTTCTCTAAATGCATTAAATTACGCTTTTTCCATAAAGTGATAGAATTTCCCCCTTTTAATACGCCTTCTTTCAGTGGCGTTGTTTTGCAAGATTTAACGTTTGTGCATGCTGGAAACGCTGATAAGCTGCCAGCTGATCGATGTGGTGGACGTCGTGGATTAATCAACTTCTTGAAAAGATGGCATCAATACGCCATTTTGGATAGCATCAGGAAACTGAAACGATGGTGAGTTTTTGTGGACTTTATTGACAGAAAATTACCAGTATCGAAGTGCTTCCAGGCAAGAAAACTGATTAGATGAGCGACTCTTTTAATGCGCTTAGAAGGGCATTTATTACGTACATTATCAAACCAAAATTCTGTAAAATGTTGATTGAATAAATAAAATACCCCCCCCCCAGCAATGTTTAAAATAACAGGAATATCCCTAAAAATCTTGCGGATCTTGTTCTCGCCTTGCTGACAATACTTGCGCGTAAACTTCACAGTTTGCGCTCTATGTCCATTTTTTACGCGCAAGTCGCAAGCAACAATTGTGCGCGCGGAATTTTCCGCGCGAATGTTGTCATCACCGCATGTGCACTACACTGAACATTAAGACCACGCTTGTAGAGATTACTTGAAAGCGAAGTTTCTGTAACCAGAGTTTGCAGAGAACAGATCCTAGGTAACTCATGCAGCATGCGAATGCTAAAGTTTTCCCCCCAACAGAAATTCTTATCAAACCCTCAACATCTCGTGCCTTTTTGCCGAAAGAAGATTGTCTAGCAGTTTCATTTCTATCTAGTTCAGTGCAGCCGACCATATGACAAAGTCCCCAAAAAACTTGACAATCAATTATTGTCGTCTTTTTCTTGCTTCACTAAATGTCACCTAATCTTCTTCTAGAAACATTTCCTCATCAATTCTTTGGTTCATTTTACCTCTGTAAAAGTAAGCGTTTCTTAGACTGTAATAGAAATCAAAGTTTTTTTCTAGCAAGTCAGAAATTCTTCATTTATAGAGGTAGTATTCAGAGACCTTTGTGTATAATCTACTACGAAAGCGAGAGCTGAGAGTGGGATTAGCGGTAAGCCTCACTTTTGCTGCAAATTGAAGCCCCTTGCACGGAATGTGACAAACTGACCAGTCCCCCCAAAGAACTAAAGATTTCGAATGTGAGCCCAAGCACAAAGAAATCGTGTAGTGCACAAAGAGACAAATGAAAACAGATGGCGATGAATCTGAAAACTGCGAAGAGCGCCTGCAAAAAGCTTTTGATATATCACATGTGTCTGACTCATAGTCTAGTAAATCGTACGATAAGCATATGTTTTCTCTTGAGAAACTATCGTGAATCATGGATCTTTGGAGGAAAAACAATGAGAGCAGCGAATGCCCATCTGCTACGTTATGCCCTTAGAAAAAAAGCAGATCGCAGCCAATTTTTTGTTGAAAAATACAATTCAAAGAACTGATATGTTGCTTCCCGATTCTTACATGAAGTAGGATCCATCTCCTCACTGTTGGGTTATTTTCGAGTGGTTGGCAAACAATAGAATCAAAGTAGCTCTTTGTCAAGTGCTTGTCTGCCGTGCTCTGGACTTATGGTTAACAAAACTGATCAGAACATTTTGATAGATGAAAAAGAATGTTGTTACAGCTCTGACGTGCTGCTTCAGTGGTTGTTATTCAGATTATAAGTGATCGATTTGAGAGTGATATAGTATTGTACATGAAACAAAGGTCTTAGCCAAAACCTCTTAACTTTTCTTCGAAATTTGTATAAGTCTATAGAGTGTAGACTAACATTTCCAGAAATCTAGATCTGAAAGCCGAAAAATAAAAGAGTGTGTATAATTTCATTATGTAATCTGAAATTTTACAAAACACAAATGTGAGGTAAACGGACATTGTTTGAATGAGCAAATAGAACATGCTCTATAGTCTAGTAGGTCTAGTTGATACTTGCATTGCCTACAACATTTGTGCGTAAAAGATGGACACGGCGCGCAAAGCTTCAGAATATGCGCTCTTTGGCCAGTTTTTGCACGTGCATTGCACATAACAGTCATAGAATTTTTACGCGTAGTTGTTGTCGGTACCGCAGAGAAACTACGTTAGCTGTGAAATTTGAAACACAGTAGCTGCAGTGGGTAAACAAACTCCATAAACCGGATTTGATTGATATGAAATTTCAGGAACTACGACATCACTAGAGACGAGAAGGTGCTTTGCTTCTTCGATTCATTCTCCACATTTTTGACTGAAGAACAAACTTGGGTGCGATCGCACGAAATCAAGCCGACAAATCGGAAAAAGCCATAAATTTTCATTCCCCGCCTCCGTCGCGCGACTGCGACACGCATCAGCTGAAGTAAAGGACGCAAATAAAATGAACGCATAGACCTTGTTTTTTTGTTTTTTTTTTGAAATGTCGTATTTTTGTGCAAAAAATGCCAATTTTTATGGTCAACCCTTAACTTGTGATTCTTTTACTTTGTAGAAGCTTTTCAAGTCTCCTCTCTAGTCATAAAATTTCTGCACGATTCTTTACGTGCAACTGTATATACATCTGTTTTCGCTTCTCAGCTCGTTTTCTTCTTTCATTTATCTGCTTTTTCCGAGGCTGATTTTGCTACTTTATACTCTTCTAAATTTTTACTTGCTTCTGTTGATATGTACTTTAATTATTGCTTTCGACACCTTTCTGATCCACACTCAACTTCATGCATATTTCGCTGACAAAATCACGAGTCCGTCATTAATTTACTCATTTTCGAATTAGAATCAGTGTCAACTTTATCGTGTGAGACTAGTCATGTTTAGAAGCTTCATAGTCTACACATTATTCTACTAGAATGTTATTTTATCAGAAAATTTTTTTTGTATCAACTAAGACATACTATGTTTTCGTTTGTTATGATTTGTCAGATGTATGAGCTATACTTTGCTTTAAGCAAGAATAATAAAAGTTGGAAGAGGGATTTTTCTTTGATAGGATGAATGAACTGCTGGAAAATTTTATCTTACTGTATCAGACCTAAGAAAAACTTACTTCACACCACCTACTTAATGCGGTGAATTTCGAAAGTGAGTCATAAATTGTGCAATTAGCTTACCTTTTGTATATCATATATCTTACCTTTATCTTACCTTTTTTGATATCACAGAAGATAGTATCTCGACTATTTTAAATTTTACAAAGAAAGCTTTCAATTATATCTTCTCGGAGACTCCTACGTTCTCCATAAATTTGTAGTGCTTACCAAGGAACACGTCTCACTAGGAGGATCCTGCCGCAACCTCCTTATTCTCAAATTTTTTACGTATCTCATTAGAAAATAGCTAAAATCCCATTGTGGACCTTAGATAAAATTCGTGAACTGGTTTGGAAAATAAACTAGAGAATATGGGGTCCTGAGCATCTGAACATTCTGGACAAAAGCTCTGATGATGGAGGAAACCAAAGATTTCTTTTGCTTGGTGTGCAACTGCACACATTTCCATTCTCGCAACTTAACTATATTTGCCTTGCGGCACTTTATCAATCAAAGTTTCCACTAATCCAACTTTCTTTTTTTTGAGATTCCTATTCGTCGGAGCAAGAACTTTTGTTTAAGGGGGATAAAATATATCTTATCCTCTACGAACGCCTATCACAATAAAAAAGGTACCATGTGATGTAAGTGATGTGCTACATGTGCTACATGTCAAATGAACGATTACGAAGAAAAAAAATAAGCGAAAGATGTCAAAATTAGCTACTCAGCTAATAAGCTACTCATCAATTGTTCAAAAGTTTGCTAAATTTTCTCATTCTAGTTTGAAGAGTGATACAAACCTAGAATTTTCGAGTATAGCTAAGAATTCAAAGTGTTGATAGCTTTTTCTAGAAACAGACTGTACGTAACGTTATAAGACTCGATGCATTTCCAGCATTTCTGGTTAGGAGATGTCTATCAAAACGAATTTTGTTTCCAGTCTCTAAACAACGAACCAGATGCGTATGTAACGAAAAGAAGGCTCAGAATCAATGTTTGATTTCCGGTTTTAACAAAAAATTTGGTTTTTACCTCTGCAAACCATGAATAGGATAATTTATGAGTGGAATTTCAAAAAGTTGTTAATCAATATAAACGCACATTGTTGTCTAAAGGGCAAAGAGTTTAGACAAGCATTATTACTCATTTTCGCGCTCAGTAATGTTATGTGATGTGAAGTTTCAAAACATTCACTCTCGATATGGCAGTTATTCCTGTGAATCATCTTGCTTCGCTGCAACCGAGACATTCCTGTTTTATAAAACTTTAGTAACTGCACGGAAATATTCTAGACGTTGTATCAAATAAGTATTATGAACTGATGTTGTTCAGGCAGAACTTCTGGTGAAATTCCATAGATTAAAAATAAGAGCCTGTTAAGTTAACCGCAAATAGCCCCATTTAACCCATTGATGCTGATGTGGACCACCAGTGACCCACGCACTTTTTGCTGCTAGGAACGATGTGGACCACCGATGGCCCATACCTGTTGCAAAGTCATATCCTTTGTAAATCTGGTATCACGTCCATAGACTGATATTTTCTCCAGTTTTTGCCCTCTTGAGACCTGTAGGCTCCTGAACTTCGTTTGCAAATTTTCTTGCAATTCGTAAATATCCACAAAACCTTCCCACGCCGAAAGTATCGTGCAAAATCGCGTCGTCCCAAGTGCCGCCACGCAAAATGACGCGTCGTCGTCAATCGGTTAACAAAAATCCAAGCACATTTTGACTCGCTTACCGTATACCTACCGTACCCATGCGCGAATTCAATACGGTATCCGTGTGCAGCGTGCCAAATGAACCCTCCCTTGTGCAAGATGAACAAAGGTCGAACACCGGATTTTGAACCGCTTACCATACACTTACCGTAATCCGCAAGATACTAAAGAGATTTATGATTTCGTTTTTGGGTCCACTAAAATAAAATGCCCAATTCGCTTGACATAATGATTTACGCTGAACTGAGGAAATGACCGTTCGATTTGAGCCAACGTTCCCTATTCTGTTTTGAGTCATTGTTATGAAATTCGCATAGCCCGCAACTGCCATTTTCCGCCGCTGATGGTGCAGTAAAAACCTTATCGGGGTACTTTCGAGGAAAGATATGACTTATGTCCACTCTGCAAGAACGTGGAATTTCTGTTAAATATTGATCTTTTTGGAATGTTGTGATTGATAAGCCAAAAGTTTCTTTGCAATCTCTTAGAGGGTCTAGCAAGGGCTTGAAGATAGTGATAACTGCTCAAAGTAAGTAGTCCGAATATAGTTTTACAAGTGGAACTGGCACCGTCAAGTATTTGCACTTGAAGTGTCAGTAATGGCAGCAGGAAAGAGATGTGGGTCTAACCGCCTTCCTACACTCAGTCCACAACCAGTGTAGAATTGTCACCCCATGTAAGGAAAAAAGGCCATCGACTTCCATAACATTACCAACAGCAACTAAAACTAGGACTAAAACGCTCACATACCATTCGACCTCACTAACCTGAACATGCAACGGACGAGCATAACCCCGATTTGACTGGGACTCTGACTATCGTATACGGTAATCCCGGGCATCCCTCTATTTCGCAATGCTTACGGTGCTCTTCCATTCGAGACTGCTCGGTAGCCACTTGCCGCTTGCGGATCACACTCTCAAGACTCAACTTTAGTGAGTCACAATTTTGTGCTGCCGCTATCATCTATTCAAACATAGACCTCATCTCTGCGTCTGCGACCATCTCGTACTCGGCCGTCGTTGTCTGCGCTCTGACCGTCGCTTCACAACTGGTTCCACGGGCCCTGCATCCCGTGCTTGTGCATGTGCTGGCTGGTGTTCAACGTTGGTAATTGCGTGAACAGCTGATCTTAAGCGTTTTCCATCTATAGTGCTAACGGGGACCGTTTTTTCCCAACGATCTTATCTTCATCCTGATGGTTTTTGCCCCAGCCCCATAGATGTTGATGCGCTTCACATCCAGGATAGTCGTCCCAGTTCTGATCCACGAAAACACCTCAAACCTGGAGAGCGATTGTTCCGCACTATCGTTCAAACATAAAAACTTTGCAATCGATTATCGCGCTGTCCGTGATACATTGTGAGAATTGATATGCATGGTGGGATGAGTCACTGACCACCGTAAGACCACCTCTTCCTGGACGTGGAAACACACTGACCGTGTCCCTCCATCCTTCTTATTTCACTCATCCGATTGTCTTGGCATTTCACAATTTCCTAACCATCTTCCAAATCAATCTAATAGCTTTTCAGTCCTGAATGCGGCACAGTCTCGACAATGGAGAAAGCTAAGAAAGATGTCGGGCAGAAATTTCGTCGAATCAAGCATAACCTAGTCAAGTGAGTTTTATTAAACCCTAAGTGTACTTGTTCCGCAGCGGATTACATGTCCGTTATCGCGCAATTGCCTCTCAAAGTTTATATTTGTTCAACGTTTTTACTACGCTTGTTTACAGTTCGACGAAAAAGGACGAAGATGATGACCTGAAAATCATCAATGCGCTTGAACATCGTAATCAAAAAGTCATCAATGCCGTCTCTGTATATAGAAAGCATGTATCAAATACTGTAAAAACTGGACTACGAGAAGAAAATGTTGATAAACGAAGGGTGAGTAGCTTTTTTTCAAAAAGTCTATGGGCTCAACCACATGTGCTGGATGCAGTTTATTGCATCGTAGATAACCATCAAACTTTGATAGCTACTTTTGACAGCATTGTGCTCTGTTGTAATCATGAGTAGGAACGCGTACACACCGGTTATGAGTCAACGAATCGATTCTTGTTCTAGAAAAAGCTCGATGAGTTTTCGCTGTGTGTGGATTTACGTGAAATATCGACGGATCTTGAACAATCACATACCACATGCCTTCACAAGGTTATCCAGAAAATCAGTCAGGCCTTACAAGTGGTGGTGGACGAGAAGGTATGTTTTCAAATAACAGAGAGTGGTTATGGCGTAAATTTTTCTTATTACTATAATTAGGTGTATGAGCTATGCGCTGGGTCAATGTAGCATTTTTTTTTATGATGGAAGATTAATGCTCAATTACAATTGATTAAGCGAAGTAGTGAAGAATGTTTGCATCCTCAAGGCGGCGTACTTTTTCTCTCTGCAGTGACAAGACGCCAAATCTTCAAATGAACTGAACTGTTTTCCCATGAGCATAATATCTAGTTTTTGGTCCTCAGCCTTTAAATTGTATCAGTTGTGATAGTGACAGATGGCTGAAATTGCGCACCATCATTTTGCTGATGATGTCTAAAATATGGGTTCTGTTCATGTAAGCTAGAAATCAGTTCTTAAGCAGATGAGAGTTCATTCTGCCTAGTGTGTATTCTAGCTGTCTTCTCGTGACGTTTGCTTCAACCGCATGGCGAATACCAGGGTGTTATCTTAAACCTACATTTTGCCTGTCTTCTTGCATGTTATCGTGCAGATCTGTGGAAGGATTGTTAATGATATTTATGATAATCACTTTCTCTATTGAGTAATATTGCACAAGTAAGCTGAGTTGTAAAGAGACGTTCCCTGTCAAGCTGGACATCTCATGATGTCCAGTCCGCAGAACGCGTCAGCTGTTCCTGTCGCATAAAAAATGTGTTAATTTCTGTGCCATTCTGCAGAGAACTCATCTGTTTACAGGTTAAGCACGACATGATGATTGAGAAACGAGTTCTCGATGATTTGGTCCAGTTTCAAGACATGGAGAAAGCTTTATGCAAGAGTAGAGAACGATTGAGCAATGCTTCCACTGGTATGTTTTCCGCATAATTCATCTTCATTTACATCTCACCTCAGTATCAGAATTAATGAGGAATATCAGGTCAACTATGTTGTCCATTTTCAGTAAAAGACATTTTTTCTATGCGAATGTGCTCGTGAGTCAGCTATTGTATGTTCTCGCCCCCAAACTTTTTTCAAAAATGCTCAGTATATGGCAAATGGCTGTCAACGCCATCATAATCAAAGAACACTGTGAACGTTATGCTCGTTGTTGAGCCAGCGCATTGTTTTCATTAATATAATGCACCGACATAACTTATTTTGCATGAAAACGGTGGTTTTTTTTTCTAATCGTCTGATGTACTTACGAGCATGCACTTCTTATTGGGTAGTCCTCTTTGTGGCAGCTACATAGAGTTCGGGGTCGTTGTATCTGTATTGTAGTAAAAGAGGCTTGCATAAGGTTATAAACATGACTGATCAGTCGTTATGTTATTGCCTCCCAGTGTTGTGGTTGTAAATATTGTGCTTTCAGATGTCGAGATCGCCAAAAAACAGTTGGAAAAAGCTGACAGCACTAGCAGCAATATGGCTCAGCTGCAAGATAATCTCGATGCTGCACAGCTCAAGCTCGAAAACCAAAAGGTGCATACCTTACATCTATCATACACATCTATGCGTGGTGTTTCAGGACAATACAATTACGGATGTGTACTCCTTAGCTGCGAAGGAACAAGAAATTGCAAAGGTATTTGTCCGTTATCAAGTGGACAACTACCCAGAAATTTGTACTACAGGTGTTTACTGCGCTGTTGGAAGAGCAGCTCGAGTATCACCGCGTTGCGATGAGGACACTGGAGATGGTATTACCCGAAATTCGCCGAGACATAGGTGAGTGCTAATATATTCTTACTTTGAAGATACTTAGGTTTTCCTTATTGTTTATTCGCTTGGCTCAAGCTTGAATAATTCATGTTGCAAGTTCCATGCCAAAACTCGTCTCATCGCGTTGCTGTGTACTAGCACTCTTGAGTTTAGTTCAGTCCGAGCTCAATAAGATGATCGCATGCGGCTCTAATGGCTATATTTATTGCATTTCATAGAATTGTCTCCATTTTCCGTGCTTGAGTGTTGAAAATGTTTCATTTATTAGCGAACTTTATGTTCACTTTTTTTCCCTCACAGCTCATTACATGGGATTCCCATCTCTGTTGTCGAAACATACCTTTCTTTCGGTTTTCGCACTTTTCTCTACGTATTTCTACGCTTCTTCTGCATAAGATCGTGGAACAAGAAGAAAATGAAGATAAATCGGTGAAAATAAAAACCCTCTTTATCGGATCGGATCGCTGAACTACACAGTTTTCCCTGTGCGCGCTGAGCACTCCGCACATGTTGGGACACTACTCATTTTTATTACAGATAATGCCCGGCCACGACCAGTATTCGGTATCGACCTAAGTGAACACCTGCGCCATACTCAGGGACGTGTAGCTCTGGTTCTAGAAAAATGTTGTTCAATGCTCAGAGCAAGTGGCTTTACTGAGAAAGGTTTGTGATTTGAATTATGTGTACATGTATTATCTAAGCACCCTGTAAAGTAGGTTTGAAAGTAGCTGTATTCATCAAATCCCCCTTAGGTTGTTTTTCTTGGACATGCACATCATCCGCAGCTTCCCCCAAAATATACGCTGTCATCCATAGTACGAAATGAAAGAAGCTAATATCATGACTTTGCTACAAATGTTTTGCGCATCTTTCCTTCGTGAAGAAATGAATCAATTAGTTATCTTTTGAACCTGTTAGTCTTACTTCTTATCCTTGTCATATTCGTCTTGCAGGCCTTTTCCGAGTAAATGGAAACAACACAAAAATCCGCAGGATGAAGGCGGCTTTCGACGCTGGACAGATCGACGTTAGTGCTTGGTTGTATATGCTGTTGTGCTGTTTTGTTCAATAATGAGTTGGTGATCTGTCAGGTGGACGAACGTGCTTATAGCATGGATCCCCATTCTGTCTGTAGTGTGCTGAAAAGCTATCTCAGAGAATTACCCGATCCTCTTCTTACTCATCGACTACATAACGATTGGATGAACGCGGCAAAGTTAGTTGCTTCTTCATACTTTTCCATCATTGTTCATGGGTATCATCTGCTCTTTCTATTCAGGCTAGAGGACGAGGCCAAATTGCAAGCTTTTGAGCGATGCATTGGAGAACTTCCAGCGTGTCATCGCCACAATCTCACTTACCTCATTAATTTTCTCTCGGAAATGTTGCAACATCAAGAACAGACAGCGTGAGTCACTCCCTTATAACCTATAGACTCAGTCTATACAATATCATATTCTTCTTCTTCATTTTCACATACAATTTACTAGTAATCATGGCAAGCTCCTTGACATCTTCATGAGGTTCTTATCTTATTTTCAGCATGAATTGCGGTAATCTGGCTATTGTTTTCGGTCCTAATCTTTTGGGAGGTGACATAGATGGCAATAATACCGCAGGTACCAAGGTATGACTTTTTTCACTCTTGAGAACGGTTTTTTCACTCTTGAAAACAGTGGAAGTTTCTTGACTTTGTTTCAGATTGTCGAAACCTTGTTGAAAAATGCTTCGAGATTGTTTGGATGTCCTGTTGTAAGCAATAATGGAAATAACAGTGGTCATACTTCAGGACGACTTACTGTTGATACAAATTCTCCGCCGAAACCGGGCCAGTCTAAAGATAGGTGAGAAGATCGTTGTTTGTACAGACTGCTGCATGACGAAGGCGCAATATCTTTGGGCGCGAACGCGGCCTTATCAGCCGCAGAGCGCAGGAGACGCAGGATTCGCGCATCGCATTCACGCTCGCTCAGCTAATAGTGCTATTGCGCCTTCGTCATGCATTAGCCTTTACATCCACTTGTTCTGTATATTGTAAGTTTTGTGACAAGCCGCGCCTTTCTAAAATATGCATCCTTTAGACTGGAGTTTGGCAGCATATCGTCATGGGGTACGTCACCTCGGGGACGACCCAAGGAACGTGCTCCACCACCTCCTTATGTCACTCCAAAGACGGGTAGGTGATGACTTACGCATGCTTAGAGATATAATTTTTTGCTAATTTCTTCCCTCGCTTTTTCTTGGCACAGTTTTATTAATTTTTATTTGTATCGTAATGCCATTTATCAAAGACCAAGCATCATCCTGTATATGTACTTGATCATTCGATCTCATAATCAGACTTCTACAGGTTCACTGATTGACCTCAGCGACGATTGTAGCAATGCGGAGCAGTCGGCACACACCTCAACTCCATCTAGAATTGAAAGTAGCCTTACGCAAAGTGAGTGTATTCCCTCTAATAGATGTTTCTGCTGCTGATGATGAGATGCATGAAGCTGTTTATTTACAGGTCAGACCCTAACCTCTGCCGACCTCAGTGAGTCATTCGGTATGTCACCGACAGCAACAGCGGAATCGGACGACTCATTCGATGAGTATCAAGATGAGTCCCTTCCTGGGAGCATGTCGCGCAGCCAGGGGGATGTAGCCGTAGCATCGCTCATCACTCCACAGCGACCTCCTCCACCTGTACTGTCGAACTTCACATGAAATGGGAAAGTATTATTCAATGAACATGTTTCAGACTTTCCGGAACGGGTCAGAAAGCTCTAATAATCGGCCGCTATCTTACAATAAAGCTGTTGGGGTGGAGCCAGTCCCAGTTCCACGCTCTCGAGCGTCTCGCTCAGTCATCGTCGAAAACTCATCTTCATCTAGTGGTTCTGGGTCTATCAAAAGACCCTCGATATTGAGTCGGGAAGATATTGTGGGAGCAGATGTATCCAATAGGTGCGCATTTCATTTTATTTCATTTCATTGTTCTGCTTTTTCATATGGAATAGTGGTGCCAGCATTCTGAGTAGAGGAAGGTATACTCGATCAGGCACCATCTCTACGGACTCTGGTCTTTCGCCATTTGTACATAATGTAAGGACCAGTAGTCCGTGGATGGAGTACCAAACTGAGGTATTTGTTCCTCTGCCTGAAATTTGGCACCGTGAAAGGGCATACCGCAAATCTAAGCTTACATCTTCGTTTGGAAACATGCAGTGCTTGATTTGCACAGTGCAGGGACGCTTCTTACAACAAGCAAAAAAAAAACAATCTCCGACTGAAACATGATATTCCAGTTTCAAAACAGTTGTGTCCGTTGAAGCTCCTCCATTGCCAGCGCGAAACAACAAGCCGCCACTTCCGGTAAAGCCACGAAGTGGTGACAATGAGACGTCACGTCTTTGATTATTCACTTACAAGCCAAGAGTCAATGCTACAGTTCCTTTTCGCCGAGATCTTTCTCCTAGGAATCTGATGTGCACCTAGTTGAGTTGTATATGAACTATATGTTGTCATCTAGGATCGATTCATTGATTTTCCTATTGCAGTTCACTCAACTGTACTGAGAGCTACTTTGCTTGACTTCAATCAACTCGATTCGCCTTAGTGGGTAGTTGAAACTAGTTAGCCCTTCATGTCATTGATTAAGAAAGTAAATAGTATATTGAAGATATGACAATATATATTGCACGCAATATCCTTTTCCGGTGAATACGGTCTTTTTGACGTTCAACTTGTAGTGTCTGGGTACTTCCTACAAAGTTTCAAATTGTCATTTTATGAACCGTTGTCATGTGATAGACTCCCTACGATTTCTTTCTTTGTTGTGTTGTGCTTGAGATGATTTATAAACGACATTTCCAAACTTTGTCCGCACAGATATCATAAAGCCAAAGGGAAACTTGCTTGCTTGCTTATGTGGCGTCAGCTAGTTGCTTCTCGTTGCCACTATCGCTGCTATTGGGTGGAACTACAACCTTATTTTCATATTAACAAAGTCAAAGTGCTAGTTAGCACATTTTGGATTTTTCGTTTGTAGGTGAATTTCAAAAGACCTCAGAAAGTGATGAGCAGTAATAGATCGACGTCCTTCTCGCTCGAAGTCCCTGTAAACAGCTCAGGTAGGTTATTGTATTGAATAGCGAACATTCAAAAGGAAAGGCCCTCTTTCACTTCATATAAGGTGCAGAGGTGCATGATTAAAATTCAAAATAAAACTGTCTAATGGAGTTGTGTTTTATGTAGGAGTTGACAGAATATCGATAATGTATGTGTTTTTATGTGTAAACTCTGTAAATTCGACAACTTAATTTTGCAAATTGTTCAAACTTTTCCATTCTTGATTGTGGCGCATACAATCCTTCAACATTACGTACATATCATCGGTATGGGCTACTATGCACGAATAGTTTGATTTGTGATTGCAAAATAGAAAAAATTTGAGCATTCCCCAAAGACGTGGAAATCGAGGCACAAAGGAATAGGAATTTCATGATTTGGCGACTTCATATAGTGACGAAGTAGAGGACTACATGTCGAAAAATTAGGTTCCGCACGGTCATCTGCAACAGTTACTCTTGAATAGGATCTTATCCGAAAAGCAGAGCCCAATGAACATGATGTAAAAAATCGATCAAAAGTGAAAGAGAACACGCCAAGCTGGCATTATGGCTTTTGACTGTTACGCCAAGTAAAGTGAAGTCCGGAGGCGATCGCGGCAGTGCGCCTAGTGGTTACCGTAACCGGTATGACAGCCAATCGAAAGGCGTGGGTTGGTCGACTATCCCCCAGAAGCAAAGAAAATTTCAAACTTGTTTTGTCCTTATTGCGTTTCAAAATCTATGCGATCTTGCTGGTATCTAATTCGGAGCTCGAAAACCTTGCTTTTGTAGTATAAAATTCAAAATTCACTGTACCAATGGTAATTGCTGAATGCACGCCTTTTCACATACACTTTCAATTCCCTAATGATGCTTCTGTTTTTCCTATATCAAGCACACTTGTGAGATTCAAGTCGAAGCATTGTAATGCGTATAGCGTTCAGTGTTGTTTACATTGAGATTTTTTTGTAAACTGCCTCAAAGTGCGCAAAATTTACTATATTTCACCGATCGCCTGCAGGTCATCCTGATTTTTTTAGATGCTTTTTTTCACGTTAACTTAGTCTTCATTGGATCTGGCACAATGGCGACGCTGGTAAGTACAGTTGGACAAGTGGAAAATGACAAACATTTTTTGCTGGCTTAGTATCTACAATACATGGCTTCGCACGCAGCCGGAAATTCGAAATAGTATAAGCAAAGCAGAGGAAAGCTGATTTTATGAGATATTTAACATTGTCTCTCATATACTGAGTACAGTTCCACACCTAACTATGAAAAAAGCGTGTTTCTTGAAATATGCACTTCTATCTCGCGCAATGTGACCATAATTTCAAAAGGGTACTGTTGTTCAGTTTTTTTTTATAAGATTTGATTAAGGAATTCCAGCCTTCTAATTTTCAAAATATTCACAACTTCTCTATCATATACATGCTTGCTTTTTGAAGATAACAGCATAAAGGCAGTGTCCGGGCAAAAACTCGATTTTGAGATTTTGTGCTTATACGGGCCTATTCGCCATGCTGAATCCGAAAATCCACATTGGAAAGCGCGAAAACGGCGAAAAAGGGCTCTAATATAAGAGGGAAATCAGCAGGTGGGCGGGGCTTTCCCCACTGCGATTTTACGCTCCCAGCTCCCGGAGCGATTTTCTCGATTCCGCTAGCCGTTCATCGCTACCGGCCAAGTGCGAATGATTGACTTGAAACCGGAAGCGAGAAGATCGCTCCGGAAGCCGGGAACGTGAATTCGCAGTGGAGAGGACCCCGCCCACCTGCTCATTTCCCTCCTGTGTTAGAGCCATTTTTCGCCATTTTCGCGCTCTACAATGTGCATTTTCGGATTCAGCGTAGCGAATAGGCCCAAGTAAGCACAAAATCTCAAAATCGAGTTTTTGCCCGGACACTGCCTATAAGTAGCATCACTGTCATGATTACCCAACTACAAAGTACTGCCAACTCAAAATTGCGTAGCTCATGTCATTTTTGTCTCTGCTCCGACTTTGCGAGACCCTTACTGCGCTACCATAGCTTCATCCAAACCGATTGATTGCTATATTTATTTGCAAAACATTGTCAAGAATGTTTTTAAATCAGGATCTTTTCTGGTAGTCCTCTTAGTAATAAAAGTCGAAAGTCCTGTACTCCTATGGAAATCTGCCTTTGCTCATATGATGGTATTGTTCACTATTGGGGGAATGTCTCTGTCGGTGCCATCCTAAATTACACAATATAAGATTTCACGCTTTGAGCTGAGGAAATTCCCTACCTTGTTCACCACCTCGATAGGCGTAAAGAAATTGAAAACAACTGGAACATTTCCGCTTCTGGTGAAGAATTGGCGTAGGTGATTCTGAGGGCTTGTACCCCCCAATTCTCGCTGAATTCCATCGAAAGGAACATTGTAGACGCCATTTATTCCTCGGTGATCATAAGGTGAAGGATGCATTGGTGCATCCGGAAGCTGCTGAAGTGGAGCAACGGGAGGCTCATAAGGACCATTTCTCGGCGGGATTTGAGGGAGCTCATGTGGAAGCTGTATTCCTGGCGGGATCTGAGGAGGCATATGTGGACTCTCCACTCCCGGTGGAACTTGAGGGGAAGGAAGCTTGTTTGGGCCCTGTATTCCGGGTGAAGGATGCACTGGTGCATCCGGAAGCTGCTGAAGTGGAGCAACGGGAGGCTCATAAGGACCATTTCTCGGCGGGATTTGAGGGAGCTCATGTGGAAGCTGTATTCCTGGCGGGATCTGAGGAGGCATATGTGGACTCTCCACTCCCGGTGGAACTTGAGGGGAAGGAAGCTTGTTTGGGCCCTGTATTCCGGGTGAAGGATGCACTGGTGCATCCGGAAGCTGCTGAAGTGGAGCAACGGGAGGCTTATATGGCCCATTTCTCTGCGGGATTTGAGGGAGCTTATGTGGAACCTGTATTCCTGGCCGGATGTGAGGAGGCATATCTGGACCCTCTATTTCTACTAAAACTTGAGAAGGAAAAACTAAAACATGAGAAGGAAACTTGTTTGCACCTTGTCTCGTCTAAACTTCAGGGAAGAAAGGCTTATGTGGTCCCTGCCTTTCCTGCGAGACTTGAGGGTATGAAGGATATGGACCCTGCATTCCAGTTGGAACTTGAGGGAAAGGAAGCGAGTTTGGATTCTGCATTCCCACAGGAACCTGAGAGAAATAGGGAGTATATTGATCCTGACGTCCCTGCGGAACTAAAGGGTAAAAAGGATATGGAACCTGCATTCTCGGCGAAATTTGAGGGAACAGAAGTGTATTCGGGTCCTGCGGAACCTGGGGGAAATGAGGCGTATATTGGCCCTGACGTCCCTGCAGAACTTGAGGGAAAGAAGGATACGGACCATGCATTCCCGGCGGGAATTGAGCTAAAGGATTTATCTGCGCATTTTGTTCTTCGTCTCCTTGTTGTTTTCGAGCGGACGGGTTGGTATGTGGGTTTTTCATTCCCTGTGGAGCTTCATCGGGCTTGGGCATTTCTACACCCTTCAGACCTGGCTGAGTCTGAGGGGGAGGTGGCCACGGTGCGCCAGGCTTTTCCTGTTGAGCTTGAGCGAGAGGAACTATGAGAGGTGGGATGAAAGCCCATGTTAGGGCTATCAGTAGAAAAGAGATTTGCTTTGGGAGCATGGTTGTTGATGCTGTGATTTCATCCCTTTTTATGCAGTCGGAGTGCTATTTTAGGAGTACATGAAGCGCCATGTCTATCCAGTCAAAACATAGCAAGTAATAACAACATTTTCTTCATTTTTCCTGTGCGATATTTTTGAAATTGCTTTGCAGATTCATAACGTCACTGAAAAATTGCTCACTTAGCTTGCTTGGTCATTTCTTCATTTCATGGCCAAGTCTTAGTCATTCGCTTCAGCTCTTCGACATCGACAGTAATTTTGTTTTTCCACGCTGGACTTGGTATGGCACTCTTAATTCTGGAACTGTCAATTTCAGGAATCTTTATGCTTTCAATGATGATACAAATCTTCACTCGCTATTCCTCAGTTGTAGTAACTGAACAACTTGTTAACGCTTCAATGTATTGAAAATAAGTCCATCTGACTACGAGGAGTACAACCTCCTTTCCAATATTCTTCACTTGCTATAGACCAAAGACTTGGATATTTGGTCATCTGGTAAACGACAAAATCGTAGCCCAGGTAGCTTACAAAAAAGCTTGCAAACGGGCCAATACAGTCCGTTCTTGCAATACAAGCCAAATCCAAGTAGGCTGTAGTTTTAAAATCTCAACGGGTAATGTATAATACGATGAGCGGAACATTTATTGCGCAAGATAGTTCTTGTGCATGTCTATTGTCCTAAATTTTCGGATCATGTGGTTTTGATTATACTTTTGCGACACCACTGCCTCCTCGGGAGAGGATCTGGTACTCGTTTTCTAATGCACGTGAGGACTGCTTCAAAGTTTTCGCAGTTTTTGCCATCTTCTTAAAGGCACCGTCAATTCTCAGTGGAGAGATGTGAGGTTTGCGACTGTACACCATATTAAGCCTCCCCACTAAACCATTACCGGAGTTCAAAAGCAAATGATTGTTTCCAAAGTGAGCTATTCGCTAGATATTGGAGGATGGTGGGCGCTGCGAGGCCTCCCGCCTGGCTTGGAGGCGCGCCGCCTACCCAGTGATTTCCCTTGACACGTGAGACCGTATATGGCTACGATCTGCGTAAAGGTTTTTTCTGCTTTTTTAGCTTGTTAGCATTTGTTATTATAAAAAAATCAGGCTGTCAGAAAGAAGGCCAAAGTGACGGTATGCGAATACCCCTTCTACTGCTCTTTATTAGTAAAATGATCACCAATATAGTCTCATTCTCTGACCCAATCAATCGGGTAAGACAAATAACACTAGTAAAGCCGATAATACAGGTAACACTGGTAACACCGGTAACACGAGTAACACGGGTAACACTGGTAACACCGGTAACACGAGTAACACGGGTAACACTGGTAATGTATGGTCAAGGACTTACAAAATGATGATATTTTCGATTTTTCTCCGAATTCCTTGAATAATCTTGGACAAACTGCAACTCGCACTAGTGGGCTGAATTTAATTGCTTATTTGTACACTACTTTCGAGTACGGATTGTATATTTGACTTTGAAAAACTAAGAAACAGGGAATTTATCGAAGTGAGTAAATATGCCTATGCCTATGATCGGCATGCGATAAACTCCTAACAGTTGTCTTGTTGAAGAAATCGCAAAGCGATGAAATCGCGTGATGTATGCCCGGCTCTTGTTTCTTGGAATATGAATTTCTGTCGCGCAACTCTGTGACCATAATTCTGAAGGTGCACTGTTATTAAGGAGAGGTTTGATTAAATTTCATTCTTCTGAATTTTGAAGTAATTACGCCCCTTTATCATATATTCACATGCTTGCTGTTCGAAGATAACAGCATAATTAGCATCTTTGTTATGGTTAATGATTACTCATCTACAAGCTCTAGCCATACTCAAAATAGCGTAGCTCATGTCATTTTTGTCTCTACTTCGACTTTGCAAGACCCTTACTGCGCTACCATAGCTTCATCCAAACCGGTTGATTGCTATATTTATTTGCGAAACATTGTCAAGAATGTTTTCAAATCAGGATCTTTTCTGGTAATCCTTCAGTAATAGAAGTCGAAAGTTTTGTACTTCTATGGAAATCTGTCTTTGCTCATATGATGGTATTGTTCACTTTTGGAACGTCTCTGTCGGTGCCATCCTAAATTACACAATATAAGATTTTACGCTTTGAGCTGAGGAAATTCCCTACCTTGTTCACCACTTTGATAGGCGTAAAGAAATTGAAAACAACTGGAACATTTCCGCTTTTGGCGAAGTCCTGGCGTAGATGATTCTGAGGGCTTGTACCCTCCATCCTTCGCTTCGTTTCGTCGAAAGCAACTTTGTAAACGTCATCTATTCCTCGCGGATAATAGGGTAAAGGATTCGTTGGCACATCCGGCACTTGATGAGGTGGAGCAAAGGGAGGCTTATATGGACCATTTCTCGGTGGGATTTGAGGGATCTCATGTGGGACCTGTATTCCTGGCGGGATCTGAGGAGGCATATGTGGACCCTCCATTCCAGGTGGAACTTGAGGGAAAGGAAGCTTGTTTGAGCCCTGTATTTCCGCTGGAAGTTGAGGGAAAGGAAGCGCATCTGGATTCTGCATTCCCGGAGGAACCTGAGGGAAATAGGGTGTATATTCCTGACGTCCGTGCGGAACTGGAGGGTAAAAAGGATATGGAACTTGCATTCCCGGCGAAACTTGAGGGAAAGGAAGTGTATTTGGATCCTGTGGAACCTGAGGGAAATGAGGCGTATATTGGCCCTGACGTCCCTGCGGAACTTGAGGGAAAGAAGGATACGGACCATGCATTCCCGGAGGGACTTGAGCGGAAGGATTTATCTGCGCATTTTCTTTTTCGTCTCCTTGCTGTTTTCGAGCAGACTGGTTCGTATGTGGGTTCTTCATTCCCTGTGGAGCTTCATCGGGCTTGGACATTTCTACACCGTTCAGACCTGGCTGAGTCTGAGGGGGAGGTGGCCATGGTGCGCCAGGCATTTCCTGTTGGGCTTGAGCGAGAGGAACTATGAGAAAGAGGATGGAAGCCCATGTTGGGGCTATCAGTAGAAAAGAGATTTTCTTTGAGAGCATGGTTGTTGATGCTGTGATTTCATCCCTTTTTATGCAGTCGGAGTGCTATTTTTAGGAGAACATGAAGCGCCATGTCTATCCAGTCAAAACATGGCAAGTAATAACAACATTTTCTTTATTTTTCGTGTGCGATATTTTCAAAATTGCTTTTCACATTGGCATCACGTCATTGGAATATTGCTCGCTTAGCTTGCTTGGTCATTTCTTCATTTCATGGCCAAGTCTTAGTCATTTGCTTCAGCTCTTCCATCGACAGTAATAGATAATTTTAGGAAGAACGATGTTTTGTTCTTCCGTCCTGGACTTGTATGGTGCTCTCACTCCTAAGAATGTCAAATTCAGCAATCTTTATGCTGTGAAATGCGATAATCAAATTTCAGTCGCTCGTAGCTGGTGTGCACATCATGTCTTTGGTGATAAGGTGCAAGAGAACGAAACTTTTGAAAAAGGTAGGTTTCCTAGGTCACTACTAGAAGATAATATAAGGATTGTGTAATAGTATTATTACTTATATTATCTCGGCAAAGATAACAAGAAAATCTCAACGTATCTTATGAGTGGAAGAAGCGCAATATCAGATGCTTAGGGTAAATTGTCGGCAAAGAGCTTTTTATTGAACATATTCAGATCGTCATTACGCAAATCCAAGGTGGAGACGTTTTATAATGGTTACTATGAATTTATGCTCCATATCGTCCTCAGTTGTAGCAAATAAACAGCTTGTTAACGATTCACCGTATCGAAAATGAGTACAACTGATTACGAGGAGTACAACATCTTCTTCAATATTTTTCAGCTGTTATAGATTAGGGACTTGGATATCTGCTAAACGAGAAAATCATAGCCCAGGCGACTCACGAAAAGGCTTGCAAACGGGCCAATACAGTCTGTTCTTGCGATACAAGCGGAATCCAAATATGCTGTAGTTTCGAAATCCCAACCAGTAAGTTATATTACATGAGCGATACATGATGAGCAGAACACCTAGTTCCGTCCACAAGATAATTTTGGTGCATGTTAATTGTCCTAAATTTTCGTATCATAAGGTTCTGATGGCATACTGCTGCGCCACGGCTGCCTCTCCGATGCTCATTTTCTAGTGCCGTTGAAGAGTGTTTTCAGTCTTGCAGTTCTTCCCATCTTCTTAAAGGCCCTAACCTTAGTTGTGGAATGTAAGATTATACTATAGTAGGTATTTCCACTAAACGATTGCCGAAGTTTGAAAGTAAATGGTTGTTTTCAAAGCGAGGTATTCGCTCCGAGATATCGAGGGATGGCGGGGGCGGCGAGGCCTCCTGCCTTGGGGGCGCCCGCCTACCCAGTGATTTCCCTTGACAACAATCATCTGGAACCGTGTATGGCTACAATGTGCGTAAAGGTTTTTTTCTGCTTTTATTAGCCTATTAGCATTTGATATTCAAAAAATCAGGCTGTCAGAAAGAAGACCAAAGCGACAGCGTGCGAACTAGTAGTGCCAAATTTAGTGTTCTGTTAGTGTTTCAACTGCGTGTAGATAGATTGATTTGTGCTACAGTGGAAAAATAATCCTTCATTAATAACTTTCCAGAAACCTCACAATGGCTCACGAAAATGCTGTACAGTCATAACAACGCCGATATATCCGTTCCTGTTATAGTGCAGTCATTTCTTGGCTGTGTTCCGGGGAAGGATTTTGTGCGCTGAGCATGGAATTGGCTCACAACGAACATAGAGGGAGCACTGGAGCCGTGGAACGTTGTTGTTCTGAAACTCCTGTTAACCGTATGAAATATTTTACGAGCGACAGACTTTGATGAAGTAGATATTCCGAAGCGCTGCATTATGCTTCTCCAGAGACATCGACGTAGCTTCGAAGAGGTAAGGAGAAGAGCCCACGGGGGACAAGAGTACATTAAATCAACAACGGGATACCTAAATGTTATCTATATGGCTCCGGCCAGACTTCGTTCAAAAGCGCTCAAAAGCGCCCAAAGCGCCCAAATTTCTCTGTCTCTTTACTTTCTTGTGTGAGGAGAGATGAGGGAAAGTGAGGAGAGGTTAAAGAAATTTGGGCGCTTTTGAGCGCTTTTAGGCGCTTTCGGGCGCCGTTGAGCAAAGCCTGGCCGGGGCCTACAATTAGAATATTCAGGGAACGTATGTATGCCGATTATGACCGTCTTTATACTTTGTTACCAAATAAGAGGTCCAAATTTGTAACTAAATATCCTCTTTGATATGGTCATTCCTCGTACCTCAAGCACTGGAGCAATGTGGCACTCCTATCAAATGATCATCATTTTTCTCAGCTTTAAGAAATTCAAGAAAACACCTGTGATTGTCAAAGCGTGAAGTTTACACATATTCATTTGTTGCATTTCAAAAGCGCGAGGAATGAGTTCGAAATCGTAATGAGTTTTGTGAAATGCCAAGTGAGAGAAACAAGAAACTGAAACGGTGAATTGAGGGATCCTCCTTTCTTAAATGCCAAGTGAGCCTACTCGTAAGTAAATATTATTGGCTTGTAAATACTTATTCTGAGACTGAATTAAGCTTCGAATAAATGGCATCTCTTATGGCCTTGAAATTTAGCAGAATTTACTTCTGATTTTTTCAAGAAGTCAAAATTTTTGCATCTGCATGGAATAATCAATATCTAAGTACTGCTTTTTTGTAACTGTTGATTTGTTGTGGCAATGCAAATATAGTGTCTAGAATATATATAAACCAAAACTCACGACAGATCATTGATAAACATCACTTTCGATAGTTTGTCATTAAATGTAATGGTGAGCACTTGCATAATTGTGTTCGGAGTGTATACAACGAACATTATAAGTGCTGATAAAAGAAGGCGATAGTCCACCGAACTGCTCTGAAGTGAATGCCTTGAACAAAATTAATGTTCCCGATGCTCGTCGAGGTAACTTACGTTTGTAATTCGATCCCTGAATAATTGCCTTATTCGATATACTGTGCATATATACATGACTAAAGAAAGAAATGTAGCCAAAGAAGATCCTACGGTGTCGACGAGGGCTAACACCTAAACAGTTTTAATATCTGTTCAACTAAAAATTGTGAGAGGTAAGCACAAATTACCAACTTTTGTAGATTCTGGATCACTCTCGAGGCGTAACGTCTTCTCAGAGGCGTAAACCACAAATTTGAACATATAATGAGGGTGAAATATTATTGGCAGCATAACTACCAAGGGAACTATAAATTGAACAGCGCGTACCTGCCAGACAAGAGACGAGCTCCAGATCTAAATAGACAAACCGTGACTCATATCTTTGTGATTGAAATTTTACTTGAAGGCAGCGTCCACCCAAAAATTCGCTTCTCATGTTTTTGCCACTTCGAGGCCTTTTTGTGGCCCTCATCACAGTTAAGAAATCAAATTATCCAAAACTCTCAGAAAACCCGACTCCTGAGACCCTGTTTTGATGGCGCGCAGACGGCTTTTCAATGGTGGGCGGAGCTTGATAGGATTTGGTCAGATTTAGCCTGGACACTGCTTTCAAAATGCGCCAACCTACTGGAGCATTTCTGCCATTAAATACAGTACACCACTCTTCACCGACGAGCCTTGGCAGCGTTTGCTACTACACTTAACCTACGAGCGGTGGAGGCGAAGCAGGTATAACGAAGCCCCTTACATTTCTATTTATTATCCAGGGCCCCTCAAGCTAAGGAGGAAGTCGACAGTATGGGCAGATAGGCAGCGATATCAGATCAATTAGAGCAAAATTTTGGAGAAGAAGAAGCGATAGCATGGCACAACGAGTGTTTTGACTCAACATAAGAACTGCTGTCTCTGGGATCTTTATATCAGATGGAACGGTGGTCAAACACTTATCTAGACCTTGCTTTTTTCAAGTCTGGAGAGATTCAAGGTCGCTGTAAATGACAATAACTTTCCTTGAATGAACAATCTTGTACAAGCTAATCTTTGAGTAAATCGCTTCACTGAAGCGCTTGAATATGCATACTGCTTTCTTGCTGAACTGCTTTCGAGCGGGTGATGCATCTTCAAAAGACTAAGGTACAGAGCTGTAAAATAAATGTCACAGAGATGTAAAATAAATGTCAAAGTGCAATGCATACTATAGTAATGCCGCATATATTCATCGAAATGAGTACTATGCCTACGAGATCCTGTTACTTTTTACTCGGAAGGTATGGGATTTTACGGAAGCCTTATAGTTTTCTGAAGAAACGAAGGCAGTTTATTCAGCTTAGTGTGAAACACACAGTTACATCGCTCCTTCCAGCTCCTTACAAAAAAATCTGATTTTTTCAAAGGGGCAACGCACCTTCTCATAACTGATAGCTTTCACTGCAGAAGTTAGTCGGTTAGCTGCTATGGATATCTCTCCAAGATAGACAACCATTTTTATATAATAGTGTAAACCAATGGATATTGGCGGCACAATTGTCAATAATTGCGGGTTTGCAGCGAAAAAGTCATTAAGCAGTCCGTACTTGCGAAAGCGCATTAACACCGTGAATTCAGCGAAGAATATCACGTCGACCAGGAACTAAACTTGCACTTAATTGGTATCTCTAATAAACTTCGATACTTACGTTTGTCCTGCAGAGGCGAAAGAAGGAACCTTTTAGGAAAGGTTCTTGCTTTCTGAGCTTGCCTACACAAGCAATTATCAACGTATACATGAGCATAGAGAGTATTGCAAATATAAGCATTATTAATTGTAGTGCTGGCATCATTTGGAATCTAAAATGTGTCGTTTTCATGTGCATATTTTCTCTGATATTTACATTGGACATTTACGTTAGGTGAAAAGGAGAATTCGTGTGTAACAATGTGACATTTTTCACGTTCTCGAAACGATTATGTTAAAGCAAGCGGCTTCAGTATCTACCATAGAACAACAAGCCTTTCCAAAATATTATTTGGTTTTGTTTGGCAACTTTTCCAATTAAATGCTACGATACAAGAGAATAATGACTGAAGTATGATAGTAACTTGAATCGCATTTTTGCAGTGAATCGCTGATCTACTAGACAGTAGGTTGAAAAGAAGAAATTGTCACTTTTTTCGGGTATTTCAGTTTAAATTTTCGTTTGCCAAGAACTAAAGGATGTCTGAGGCCAGGATTTGTGGTTAAAGTTTCGAAGGTTTGTAGTATACAACGACATATACAATACCACCCGTAATTTGTGAAAAAAAATGGCGGCGGCACTTAACTTACGCGGCGCCGCCATTTTTTTTCACAAATTACGGGTGGTATTGTACGGGAGGAGCCTAAGACTACTGGGGGGGGGGGCGTTTGGCATTTTCTTTTTCAAATTTTTTCATCATTTTCAGGCATGACTAAAGCAAGAGGACCTCTGAATAAGTGCATGTGTCTGTTACATAGAGGAGGAACTGAGAATTCGTAATTTTTCATGGCGTAATCCCGATTTTTGGCATCATAATTCGCTTTTATTTGGTAAATTCTTTGCGTAAATCACGGCATCTGCCAAAGTCCAAAAGTGAACTTATAGAGCTTCCGTCGCTCTATCAAATGGTTCACTTCATATATTTTTTTGAATTCGTCTTAGTGCTTTCCTATGAAAAACGACAGTACTTTCTTTCCAACCTAATAATTACAGGAATAAAAAGAATTCGAGAGGAATCATAAAAAGCAAAGTTACTTGGTGAGCAACACTTGAAGTGCTTGGTGCAAGCAATAGTAATCAGAAATCCGCAATTTGCGATAAGCGAGTTGGTGCGCGGTATAATCAAGTAGAAAATTGCCTTTGAAATATGCATATGCCATAGAACGAGGATAACGGCCTAGTCAACCTTCATTTTTCTAGCTCACTGTGATTTTGAGGATCAATCATACTCATTTTGAAATCAAAGTATACTGATCCATGCGTAACCATCTTCCAGAGGCTGTGGAGAATGGCTTAGGATGACTGCCGATTGCGTTCGGGCAGTTATCATGAGTGCAGGTTTTGATTCTTAAATCCGTAGGTGTTTAATGTATTATATTCATATAGTAACTGAAGCTAGCGGTTGGGGACGGCCCCTGTGTTTTTCTCCACAAAAGGTGCTCCGCCGCAGGACCGCTATGTGGTCTGCTTTTCAGTCCTGTCCCTTTAAAGGCAGTGTCCCGGCAGATTTTGCGTTTCCACATTATTGCATGTTTTAGGCCTCTTCGACTCGTAAAACCCGAATCTGAGCTTAGAAGCGGGTGAAAAGACCGTTTTTGGGGAGTTTTCCCAGTTTCCACAAAGCGGCTCGGACGAGAGTTTCAACGGATATATTTGGGAGGTTCCGCGCGGAGACCCTGCCGCCTGTATTTCTTGCTTTGATATAGCATGCACAATGCGGAGAGCGGTAATGGGGTCCCGCGCCGAACGGTGAGCGAAGTCGTCGAGCGCGCGCCGATCGGGCCTGCGCGCGCCGGTTCGGGGGCTATTTTCTCGGCCTGGGGGGAACATCAACTAGCCGGATTAGGCCTAGAGGTTAGCGAGGTGGCCAGGAACCCCACCGCAGCGATATCACCGAGGGCGCGAATCTGCCGGGACACTGCCTTTAACTCTTTTAACTCTCTTATTTTGTGCCCTTTAATTCAATTGGCTTGGCGGCTGAAAGGCGGGGCTTCGTGACCTAATCAAGGCTAGATAATGATCAGAGTGTACGCGCTCGAGATCTGCGTCGCGGGCGCGAGCGGCCTCAATCAGGTCACAAAGCCCCGCCTTTCAGCAGCCAAGCCAGTTGAGTCAAAGGTGAAATGTACTTCTTTGCAGCTGTTTTGTTATTGCACTGTGCACTAGTAATCCGTTAATCAGACAAAAGTTTGATTACTCAAAACCGAGGTCAAACTTGAACGCCTCGCATGCTTTCAAAGTCTCGGTAACAAGCAAGCTGACCAAGTGCCAGTTCGTAAAGTGAAAATTTCAAAACCATTTCTTTTGCGTAGTAAAATGACTCCTGCTAATCTCTGAGATTTTACTGGAATAACTTTGCTGAACACAAACTCAGCTCAATTCGGTAATGTGTGTATACATGCTGATCATAATCGAAACAGGGAATCCATCTCGAGATAAAACCATCTGCTAGCATATTGCATCTCTACCGTAATCCACTACTGCAACGTGGACATGTTGTGACTGGCACATTTAACAGCTGCCCAGTATCATACAAGGTATAAAACAGATTAATGCAATTTCGCTGCAGAGATATGATTACCGTAATTACCAGAAATTACGGTGACGCTTTGCAAAAAGTTCTCGACGAATTTTAAATACATATCACATCGTAAAAGGCAGACTATGTACTTTACTTGATTTTGTTGCTTTCATGAACTCTGATACAGTTGTGGTTATGAAAAGTATGGAAATCGTGCAGTCAATATCAATAAAGACTGTTCCCTGGCTGACGGAGGAACGGAAATTATTTTCTGTGAGCATTTATTTTGCAACATCCGCATGCCAATCAAATTCTCAATGCATCAGTTTTCAAAGCTTCCTCTGTCCAATCATAATTTCGATGAGTGGCTCATTTGAATGGCATGACAATATGATTCTGCAGCCACAGAACATTTATAAGGGTGTGTAGACCAGTTTTGTTCAACTGTACGTCTCTAATTCTTGAAACAATGTTGTGCATTTTCACAGCACTAGCTGTGATCGGTTCGGTTTATGCGCACTGCACCCAAGAAGGTGCACCATGCCATGCGCCTCCTCCACCACCGCCACCGCCGCCACCGCCACCTCCACCGCCACCGCCACCAGCACCTGTTGTGATTCCCGTAAGTTTGTGTATATAAAAACTCAAAACAATACGAATACGCAAGATCTTTACTCTGATTTTAAGGTGGTTATGAATCCTCCGCACAGAAGATACTCTTCTTCCTCCTCGGAAGGTAAGCCTACATGCGATACCGTCGGTGCCGCCGTTGAAATCTGCGAAATAAACGCGATGTCGCATCTTAAGCGCTATGTCGGAGGACTCTTTTTGAGTCAGATCTTCACAGTGAAATGCACATATTCGGATAGCTCATTGGATTCTATCCAGAACTGCTCGTATCTTCTGTGATACTCCTGCCTTTCACAATTGAGTGATTCCAAACTTGTGTCAAATATGACTGCCGCGTAATCGATTATGAGCTGTTAACATCCAAGTTCGCTAATTTTGTCGTCAATTAAAGTTGGAAGGGCATGGGTTTTGCAAAAAAATATGGGCATTTTTAGATAGAGTAATTGGTCTCTCTCAGCAAAGATGCTTTTTCTTAGAATCATACTTTAGAAGTGTTATATTCCGACTCGATATCGCGTTTATTTCGCATATTTAAACGGCGGCACCGACGGTATTTGGAAATTCAATGAAAAATTCTATTTGAACCATTTTTTTGCCTCAGAAAGAAGATGCGGACGATGTGGTCCTCTTAAAACGTCTTGTAAGGACGAAACACGCAAATGTACGGAGGCTATAATCAGGTAATATACGAATATCAATTTGTCATTTTTATGTGAAAAATTTCCGACCATATGAAAATATTGGCCGCAAATGAAATAATGATTTACAAGATTTTGATTTTATCTATATGTTCGAACATGGAACGACAAAGCGTCAACTTGAAATCTCTACTCCGCCAGTTTTCTCTAAAAATCTGCAGAAACTTCCATAATACTAATAAAAAATGAACTGTACAAAATGCGGCTGAAAATAGGAACTACGTTGACCACCATGGTTGTAAAGCAGCTGTGATATCCTGCCCATCTTCGAAGTATCCTGTCACTTTGGAGACGAATCTTGGACAAAGACTGTTTGAGGGCGCGTATAATCAGATAATGGCCAAATGCAGCAGAAGAAGGAATAAGTAAGAAGGCATTTTATGTATGAATAGCAATTTGTATGTAGATTTGCAGATGGTACGCTCCCGATGTCAAAGATGACAAGGCCGAGTTTCGTACAGTAAGATGCATTGTACGCGAACCAAGACTTCATCCACCACACCTCCATTGAGTAACACTGTGAAATGACTTCATCCCCTGTTGTCTGCAAAACATTGCCATTGCAGATCACTGAATAAACGTATCCGATGCAATTTTCAAAGAAAACCTTATTCAAAAAATAGGAATCTGCATCGCACAACATTGGTATTCTGTGTACTGAATAATAGAAGTTCTCTCCAATAATCCTTTCCTTCATACTCATAGTCGGTAAAAAGGAAATTGTTACAGCTTCAAGTGATTATCTAGTACCGCAATTCACAACTGAAAGGTGGGAGGAAAAGAAAGATGACTGGCAGGAATTCTCAGTTACAAAATTTGCTAAGCATACATTCAACAATTTTTTTGAGTATTCTCATACAACTAAAGCTCAGAAATATTTGCGTTTACATAGTACAACTGTTTAATGTCAGAGGCACAGTCCACTCAAATGTGATTTTTGACTTTTTTATGCGACGCAATAGAAATGATCCTTATGAGTGCGAATCTTAGTGCGACAGATGTTTTCCGAGTGAAAAATATATTGAATAAAAAAAAAACTAAAAGATATGTTTCTCTGAAGTGCAATGGCTTCTCTCAAAATTGTCTTCCCAATTCGTATGTGCTAAATCTTTTGAATTTTAAAAATGTCAAAGAAAACTTTTTACATATTGATGTAAGGAAATGAGCTCTTACTTCAAATATGTTCATTAAAGATTATTCTTACAGGTAGCTTCGAGAATTTTGTTTTTCTACACAGTATATCATGTTCCTTTGAGTTGCGATTTATTCAATAATTGCTAAATCGAGGAGACTGCCCATAGCTCGATGCTAGGTAAATATCGCCATATTGCTAGGTGCTGGGTATTGAAGCAGAAACAATGCGTCCATATCTGTAAATGGTAATTTCCGTAGATGAATGGCAGAGCGATACGAAGATCAGCGAAAACGTCTTGTTCTCCGCTTTCAGAAAATATATATTTACATGCCGTACTGTCAAGAAAACTTGTTGAAAAAGTGTGCAGACGATTTAAAGCACGTTTCTAGTTAAAAAAATTGTAACTTCTGCAGATGAGCAGCTAAAACGAGAAGAGTGCAATTGGAACCTCTTGTCCTTCGCTTTTCGGAACTCTTTACGCTTTTGAGGTAAGAAGATGTCTTGAAACATTCATATCACGAGCGATGCCGCTTTGTCATTCCTTTTTCCTAAGCTCCAACAATTTCAACTCAAATCGGCCATTTTGAAATCAGCGGGTTTACTGGATCAGCAAAAAGTTACACCCATAATGAATAGGAAGGAAAAGATCTCTCAAATGATACCGAACATGCCAATCGTAGCGTTCTTGTGAGAAGTATTTGATGTGAGTTTATCAACGTAAATTTCGGACACATCTTCTGAAAAAAAACTACCATTTCTTGGTTTCGGTTCTCGAAAAAACAGCAAATTTCTTCTGTAGCATAATTCAATTCCATTTGATACTAAACTGGCAGCAATGTTTCTACCGACAAATGTTCAACTTGTTCAAACACATGTTGTCAAGTTTGTCATTACTGTGTCTAATCATCCAGATATAAAATCTTAGCCATGTTTACCACCTCCCTATAGCCAAACAGTTCGTTTCTGATCTCATTCTAAAGCATAACTGACAACAACTTTTATTTTCGTAAAAAAGCTGAGAGAACGCTTTGAAAAAAATTTTCACTCCTCATCGGCTGCTTCATCCAAGTTCATTTACTGTCTGAGGGGGCTGTTGCCATATAGGGTACGGTTATGATACGAAGAATATCCACGTCCACCTAGGTTTGTTGCTTGAGGCGACTGAGACCACGTGTTTCGATTCGGAGGATATCCACCTCCGTTCCTTTTTTGAGGAAATGGCTGCGATGGATTTTGATTAGGAGGATATACATTTCCGTTTATGGTTCCAGAGGGTTGAAGCTGCGGATTCTGATATGGAGGATATACGTTTCTGTTCATTGTTCCAGGAACTTGTGACCATGTAGTAGGAGGAGGTTGATCAGATAGAGAAGTCTGCCCGCCGATACTTCCCTGAAAAATGCAAATTTAGTTTTTACGCTTTCAAACTCAGGACATTATTTACCTTGTTCAGCAGATTGACATAAGTATAGACAATGAAAGCAACTGAGGCATTCCCGCCTTTCAAAAAGATTTGACGCAGTTGCTCCAGAGGAATCGGGCCTTGGATTACTTGCTGTTGACCGGGAATTGTAATGGGACTCTGCGTTCCCGGGGGAACTTGCCCGAAAGGAGGCGTGTTTGGACCGTGCACTCCTGAACCATGTCCGAAAGGAGGCGCGTTTGGATCATGCACTCCATAACCTTGTCCGAAAGGAAGCGTATTTGACCCTGCATTCCCGGTGGAACTTGTCCGAAAGGAGGCGTGTTTGGACCATGCACACCATAACCTTGTCCGAAAGGAGGTGTGTTTGGACCGTGCACTCCTGAACCATGTCCGAAAGGAGGCGCGTTTGGATCATGCACTCCATAACCTTGTCCGAAAGGAAGCGTATTTGACCCTGCATTCCCGGTGGAACTTGTCCGAAAGGAGGCGTGTTTGGACCATGCACACCATAACCTTGTCCGAAAGGAGGTGTGTTTGGACCGTGCACTCCTGAACCATGTCCGAAAGGAGGCGCGTTTGGATCATGCACTCCATAACCATGTCCGAAAGGAGGCGCGTTTGGATCATGCACTCCATAACCTTGTCCGAAAGGAGGTGTGTTTGGACCGTGCACTCCTGAACCATGTCCGAAAGGAGGCGTGTTTGGACCGTGCACTCCTGAACCATGTCCGAAGGGAGGCGCGTTTGGATCATGCACTCCATAACCTTGTCCGAAAGGAGGTGTGTTTGGACCGTGCAATCCTGAACCATGTCCGAAAGGAGGCGCGTTTGGACCGTGCGCTCCTGAACCATGCCCGAAAGGAGGCGCGTTTGGATCATGCACTCCATAACCTTGTCCGAAAGTAGGCGTGTTTGGACCCTGCACTCCATAACCTTGTCCGAAAGGAAGCGTGTTTTGACCCTGCATTCCCGATCGAACTTGTCCGAAAGGAGGCGTGTTTGGACCATGCACTCCATAGCCTTGCCCGAAAGGAGGCGTGTTTGGACCATGCACTCCTGAACCATGTCCGAAAGGAGGTGACTTTGGACCGTGCACTCCTGGCCAACCAGGGTCGAATGGAGACATGTTTGGTCCCCGCACTCCCGGCGAAACTCGAGCGATAGGAACCTGTGCATTCGGCGCTACCACACCTAGCTGAATCTGAGCTGGATTGGTATCTAGCATCCTAACTCCCGGCGGAACTGTGGAAAATTCAGGCAGTTGTGCATCAAGCACTCCTTGCTGGGCTTGAGTCCATGGAGGCACATCTCCTCCCTTTGGCTCAAACTCCTCTAGTTGGTCTTCAGAGAAAGGAGACGTCTCATTGGAAGTGGAAAAAGCCCAGGTAAGGGCAACGAGTGAGAAGTAGATCGACAGTGAGAGCATGGCTGTTGGCGCAGGCGCATAGTTTTCTACTCTTTTATACTGTCGGAAAAATATCTTGGAAATTTAAAAGACGCTGTTGTTCTGCTAGTCAAAACATAATGTGTAACAGCAACATTTTCTTATTCTGTGCAGCATTTTTGGAGCTTTCCAACATCATCAAATTATTGCAATATTGCTCACTCAATCTGTTTAACATCATCAAATCATTTCTGCTGGTGACATTTTATTGTCACATCTTATTTTCGTTTCCGCTTGACATCATTAGCGTTATTTTCAACACTTTAATGTTGACTAGTTGCGCTTTTCAAGAAACAACGCTATGTCTGATTGTTGGCGAAACCTGGAAGCAAGAAAGCAAGGAGCAGCAAGGAAGTCAAGGAAGCACACTAAACTTCGTTTTCAGGAAAAAAAAGTGATATTGTAAAACACTCTGTAACACCGCAAAGCACATCTCACTATTAAACGATCATTTGCTTAGGACAAATTCGTGCAGTCAACGTGCTCTAGCGTGTTCCCTCACGAACGCGCGAAATTTGAATGCAAAAGTAAAAATTTAGATAGCTAGACTGTCGTTAACTTTTGCAGGAGGATAGGTTGTAGAAGCGCAAGAAGTATAGAATGAAAAGAAGATATTTGCTTGAAGAAATATATGCTCAGCGCCAAACCAGTCATTTTGGTGATGTTTTGGAAGAAGACTAATCTGGGATAGCATTGCTGCACAAAATTTTCCAGAGTTTTTTTTTTACATTTCAATGTTCTAGGTAAATTTGTATGCATATTGTCCAATTCAGTAACTTATGTAGGTAACATACAAACAAGCCATTCGTTTATTTTACTAATGTTCAAACTTCCCGCGCTCATGAAAAAATACATTAGAGCATTTCAATGAAGTGTAATCTCATGAAGATGAAGGAACGAGTAATATGTTTTTATTCAGAGAGAATTTACTTCTTCAATTGTGTGAACATCTACTATACAAAAGTGAAGGGATGCTGAAATGCGAAAAAAAGCTTTTTTTGTAGAAACTTACCTGTGCTGGTTGCAAAACCAGTTCACAAGTGCTATCCGCATTTTTTACAGGGCTGAGACTTGGCTGAAAAAACAAGACAAAGAGAAGAATGAAAAACTATCTGCACCAAGTTGCCATGAAGATTTGCAGCACTACCTTTGTATAGAAAAACTCTAATCATGACTAAGAAAGCATATTGTGAAAAATAAAATTTAGGAAAGTAAACTAACCTGCCCTACATATGATTACTTTAATCTTATTAAAATGATCTCACTATGAAGGTGGACGGTTTTTGAGGTTAAAAGAACGCGTTCAATCGTTCTGCAATGCAAACAGGTTAACAAGGTTTTAACCTACAGACGACAAATTTCTACAGCTTTTTTTTAAGGTTTGCTGATGACTTGAGTCCTTACCTGATTCTTGGCTGATATGAAGTTGACAGAGAAGTGACATCTTGAATAGTTCGTTGAAAAAGCAGCACATCTGCAAGGAGGAAAGGGACCACTGGTGGCCAAAGGTTGTCATTGGGCCGAGGATGGGATATTGAAAGATAGAAAGAAATATAAGGTTGCAGGTTAAGGAAATATAAGATTTTTCTCACTTCATTTTTTGAATACTGGCTTAGAATGAAAAACCATTCCTAGAGAGTTCTACACACCTTCAAAAGCTCTTTTCTTTCACTTTTTTATGCATCCTTTCGTTCTAATGGAAGTGTAATCGACTAAATATGAGATGTAAATTTTGAAAAATTTCTTAAAATTTTTTGTGAATTTAAGAAACCATATCTTGAAACTTTTTTGATAACTTACTTCAAAACTACAGTAAATCGGAATTTTGTGCATATTTACATGTTGTTTTTGAGTGAGTTATGCTGTGAAACGCATATATTAGGTTGATTCATAATTAATGCACGTTTTTCGAAATTCATCTTCAAAGCGCCGTTATTCTTTTCCCACATCATCTTTCAAAGAGCAATAAGAACTATTGCAAAAAGCAAATCTTTGGCTTTACAACATATACATTCGTTCATGGATAAATGTTACGAGAAAGCTAGTACTATCCGAAAAATGCCAAGAATTTTTTTTAAAAACTCCTATTTTGAGAAAGCATAACTCACTCTCAAAAGCAGGAGAAAAGCGCAAACTTTGTTCATTGCGTAGCCAATGGTCAAGAGAGCAGTGGTAAAAAAACCCGGATTTTACAGTATTTTTCTACGACGAGATACTGCAAAAAGTTCAAAAGTGATCATTTTTTCTAGCTTTTTCAGAAGAGCGAAAAATTGTCTTTTTTGAAAATTTTCGAAATTTTTGCCATTAAAAAGCTGTAAAATTTCACCGTTTTTCTATCACTCAATGCGCTATGTCTATTCTTTGTGTACAAAGCAAAATCGCAGTTATTGGTTCTTGATTCAAAGTTTTATACGATTTCGAAAGGCTAGAATGACCGGCCAAGTTTGTAATTGAATCTCTCACCTCAGAACTTTTGCAAAATTCTGCTTTATAGAGATTTCTAAAGCAAAAAGTTGCGATTATTAGGCACATTTTTTGAAATTAACATCTTTTGTTTTCGTGGAATTAGAGCAAAAAGAATGAAAGGAAAAATTTTCAAATTTTAGTCTCTCATATTCGGAAGCGTAGAATTCGGTATCATACGGAGTGTCACGAAAAAGAAAGGATATACAAGAAACTAGAAGAAACGCCCTTTCAGATAGCATTAAAATTTTTGGGAAAGATTCAGTTTCCTTGAAAAACCAGCGCTTGGAAAAAGAGGTGACAAAAACGTGCATTAATTATGAATCAACCTAATATAATACAGCTTCTAAAGTTATTGAGCCGATCAAAGCAAAGTTCAAAGATCACCACGACGTGTCTGCCCCATATGAAAATCCTCAGCGCGAAGCGATTGCGGAACTTCCGCTGTAAATTAAAAAAATACACTATGGAGGTTTATACGAAAAAAAAAACGCGAGCAGTTCTTTCTTTTCATCTTAGAAAAATTTGAAAGTTACAAGAAAAAACAATTTTTCACTTCTCCGGAAAATCGAAAAAATGGGTGCTCTAAAACTTTTTCAAATATCTTCTCGCAAAATCGTAAATCCTATTTTGGCCTGTTGCACAACCGACCGACTACAGGCTACACAAGATTGCGCTATCTCTTTGCAAGTAAGTTATAGTTTCTCAAAGTAAAGGTTTTCCAAGAAGTGATTTTTTTCGGTGAAGCTACAACAACACAATAATGCACACTAACCTGCCAAAGGTTTGCTTTTTACAACAATTTTTAATGCACACAAAAAGACTATATGTGAAAATTTTGATGATCCAAACTCGAAATCTAGGAAACCTGCACTGATTTTGTTACATCCAAATGTGTACTAGTAGGTCAAATGGTGTGCCTTCCTACTTGCTTGATACTACTCCCCCCACCCCCATGATTGCTTCACCAAAACAGCCAATCGTCTAGGTTTGTCATATCAGAAGAAGTTACACTGATTCTTGCAGTTCTGCTCCAGCAGATGATCTGGTGCAATAACGTTGCACTTTTTCTAGCATAAAGTCAAGGATCATTGAACAGCTACTTGTTAACGGGTATCCTTTCCTTGGCATATTGGTTTCGACAACCTTGCGCGATTGACTTGAACGGACATTGTCGTTTTGGCGTTTTTTATTCCGGTTTTTGTGATAGTATGCCGTTAGGGTCAAGTCGCGCCAAGGACGGCATTTGCTTGGACAAAGCGTTGAATTATAAGGTTAATTCTTACTTTGAGACATTTTACTGCTTTCATCAAGCCATTCACTCTTCAAAAATTATTACTCACCGAGAGAGGACAAGATCGGAAGTTTTATGTGTATTATTTTGAAAAAACCATCACGGTCACACAGAAGCTGCTACGAAACTCAAAGCATGATACGTTCCACGGATAGAATGTTACATTCCAAGTATATTCACAAAAAAAAAATCGTACTATCAATGGTTCTTAGCGAAACACCCATTGAAACTGGTTGACACAGCCGAAATAGACATTCACCTTCTAGAGATTGTTATCTCGTCGTGGTGTGCGGTTAGGTACGGCATTTACTACTAGCTCCTTTCGCTTTTCCGTGTTTAAATTTGAGACTAGTTTTTTTTATGCCATAAAATGATATTAGCTCGCGCAGTTACTGTTATGAGGTCTGTTGATTATAATGTTACTGCTTTACCATATATCAGTGTTTGAATATAAATGCTCTTAAATACGCGTCCACAGAATTAGCTTGAGGGAAAGTAAAACTGTGCAATAATATAAGCTGGACATTTTATGAAGAACAAGACTTTAGCATCGGATGGTCTCAATTTTTTGAAAGTTATGTTCTTGTACCTTTATGCTAAGCACTTAGCATTGCTTGTTATATTTACTGATTCGCACGATTTGTGCCTATTCATTAGGAAAAAATAAAATAAATTATAAAAGTAGTAAAACTCGAAAGTATCCAATCCAGTTTCGTTCTTGCCACTGGACGGATAAGGATGAAAGTACGATCTTCTCCGGAAATCATCATTAGAGAGGGGAGATCGTATGGTTTGGGAAAATTATAAGAAAACTATTAACCTTCGTTCAATTAAATCCTTCTTCTGATCTCATTCCTTATATTTGGACAGATCTGAAAGTCATATAAGAGTGAGTGAAATTTTAATAAAAGATTATCAAAGGGTACATGAAGCACTCAAATCAACAAACGAATAGATACACTCAATAAATAATCGGTAAATAACTAAATCATCCTATATACATCCTTTACGTTATAGTTACAAGATCAGCAAACAATAAATTTCACAGGTAGGTTTAATTCTCGCAAAGAATTTCTAGGCAAAATAGAATTGTCCGCGCAACCAGAAATGATTGAGTGATTCAAATTCTGAGAAAATTTCTACGAATCCACTCAATAATAGCATTTCTTTTTGTGCTACGATCATTTGCCATTATGTCACTATTGTATTGACTGTTCCAGAAACGGCGTTAAGCATTCCAACGATTGTAACGACCTACATTACTACATGAGAACGATGACCTTCAAATTTCCATCAGTGATTTCCCATGCGGCTCTCGGTCTAAGTTGCCCAGGTGTTAGCATATCGACAAGGGCATTCTCATTCTCTCAAAAGTTCTTTGAACCACTGATCGAGAAATGATGTACGGAAGCTAAACTCTGTCCTTTGGCAAAAAGCTAGAGTTACATCGTGAGATGATATCTCATTATGCTAGTTTCAAACTTTATCCTTGCACAATTGCTTTTTTCCATCTAATGCCCTTTTATCACTATCGCGTCACGTCTTATTTTCTCTCGATAGCCCAGTTTTCCTACAATTTCACCAGCATTCATTTTACTTCGATGTCACATTCACACACGCGACGTCCTAGTTTAGATGATTTTTATGATCTTTGCTGTGACATCACTTCAGTTGCTAAATCTTCACACAGGCTTCCTTTCCTCATCCAGAATATCCACTTCGTCGCCTTTTATAGTATTTCAAAGTATAGTCACTTGAGTAAGTTCGAAACTGTCTCGATTTTCTGCAAAATTTCTCCTTTCTATTACTAGAAAATCCTGGAATGTTTTGAGCAGCAAGATTATTTCAAAATTTAGCTATCTATCACGCTGTTTCTTAGATCTTGCACCGAAATTTATTTTGGAAATTTTCAAGGGAGGTAAAAATTCATACCATATAATATTGGTTGGCTAATAAATAAGTTCGGTCGCTTTTGCCGCTTGAATCTTACAAATGCCGCAGACTTGTTTTTGTCGAGTGTTTGGTTCTAGAAAGGGCTATGTAAAGGGACGTGGAATATAAATTCCGTTTGAGTAAAACTTATTTTCAAGGAGAAAAATTCGCAACGAAGTGAGAAACCCCAGTTTTCTCATAAAACGCAAACGAAATTTGGTTTTCTTGAAGAAAGATTTTTAAAACGGCTGATCACATTTTTTATTGTCATTCACTAAATACGAAACACTCCTCTGTAATCTAAATACCATACTGCTGTTCTTGACACTTTACAGCATCAAAACGAAGCTTAGGAAGTCAGAGAATTGAGCTGTTGCAAATATAGACTTTTTGAGGCATAACTGTCTTTACTGGATGCAAATTTCTGAAAATTTGATATGTGATAGAGGAAACTTCGAGCTGCTTTCCCACGAAGAATCTTGGATAGAAAGCAACAAGAAAAATTTCTATGAAGACTTGCCACGAACTTCTTTTTTAGCCATCCTAACAGTACTTGATATAAGCTTTTTGTGATACATACGATTATCTATTCAAAATTACTTTAAACTCAAACGAAAAAGAAGTTCAAAAATCATGACCGCTTTGCACGAAATCCTCACTGTCTTCATACTGTTGAACCAAAGCTATCAGAGTTTATGAAACTCTTGGATAATTGAATCAAAAAATGAATTAAATTGTTCCGATTTATCTACTCGTGCCGATGGGCCAACGCCGATTTTTTTGTCTTATTGAAAAACGTATTATTTCCTTTACTAAGACGATTTATCAAATTTGACTCACTGAAATTGGAATATACGATTTTTCAAAGAATTTGCTGCAAACTCATGCAAAACGCTATCCCTGACGTTTACATGAGTGGAAGTTCATTCGATTCCGTACATCGCACATATTGAGACAAGTACCTATCGTGAAGTCGCAACAAAACCAAGATATTTCAAGCACAGTTTTTGTAGATATTCAACAAAACTTTCTCGATTGACTATAAAAAAGGAAAGGAAGATAAGTGCAAACGATGGCGTCAAAAACGTTTTACTGATGATTTACATTGCGAATTAGAGTAACTTGCATCCGATACTGAACTTCTTTCTATTAATTGATCAATGTTGAATTTGCTATATACTGCAGTCAGTATGTTTATGATCTCAAAATCATTTTTGGTCTTTGAAAGCGAATGCTACAATATGTCAATCATTATCAACTTCTTTATTTTCTGAATGACATTTATGCTGTGAATGCTCTTACTCGCCGTTGTAAATTTTTGACATCGCAGAAACACCCGAACTTTTTTCCCAAGAAAGAATATGTTCCCACAGTTTGTTTGTTAGGAATGCTTTCACTTTTTGTACCATACCTAAGCCAAGGTCATTGCAAGCGCAGCTGTTCTTTACTCATGGAACTCATGCTTCTCTTAGTAATTATGATTCGAATTCTGAAATCGAAAGCTGTTTTTCACTTTATCTCATCTGTGCATTATCACTTTAGATCAACAGACTTCATTTGTGTTGTAAAAAGTCTTGAATTTCTCAAATTTTTCGCCAATTATTATAACCTCGTGGCATTTAACATTTTTCCAGACGCCTAGCTACTGACCCAATTTGCTAAATCGAATCATTGCTATTACTGAATCTTGAAAAGCCATCGCTAATTAATTTGCTTCTTGTTTTTATTCCTGTAACTGCTATGACCGTAATTTTCAGGACTCACTTATGAGGGTTCATGGGTTTTGGATATTAACCATATCGGTTTGTTGTGTTTCTGGCAGCAGTCTATTGAGCAAGACTATAAATGCGGATGGTACAAGAGGTAGGAAATGATTTTCAGGCGGTCATTTCAGCATTAATACAATAATTATTTAGAATTTCGGATAGCAAAGCACATCAAACACAACACATGCCTTTGCCAATGCCGTTGCGTGCCGGAAACAATGGACTTATTTGCTGGTAAACCCGTTATGGGCGCTGGTTCGACAGAACCCGAGGTGGACGATAAGGCTGTGAATGAGGAGACAAAGCTGAATACATCTTTGAAAGAAGAACTTGCCACTTTTGATCCTAGAGAAAAACACACAACAGTAAACAGCGCTCCATCATCAACAACTGCTACAGAGGCAGAGGCACAGTCGACGACTGCGAATCCGCCCAACTTAACTTCCCAGATTGCCGCCACCGCGACAGAACCAAGAGCGGAGATGGAGACCTCAGCTCCAGAAGTCAATCCAACATCCGAAATTCCTGCACAGGAAGAATCTACCCCCTTAGAAAGTGAGAATAAGACTGAAGCGCCAGCTACAACATCAACTTCTAGTTCCGAACCTTCTAGTTCTCCTTCAGTGGGAGCTGAGATAACCGAGCCAGGTAGACTGGAGGAGACTGGAGGAGTAGCAGATACCGAAGTGACTACAACAGCGACAAGTGCTCCAGAGCCAAGTTTCACTACCAGTACTGAAGCAACTACAGAAGCTCTAGTAACGGGAAGCGTCAAAGCAATCGAGACTACACTTGCAATGATGGAGACGGTAACCACGACTCCTTCGACAGCGAAGGAAACGACAACAATTGGCTCCGACGCTGAGATACAAGAGGAAGTAGAAGCTTCAAGTTCGGTAGCTTCATCAACGTATGCCACGAAAGCAATTCATCACGATGCTGAAGAAAAACCTCAAATAGATTCTGTCATTTCGGAAAACGACGGACTACAAAACTCCGCTGACAAGAAGCCTCGAACAAAAATTTCAACCACCTCGACAACTTCAATACCAAAAATTCCGTCCGCCACAACAGATACCTCCGTAGATTCGGCTGCTTCTAACTCTGAGGTCACTACCCATTCAGAAGATTCAGGAACAACTTCTGCTGTTCCTCTTGTTGGCGATGGCTCTTCCACAACAGAGAGTAGAACTACTGAAAATTCTGGCACATCGACAGTTTTGAGAACTTCTGTAGTTCCTTCAGAATCTACACCACTAAGCAGTACTGAAGCAGTGACTGTCACTTCTGAGCCTAAAACTACTACTGTTTCGGAAATCTCCACTACAAAAGGAGATATCCACGCATCTACCGTTTTTGTAACGACATTGATTGACGAGGTAGCTCCTGAAATCACTTCTAAATCTAATACTGTTAGCGCTAGTTCTGCGACAGAGGCAACACAGACAGAAGCACCTCCAGCTCGTTCTGTAGATACAGCTCCTAATGCAGAAAGATCTTATCCCACTCTTATTACATCTGTAGGAGTAACGGAAGTAACGTCGCCAAGTTTGGCTGATTCTACGACGACCACTTCAACACTTCCTTACAGTTCAAGCACTTCGGGAACACCTAAGGAAGACTCAACGCAGACTTCTGTAGAAACATCAACTACTGCCAGTGAAAGTCTTGCTACAGAGCAAAGTTTGACCACAACGGCTGCGAAGAAACCTCGGAAAAATCCATTCCAACCATATCTCAAAGCAAAGGTGTTCACGTCAAGGAAAGAAGAAGTAACAATACCGGAAATTAGTACCACCACGGAAGAAACAACCACGACTACCAGACTACTCGAGGATGCGGATGCAGCAAAACGTGAGCTTTATCTTTTCTTATACTTAATCTTGATGTAACCTATTTTTTAATTTATTTCAGCGACAGAAGAAGAGCTTCCCGAACTGGCTGTTACGGTAGGGCTAAACAGAGAAGGAGTAGTATCCACAGCTCGTTTTGATTCACCTACACCAGAGCCTGCGCATCGTGATTTGCCAGAACGATGGAAGGGTCTTGTCCAAAGGCTGAAGAATAAACTAGCTGAACTCAAGGCAAAAAAGCTACTATTAGCCTTGACTGCCTCAACAACAACAGAGAAAGCTTTAAGTGAGCCTACAAGTACAGCAGCTTCCGAAAGCTCTACTACTACTGCTGAGTCAACTACGCCTTCCACGGCCGCAGCCGAAAAGATACAGGAACTATCCGCCACTATAGTAGTAGTTTCAAACGATGCCACTACAAAATCAACTACTTCTCACCTAAGGTCTTCTTCGGCTGATGTTACGGAAAGCATAGGCACTGGAGCACCTTCATCTACCATTACTACGACTACCACACCTGTGACAAGTACGCAGCAAGAAGTTACAGAAGAAGAAGGGCAAGGTTCGACCACTCCAGGTGTTTCTGAAGCTAAGGATGGTGCTCCAGTGACAGAAGTGGTGAGACATGAAGATGATACTGCATCTGCTTCAACTATGGCTTTTACCACAACTGAGCCAACAATTATTACACTTCAAAAGATTACAGTTGAGCCCTCGACAGCAGCAGCAGCAGAATCAGACCAAACGAGCACGTCTGTAGATATGTCTTCTACTTTAATTACAGCAGGGGAAAGGTCGACATCAGCAACGCCAGCTACAGTAATTGTGACATTCGCTGTAAAATCCGCAAGTTCGGAGGAAGTAAGCGCGAGTGGCATGAGAACTACCGTCACAACATTTCCTTCATCTAGTACAGCCAAGGATCTTGATCAAGAGGTACAATCGCAAAAACCATCTACGGAAAAAGCTACTACGGAAATTACTGTCAGAATCGAGGCAGATGTTGATGTGGAGGCAGTCACTGTCAAAACTGATCCTGATGCGGCCGCCCCTGAGAAACCACATACTCAAGCTAAAGTTATTCCCACGACTTCGATTTCTTCACCAGCGGAAACGACAGCTTCAGTGAGAGAAGAGAATATTTCTAGCGAAACTAAAGCGTCTACTACATCGCTCGTAACGTCCACCAGTGCTGAAGGGCTACCATTCAGAACAGAAGCACCTTCCACCGTAATTGCCACAGTACCTTCTACCGTAACCGCCACAGAACTGCAGACTACAACAGCTGTAGAAGATCTTGTTCACACAACATCTGATCTCAAAAAATTCACTATAACATCCACAGCAACTGAATCCACAACCACCTCGGAATCAACTAGCCTGTCAAGCACGGATCAGACGACAACAAGAGATGACAACGAAAAGGCTGTCGGAGGATTCGTGGTTTCGAAAGATGAAAGTTCATCGTCTGAGGAAGATGAGGATGATGGAAAAAGTTAGTTCATTCTATTCTTCAATCATTCTGTTCAAGCCTAAGGTTCTTTAGAAACTCCAGCCACTACCACCACAGCGTCATCGCCTGAAAAGGCTGTACCGTTCACCATGTAGGCTATGGATTTTTTGAATTTAGGACCACAAAATGCAAATTTCAGTCCACAGCCGCCCTCAGGAAAGCCAAATCTTTTCTCCTCCTTACTAAATGGGCTCATCCGAGCAACACAACCACCTACAGCTTCTGCAACCACCTATACCGCGCTCCAGTAGGTTCAGCCCTGATGATCAGTCATCATCTTTTCTTGCTTATCTTATGCTAAAAAAAATCTGATTTAGGCAGGCAGCTTCCACGGAAGGACCGGAGATTGCAAGCACCGCCGAAATCAAAGTGTAGGTATAAGTGTTATTGCCAAACTATGAATTTCGCAACAGGAAACTGTACAAGAAAATTGGGAACATTTGTCCACTTTTCTAGGACAAGTACATCCGATAGAACACTTGCAAACATGACACATATTATTGTGTCTGTGCAAACGCTACTATGCCAATAATCTTAGCAAAAAGCTAGAAAAGTTTGTCCTTCATGATACCCTTCCAATATGGATTGGCGATTCTTTAGAGGGATATTCAGGTTTCTGACAATTTGGCCAACCAGCAATAACGGTGGTGATATGATGATTTTTGTTAGAGGCCTTTCTAGGCAATTAATAAGTTAATCAATAACAGATAAATGGCGAACTCTGGTCTTAAGCTAAAATAATTCAATTAATGATACTTCTGCTCTCTATCAAAGTTATAACCGTTGTATGAAATTGCTTTTCGGTCTCATTTTAGTTCATTCATATAGTATAAGGCTGAGCGCGAATTTGAAAGAAAAAGCAGCATTCTAGAGATTCGATAGAATAATTCGTGTCATTTCGCAAATCTTATAAACTTTGACCATGGAAAAACATTTATATTTTATTTGCTGTACGAAAAGAAGTGCGAACACTAACGATCATTTTGCCGTTTTTTCTCAGCAATAACAGCTTTGTAAACGATCGATCTTCGATTTAAAGGATATTTTGCAAGTGAGAGTTTCTTTTGAGACACGAAAAGCAGTATTGATATTTTTTATGAGTTCCAAACAACTTCATTCCAAGACTATCAATTTAATCTTATTCATCAAAAAAGCAAGAAGAAAATATGATACGCAGGAAATGTTAGTATCTATTTCTTTTTTGTTGCTTTAACATTGTTCAAAAAGTGACCAGGTCCTGCTTTGTTCTTCGACGAAAATTTCTCAAATTTTTTGATACCTTCCCCAGCTATAGTTAGTCAATCACTGTCTTTAATGTATTGGATATTTCAGTGTCAATGACAAACTCTTAGCTGAAAGTGGTGACTTTGAAAAGCGAATCCGGGAAGAAAGAATACGTTTTGAACAGGTGAGCAAAGGTAACTTAACTGAGTTAGAGCTACATGTTATGACTTTAGGCAAAACATCTTCATGAGGAACAGCGACGATTTGAGCAACAAAAAGAAAGTGACAGCGACAGCGTCCTCAGAGAAGAACTCAAAAGAAGAAGCGAAGAGATGAAACGACGATTGGAAGAGCTGAAAGCAGCCGAGCTGAGGCGACAATCAGCTATTGAGGAACGGCAACGAGAAGAGCAGGTAGTTACAGAATCATTTAAATGCAGTAAATGGAGCTGAAGAAAATCCATATCCTAGGAGCGATTACGAAAAATTGCGGAAAAGAATGAGCAAGAGAAGTTCGCAGAACTCACCTCAACTGATTCTCCAGAAACTGAAACTGTTACGAAGAAGATCAGATATAGGTTGAGACCTTCTCAGGTGAGTTGCTATCTAGAATTCTGAAATGCGAAAGCTTTTAAGCAGGCCCTTTGATATTAGGAGAAATGAATAGACAATGTATATGCGTCTTAGCCAGATTTTATCGTTTGGCAGAGAATGAAGCTGGTTTGTGCTAGAGCGTGGACAATCGAAAATACTAATTGGATTTAGGTTTAGTGGGTTTAGTAGACTTTAAACCTTTTTGAATTGAAACAAAAGCTCTTCAAAAGCTGAGTGGTCAAATCTCCGTCATATTCAACTGCTTCTGAATCTGTCCATACAATTATCGATTTATCGGTTTTTGGCGTTTTTTTTGCTTATCACTTTTAGTTATGTCCGGCCTAAAATGCTTGAAAGAATTGTGATCACCACCAAAAAACTTCAATTATGTGAACTTCGGAACTGGTGGATGTCTCTAAGCTTTTTCAGCTAAAATCAGCCATGGATTTATTGATCTTTAGCGTTTTTCGATTAAAACTTTTGGTTATGACCGGGACCGGCTTAAAATTTTTGAAGAAATATGGGGTACAACTAGCTAAACTTAACTAAACTTTGAGTATCTTCGCTGGCAAAATTTTCCCTCTTGTGCATTTGTAAGTATTTTTTTCAGTATCAGCCAGCAATCTGATAAATACATTTTAGTGTGCTGCAATCAACAAATTCACAAGGGTCTTCAATATCACAGATCCATCAGAGTGGATAGCAAAGAACTGTCAATTGGCAAAGAGGTAAGTGTTTGACTAAAAACTCTTCTCATACCATGAAAACATTTCCGGAATGCACAAATCGAAATGTCTGCACTTTTCTCAGACATTCGCTATGTTTTTTTAGGTACTTCCCGCAAGCGTCGTGTCCTCAAATCCAATCGTTGATTGAGTCATGCTTTGCACTTCTTTAGTTCGGCGTTCTTCTCGAACAGCTGCTCTTAAATCTCATAAAATCAGGAATTTGTATATGGTTTGTATAGCATTGATAGTTCTTATTCAATGTTTTATTTCTCGTCTACGTTTCACTTCTTATGTTTTATTCGTTGTCCTCATTATTTCTACGTGTGGATTGTTGTCTGCGAAAAAATTTACCGCTGTCTCGTCATTGCTCCCACAATTTTCATCCACATTGCCTTCGCTTTGCCTTAGATTTTGTTGTGTTCCATTGATTTTTCTTTACTTTGTTCCATAAAATGTTTCAATCTAATGACTCAGCCTTTATGTAACACATTAATAATCAAAACAACCAAAAAACTTTGTCCTCATTATGCCAGAAGCTTAGTTGTTTCCAAGGCGATCTTCCTCGAATGTAGCTGAATCAATAACAGAAAAAAACTTCTATCTCACTTTGTTATCACAAACAATATACGAGGACAACTCATTTAGCTTCATTTTAGATTCATTTCCTTGTTCGTTTCTTGGCTAGCATGTTAAGGTTATTTTCTTTGCATAAAAGGTAAGAAAAAGCAGATAGAGAGTTTGGGGCCTATCGGCCTCACAATTCTTCAACTTATTATTTGGATATTTTACAGAATTTTACATAATTTCCCTACTCACATTACTTGCATGAATATTCGAAATTTACGAATATTCGTGATATTTTTCTGCATCGAATGTGATTCAATCGTAGATGAGATTAAACTTGCAAGAAACCAAAACATCACTCAATATCTCCTCAATACTAATTTATTCAAGTCTCAGATTCTTGTCACGCTCAGCTTTGCAATTTTTGAGCATCCTAAAGCAAAAATGGAAGGAATTTGTTAATCTGGCACGCTATCGCAAGTCTAGCTAATCAAAATTTCTTCTGCTTATTATGAGAGGTTTCCAAAAGAATCCTTTACTCCTTAGAAAAACTTTATCATGCTCTACTTGCATGTCATATTCAAATTCTAATGAAGAACCATGAAGTCATGATATTTTCTGAATGCCTAAAAATGAATAAATTGGCTAATTTTGCCCAAACCTTTCCAATCAATTCGCACAGTTTATTTAACAAGGCTGTTGAGATGAAAATTTTGAACCCTAATTGTGCTATATGAAATGATGTTTGCTCTATGTGTCAGCTAGGAATAGCCTAAAGTTAAAGCAAATAGCACCATTGCTAAATTAGGCTGTCTGCCCTCTTTGTTGTCAGAAGCACATCGGCGTCACTTTTTGCCCTTCATATCCCACAAAGGGACCTATGACTTATCCCTGAATCTGCACTTTGTAAAAAGAACATCGTGCAGCTAACATTGAAGTCGGCATTGATTATCCCATAGCATGGCTAGAAGTACATTCGAGTAAAGTTACTTTGTACTTTAATAGGACATCCAGGCGTTGCGGCTTATAAGAGAGACGTCGAAGCGCAGTAAAGCTTTATCGACTCGTTCATCCTTCTAATGCTTCGAAAGTGCTTTTCTGAATGCTTTTACGTAAATTAATCTTTAGGATATAATTTTATCATCAAGGCAATTGAGATTACTAATTGAGATTACTAATTACTACTTGTTTCCTGAATTGAATTGCTAGCTATAAACATTCCCACGACTGTCCACACATCTCCCCAGACACGCTTGAAGACATAGTATCAGTCTAGACATTAATGGAGATGTGATGATAGGGTTTCCAATCCGTTAAGTGGGTTGCAAAAGTTTTATGTGAAATATTCACTCGCTTTCCATAATGAGTCTAACTCATGGCTATAAACATATGGATTCGATTCTGCCGTTTAGAGCCAAAGAAAATAAATGCTTTTGGACCACTATACGGAAATAGTTTCATTTTCCAGAGTCTTTGTAAAAATGTGTGGTGATATATCCATTGCAACAGCGCAACCATCAGATAAAAAAGAAATTCTAGACTTTCTTGTAAAGTACTTTCTTGTGGATGAACCAATGAATCAGGTGAATAATTCTAGAATAGAAAGGCTAATAATAAAACTCGCAGTTATTTGCGTTATTTTTCAGGCTGCGGGTATAACTGCTTCAGACTTTCTTCCCATTGCTAGTATTATAGCTACTCGTTGCCTTCGAACACCGTTCAGTACTGTAGCTCGTGATAGTGGTAAGAATATAATTTTCTAGAATTTTGATATAATATTCTTGGTAAAATGGCAAATTACTACTTGCCTAGAAATCCTTCGCATTGTAGATGATTTGCCAAGAATTTCAACACTCACAACCCACTTCGCAATTTCCCTTAGGTACACTACTTGCACTATTTCTCATCCGCCAACTTTGCACTTGCTTGGATTTAGTCAACTCCACTACAAATCTATAGAATTACTTATTAAGGAACAAATGAGGTAGTTGGGGTGGCGTTAAACTCAATATGGAATCGTGGCGAGGAGGAAAACGAGTACTATAACACGAAAACAAGGACGGATGAACGTGCAAGGGCACATGGTATGTCTATTTCAGTAATTCGCATAGCTATTATGCAGGAAGTGTGTGATATTATTTATTTACGAGTTAAGAAAAGTACTAATTCCATGTGAAACAAATGAAAATTTCTTGGAATAGGAAGAAAGAATTTCCTAAAAGAAAGGAAAAATCAAAGTTAGAGTGCGGGTTACATAAACAACTACAAAATCAAAGTTGAATCCTGCTTTTGTTTCCCTTCTGGAAAACGATAAGAATAATTACGAATAAGAATATGAATTTTAGCAAGTCTTCAGCAGCAGAAAAAAGACGTTTTTTGAAAGTAAAATGGAGGATATCCCAAAACTATTTTTGATTACGTGCACTTGATTTTTCTATCGAATTTTTTGACTCAGCCTTTTTTCAACAACTAAAATTAGCGCTTTCAGAAGAGCCAGTATCAGTAATATTTTGGTATTATTATGCGTGCATCTCGGAAAAATTCGGGGTAAAAAAAATCAATACTCCAAAAATGAGTACTCTTGAACTCTTGCTGCGCACTTTTCTTGCTGCTATGCGTTCGCTTTTGTTTTCTAAGCACTCACCAAGTGCTTCTCAGCGCTTTAACTAGATTTTGATTCTGAGAGCTTTTTTGCACTTCCATATTTTGCCACTCTCGTTGACGTCATAAAAAACACCTCTGGAAATGTAAAGAATTCTTCATTCCTGCAGTAGTTGCAATTCATGTTAAGCCACAATCAATAACCTGTTTTCGTTTCGAAGCCATTTTTCTAAATTCGTCGCAGTAGAAGAACTTGAATAGATACCCTCTATCAAATTTGCAAAATTTCCAATAAGGCAAAAATTCGAAATAAGTTTGATCGTACATCGAATATCTGGTTTGTAATGCAAACAAAGTTTTTATTTTGCAGACAAAATCATGAATGAGATTCACTCTTCGTTCTGGAAACTTGCACCAAATGATATTTCAACCGTTTTGCACAGGTAAATTCTCCTTGTGTTTTGAAGATTTTTCCTTGGAGAGGAAGCTAGTAGGTGTACTCTTCAAAAAATTATTATTACTACTTTTTAGTGAAATCAGCAGCGTTTCTCCACATTATCGACGTCGCGGAATCGCTTCTAACCTTTACAAGAAAAGCCTTGAAGATACAGAGAGCATAAAGGTGAGATAGATATGTGATTATCTTTTATTCATTATTATTACGGAAGAAAACTTTCTGAGAACTAATATCCCTTTATTTCAGAGTTTCAATGTACAAGGTATTGTGGCCGAGGCGAGCTCTACCGCAAATCAACGATTATTAACCAAGCAGGGATACGAGGTTGGTCTATTTGATTTTTTCAGAACTTCTCAAATTTTTGAAGAAAAATTTTAGACATTACGGGAAATTATCTACGGGGACTATCGTGGTAGCAATGGAGAAGTGCTGTTGCAACCTAAAGATGGGTCAGAATCAATAGCTTTGAAATTCAAACGGTTGCCTTTATAGATGCAATGAAATAAAATCTCATTTCTTTCTATTTGTTGATAAAGTGTACTTATTACAATTCTGTTTATAAGTAGGTAATACACAGAAGAACTTTCCCTGTGATAGTAATGAGTCGAAATACAAGAGTACTCTCAAGAATAAACTTACACTGCCGAAAACTTACTTTCTTCTTACTATCATTGACTCACTCTATCACTAGCTTAAACATTTCATGACTTCATTTGAACCGTTCCTGCTTGTCGTAGCTCTGGAACGCATTTAGACATACAGAAGCCACGAGCAGTATATGTCAAGGTGCGTAGTGCCGCATACGCCTCAGGACCCCTCCTTACTTGGCGCGTTGCTAGCCAAACGGCTATGTAATTATATAAAGTGCGGTTCATAATTATACGAACACCTCAAATTTTTGAAATTTCTGGACTTTTTGACAGAAACTCAAAAAGCCGTTGATACCACGCGAAAGAGCATAACCGAGAACGGTATATGATCCATAAGAATGAAAATGGATGTCAATTTCGGGAGTGTTTTTGCGCCTAGTGCGAATTTTTAGCGGTTGATAATTATACGAACACCTCAAACAAAGGTCCATTTTTCATTCAAGATTGCAGTCATTTGAGTCCAAATTTTTTGCAAAGCTACAGTAACAAAGTCTGACATATCTGCTATGCACTAAACCCAGTGTAGTTCAAAAAGAAAACCGTTACTTTTTTCAAAAGGCTCTAAATGCTTCTGGGCCCGTAGTAAACCCCACCTGGTTGTCACAACATAGAGGGACTATGTCGTGATAGCTCGAAGTATCTCGCAAGACTATAGCGAGCTATCCGCAGGGCGCCGCAAAACAAGCGTCTCCGCACGTCATCGAACCGCTGATGACCGCGATAACAGCGCTCACACGCGCTGCGCTATGAGTACAGATATGCCGCGGAGTATTTGCTTAGCAAGGCAAGAATGCAGTATACTATTCTTGCCAAAGCAGGTAAATCAATCAGAGGAAATCCAATAAGTGACCATCCTCGCGTGCGCGCGCCTGTTTCTCCATTTTTAATTCGTTATCTTATGTTTGCATGCATTGATAATAGGGTAACGCAGTTGATCTCCGTCTGTTACAGAATAATGCTTATTTTTGCGCACCGTGCTGTAAGAAGGAGGGCCAATATCCGCTACGGGAGGCTGCACCCTATCCGACTTTTCCATCAAAACCAGCGGATATTGGCGCGGAAGTTTCGAATGGAAGAGCAGCATTTGAAGAGAATATGCCGACTGCTTGCACCGCTGATAGGAGGGCGTGAAACTCCAAACTGGTCCGTTAGTTTGGAGAACAAGGTCAGTACGATTTTCCAAGATTTGTTCATCTATGGTTTGTGTTACTGAAATGTTAATGTTATGCACATACGCGTATGACGCAATTATCTCGCACGCATGACTCAAACATGCAGAAGATTACTAGGATACACGTGTCTGTTAGCGCAGTGCGTGCGAGCGGGGGTTTGTCGGGGTATCAGGGGATCAAATCCTGCACGGGGAAAATTTTTGCAAACAAGCAGAGATATGTCTGAGTAGATGTTCAGCATGTTAGCTTTAAGAAAGGCTTCTTAACTTAATATAAAACTAAATGTCTCCTCATTTAGGTTGTCATTGCTCTTCGTTACTTGTCAACCAACGCCCACCAAGAGGTTTTGGCGGATACCATTGGTGTCAGCCAGAAAACAGTTTCGAATGCGGTGAGAGTGGTTGTCCGCGCTATCAACCACCCCCTAATCGTGCGGCACTTCATCCGCTGCCGATTAGGGGACGAGCAGTTCTGCCGAATGAATGCCGACGCCTTCGCCCGAACCGGAGCATTTCCGAACATCATCGGAGCCGTTGACGGAAGCTGCATACGGTTACAGAAGCCGGCACATTCTGGCTGGCAGTACTACTGCCGCAAGGGCTTCACAGCCCTGAATGTGTTGGCTGCTGTTGACGCCCGCGGACGGTTTATGTACATAAATGCGAACTTCCCGGGGTCTGTTCATGATGCCAGTATCTTCGCCTCTTCGCAGTTAAAGTACGCCTACGAGGAGAATGTAGTTCCACATGGCTATAGCTTTCTTGGAGACTCCGGATTCGCGAATGGGAACGACGTTATCACTCCCATTAGGAATCCGACGACCAGGCAGGAAGTCTCCTACAACCGATGGCATTCGAAGATGCGAGTCATCGTCGAGTGCACATTCGGTCGATGGAAGCGGAAGTTCGCAATCTTGAAGGATATGATCCGTGTGGCCCCGAAGCGTGCAATGATCTGTACTGACTCCGGGGATGGGGATTGCGGAGGTTGCTGTTCTTCCTGAAGAATCGGTGTTTTCAGTGAGACGTCAAATGGTGGCGCGTGAATCTGGTGCGCGGCCATAACTATCGTCACTACCTGCTGCTGCTGCTCGACAATCGGCTGTTCGTACTCTTCTTGCACAAATGACTGCTCCGTAACCGGCGTTTCTTGCTGTTGCACTTCTGGCTGGGGTTGCTCCTCAGTTGGTTGTTGATGCTCTGGCGCGGCTGGCTCATCTCTACGGCACAAGTCAAGGTACTCGTTGGTCAATGTTCCATGCAAGACGTCGTCGTAATTGTCCTGCCACCAGCGCAACGCTCGGACATAGGTTCGTGGCTCGACTGGCGGTTGTTCTGGCTCCGGTAGAGTGGCGAGCCTTATGTACTCCTCATCAATGGCTGAGAAGGTCTCTTTGCGGCGCGTCATGCCGTAGTTGAGTTGATGGTATTCAAGTGTACGCATTAGGCGCGTGGCGTGCGCTACCGCAGCAGATGCAGCCGTAGATTTTTCCGTGATGAGGGTCTCGCTGACGTCGAAGCTGGTTAGCGCGTCGAGGAACGGTTGCGAGCGCGCGAAGAGGTTAGGGAGGAGCGCATCGCTGATAAGGTCGCGATGAGTGATAATGCCGGTCGAAGCGTGCTGCAGCGCGTGGATTTAGGCCATGAATTTGACGTATTTAACGTCTACTGGAGCGCTGCACAGCAGGAAGGTCTGCACATTAAGAAAAATAGAGGTTGCGCACTGTAACGCATCGTCGAGCTGACGCAGATGATAAACTACCGTGGCGGCCTGCTGTTGCTGCGAGGTGGTAAGAAGCGCTGGGTCGGTGGGTGGTTGCGGGGTAACGTGCGTAGGACCAGTAGCAATAAAATCAAAAACTTTGCGCAGCTGCGCGGCGGTTAGTTCCTCGACTGTGTGGGGAAGCGCGTGCATGGCATAATCAAAAATGGGTTGTGTTGGCGCAAGCGCGTTCGGCGCGGGGGAAGGACGTAGGGGTGCCGAAGCTGAAGCGCTAGCCATGCGCGTCTGGAGAGTGCACTGTTGTTTCTGAATCTGCGCGAGGATTTGGCGGAGCTCTAATTCATTGCCGGCGTGCGCAAACAGTCGCCTCGCTTCCCTGGCTGCTAACTGCTCTATCGCGTCCTGAATAGATGTTGGGCCTTGCGATGTACGCGCGCGTGAAGAAGAAGGGGCCGGTTGATCAAAACGCGCTTCGGGGCTCGCCATGCGCTTCGACAGGTGACAATGTGCGTTTGATCGGTGCAGCAGACGTTGATGACGAAAGTAGTGACGATCGCGCGTCCTGAAAAATTAGCGCTCTATGGTATAACAAAATGAGAGGCTCAATGCAAGTAAGAAGATATGAAGAAAATTTAGAAGAATTTTGGATTTGGATTAAAGTAATGTGCGCGCAGATTTTTGATAGGGGCGCAAAATGTTCGGTGCGCGACCGAGAGAAAAAGGAAGGGGAGCCCCATAATAATATAAGAGAAGGGAAAGTAAAACTTATTAAACTTCCTACTTGTATTGATCCTTGGACTGACTCGTAGACTGGAACAACTGGCAGATGGTTGACAACTTTTATTGATGGACGATAATCAACAATTCTGAAAGTCGATTGGCACTAAATAGGAACTTACAATAGAGGTCATATACAACGGCAAATGCTAGCGCGACGTGCAGATGGTTAAGAATATCAACTACTATAAAATAATTACATAAAACAGATGTTGTGCTACAAAAAAGAAAAAGGTGAGCACGTCCGCTCAGAAGAAGGGTAGGGACACATCCTGGTTTTTCATGTGTCGCATGGCATTGTTTACAAATTCCTTCCTTCGTATACAAGTTGGACGTGCGAAAGATCCGTTTTTCGTTTTCTGCAGCATTGCGCCACCTGATGGCCTTCTACGTAGCAGATGTCGCAGTACATCCGTGAAACCTAACCGCTCGATCGTGGTGTGACGGCAGAGAGCGTTCGCGGTCCATCATGTAGATGACCTTCTCCATCCCACCGAGGCGGCTTTCATTCACGTGTAATTGTTCTCTATAAGATTTAGCCATTGATTCGCGCGCGTTATTGTGCATGATAGCATATAACATGTCAACCACTTCTTCGCACGACACGCAGCCTGGCTCCCTAGAGAAAGCAAAATCGGTCGAAATGTGTTCGACTTGATTCGAGAGATCGGCTTTTTTAGGTCTTGGTTGTTGATCAACTTGTTTGGTTCCGTAGATTGACCGAGATGGTAATGATCTTATATTTGGCTGACGTTTCGACGTCTAAGCCTTCGTCAGTGCTTGAAAAAGTTAAAAGACCCTCCAAGTACTTCATCTAACCACAAATCTGTTATATGTACTGGGCTTAGCCACAGCTACTTTTGCAGGCAATCTTTCTGTTCTTGGAACTTTAGAAGCAAGCCCTACTTTGAGCGAGTCCTTCTTCCGCGGTCTCTTCGATGTAAACTGGTGGACGGGTTCAGGATCGTACGTTTGTAGGGACTGAGATGTCCACAGGATTAGACTGGTCTATGCAGCCTGGAAGATTGATAATTATAACTTTAGAGCAAGTAGCTAAAGAAGGAGGCGCCTAGTGATATTTTTTATCAAACACAGTTTTCGATATTGAAGAAGATGTAGACTTCGATATCACACGTTAACGTTATGCCTGTTACAAACAGGAAAAGATGAACAAGAGTTGTGACCAGTTTGATAGCACCTGGTAGCATCAACGAAAAGGTAGAAGCTGATCAAATGTGGAACTCTTCTGGTTGATTGCTTCAGCAGAGACCCAGGTTGGTACAGCTCTTTATTGTACAGACTATACCGACTGACGTTTCGGCGATTTCTCCTTTTACACTCTGAAAAGTCGAAAACGCATTAGTAACCTATCTAACAAATCTCGTCGATTACAGAGCAGAGCTTAAAGGCACCGTCCTCCAGATTCTCGACTTCCATGCTGGCACTGGGTTGATAGGGTGGAAATTTATAAAGTGGACGGTGCTTTTAACGCTCTGAGGAAAGCAAGAGCACCTAAATAAAACGCAAATCAAGCTAGCTCTCCTCAACGGATGACAGATTTAGCGGAATGCAAACCACTTACCAAATACTGCAGTACTTTTTACAGCTATCTCGTGACTCAGACCTGTATGAACAGCTTCCAACATAACCACAGTACGAGCGCGCACTGGGGAATGCTGCCATATATACGGCTAGTCTCGAGTGCTTTAAAGTTGAATATTTGTTTTGTAGTAGGTATCCAACAACCTAGTAAGATATTATATACGATTCGTTCTAAAAACTGGCCAGCCATAGAGAGAGCCCTCCGGAGCTCAACCAGCGAGACCACAGCTTCCATGCTGGGTCTTCATTCCGGGAGCAAAGGCATTTTCTGTGGCCAAATTTTTGTCGAAATCGAAGTTTTTACCGTTTTTCGTGGAAATTGTGGGGGAAAACAATATTTTTCAATCCAAAAACTGCTCAGCCACAAGAAAGCCTGCAAATAATGCAATTTAGCACCTAAATAAAACGCAAATCAAGCTAGCTCTCCTCAACGGATGACAGATTTAGCGGAATGCAAACCACTTACCAAATACTGCAGTACTTTTTACAGCTATCTCGTGACTCAGACCTGTATGAACAGCTTCCAACATAACCACAGTACGAGCGCGCACTGGGGAATGCTGCCATATATACGGCTAGTCTCGAGTGCTTTAAAGTTGAATATTTGTTTTGTAGTAGGTATCCAACAACCTAGTAAGATATTATATACGATTCGTTCTAAAAACTGGCCAGCCATAGAGAGAGCCCTCCGGAGCTCAACCAGCGAGACCACAGCTTCCATGCTGGGTCTTCATTCCGGGAGCAAAGGCATTTTCTGTGGCCAAATTTGTGTCGAAATCGATTTTTTACCGTTTTTCGTGGAAATTGTGGGGGAAAACAAAACTTTTCGTTCTAAAAACTGGCCAGCCATAGAGAGAGCCCTCCGGAGCTCAACCAGCGAGACCACAGCTTCCATGCTGGGTCTTCATTCCGGGAGCAAAGGCATTTTCTGTGGCCAAATTTTTGTCGAAATCGAAGTTTTTACCGTTTTTCGTGGAAATTGTGGGGGAAAACAATATTTTTCAATCCAAAAACTGCTCAGCCACAAGAAAGCCTGCAAATAATGCAATTTAGCACCTAAATAAAACGCAAATCAAGCTAGCTCTCCTCAACGGATGACAGATTTAGCGGAATGCAAACCACTTACCAAATACTGCAGTACTTTTTACAGCTATCTCGTGACTCAGACCTGTATGAACAGCTTCCAACATAACCACAGTACGAGCGCGCACTGGGGAATGCTGCCATATATACGGCTAGTCTCGAGTGCTTTAAAGTTGAATATTTGTTTTGTAGTAGGTATCCAACAACCTAGTAAGATATTATATACGATTCGTTCTAAAAACTGGCCAGCCATAGAGAGAGCCCTCCGGAGCTCAACCAGCGAGACCACAGCTTCCATGCTGGGTCTTCATTCCGGGAGCAAAGGCATTTTCTGTGGCCAAATTTTTGTCGAAATCGAAGTTTTTACCGTTTTTCGTGGAAATTGTGGGGGAAAACAATATTTTTCAATCCAAAAACTGCTCAGCCACAAGAAAGCCTGCAAATAATGCAATTTAGCACCTAAATAAAACGCAAATCAAGCTAGCTCTCCTCAACGGATGACAGATTTAGCGGAATGCAAACCACTTACCAAATACTGCAGTACTTTTTACAGCTATCTCGTGACTCAGACCTGTATGAACAGCTTCCAACATAACCACAGTACGAGCGCGCACTGGGGAATGCTGCCATATATACGGCTAGTCTCGAGTGCTTTAAAGTTGAATATTTGTTTTGTAGTAGGTATCCAACAACCTAGTAAGATATTATATACGATTCGTTCTAAAAACTGGCCAGCCATAGAGAGAGCCCTCCGGAGCTCAACCAGCGAGACCACAGCTTCCATGCTGGGTCTTCATTCCGGGAGCAAAGGCATTTTCTGTGGCCAAATTTGTGTCGAAATCGATTTTTTACCGTTTTTCGTGGAAATTGTGGGGGAAAACAAAACTTTTCGTTCTAAAAACTGGCCAGCCATAGAGAGAGCCCTCCGGAGCTCAACCAGCGAGACCACAGCTTCCATGCTGGGTCTTCATTCCGGGAGCAAAGGCATTTTCTGTGGCCAAATTTTTGTCGAAATCGAAGTTTTTACCGTTTTTCGTGGAAATTGTGGGGGAAAACAATATTTTTCAATCCAAAAACTGCTCAGCCACAAGAAAGCCTGCAAATAATGCAATTTAGCACCTAAATAAAACGCAAATCAAGCTAGCTCTCCTCAACGGATGACAGATTTAGCGGAATGCAAACCACTTACCAAATACTGCAGTACTTTTTACAGCTATCTCGTGACTCAGACCTGTATGAACAGCTTCCAACATAACCACAGTACGAGCGCGCACTGGGGAATGCTGCCATATATACGGCTAGTCTCGAGTGCTTTGAAGTTGAATATTTGTTTTGTAGTAGGTATCCAACAACCTAGTAAGATATTATATACGATTCGTTCTAAAAACTGGCCAGCCATAGAGAGAGCCCTCCGGAGCTCAACCAGCGAGACCACAGCTTCCATGCTGGGTCTTCATTCCGGGAGCAAAGGCATTTTCTGTGGCCAAATTTTTGTCGAAATCGAAGTTTTTACCGTTTTTCGTGGAAATTGTGGGGGAAAACAATATTTTTCAATCCAAAAACTGCTCAGCCACAAGAAAGCCTGCAAATAATGCAATTTAGCACCTAAATAAAACGCAAATCAAGCTAGCTCTCCTCAACGGATGACAGATTTAGCGGAATGCAAACCACTTACCAAATACTGCAGTACTTTTTACAGCTATCTCGTGACTCAGACCTGTATGAACAGCTTCCAACATAACCACAGTACGAGCGCGCAATGGGGAATGCTGCCATATATACGGCTAGTCTCGAGTGCTTTAAAGTTGAATATTTGTTTTGTAGTAGGTATCCAACAACCTAGTAAGATATTATATACGATTCGTTCTAAAAACTGGCCAGCCATAGAGAGAGCCCTCCGGAGCTCAACCAGCGAGACCACAGCTTCCATGCTGGGTCTTCATTCCGGGAGCAAAGGCATTTTCTGTGGCCAAATTTGTGTCGAAATCGATTTTTTACCGTTTTTCGTGGAAATTGTGGGGGAAAACAAAACTTTTCGTTCTAAAAACTGGCCAGCCATAGAGAGAGCCCTCCGGAGCTCAACCAGCGAGACCACAGCTTCCATGCTGGGTCTTCATTCCGGGAGCAAAGGCATTTTCTGTGGCCAAATTTTTGTCGAAATCGAAGTTTTTACCGTTTTTCGTGGAAATTGTGGGGGAAAACAATATTTTTCAATCCAAAAACTGCTCAGCCACAAGAAAGCCTGCAAATAATGCAATTTAGCACCTAAATAAAACGCAAATCAAGCTAGCTCTCCTCAACGGATGACAGATTTAGCGGAATGCAAACCACTTACCAAATACTGCAGTACTTTTTACAGCTATCTCGTGACTCAGACCTGTATGAACAGCTTCCAACATAACCACAGTACGAGCGCGCACTGGGGAATGCTGCCATATATACGGCTAGTCTCGAGTGCTTTAAAGTTGAATATTTGTTTTGTAGTAGGTATCCAACAACCTAGTAAGATATTATATACGATTCGTTCTAAAAACTGGCCAGCCATAGAGAGAGCCCTCCGGAGCTCAACCAGCGAGACCACAGCTTCCATGCTGGGTCTTCATTCCGGGAGCAAAGGCATTTTCTGTGGCCAAATTTGTGTCGAAATCGATTTTTTACCGTTTTTCGTGGAAATTGTGGGGGAAAACAAAACTTTTCGTTCTAAAAACTGGCCAGCCATAGAGAGAGCCCTCCGGAGCTCAACCAGCGAGACCACAGCTTCCATGCTGGGTCTTCATTCCGGGAGCAAAGGCATTTTCTGTGGCCAAATTTTTGTCGAAATCGAAGTTTTTACCGTTTTTCGTGGAAATTGTGGGGGAAAACAATATTTTTCAATCCAAAAACTGCTCAGCCACAAGAAAGCCTGCAAACAATGCAATTTTTTGCTGTTCAGTTGCTCTTCGGATTTGTGAGTTTCATCAACATTTCACAAAATGTTGAGTTCTGATGACGATTCTATGGAGAGTTGCAATTCTCAGATTTCATATCAAACTATTATGCAAAATTGCAAGGAGGTAGCAAGGAGATGTTTGGTATGAACCTGGATTGTAGGTAAGGGCATGAAAAGAAGAGGAAACATGTATGTAAACAGTAGAGATTGCTACAGCTGTGAACGCTGTGATCAAACCGAGCATACGGTATTTCATCACGATTCGTCATCGCATGCGAAGTCAAAACACGTGCCGTCATCGCATTCAGTGTAGGGTGCGATCAATAGTCACATGCCGAGACAACCCTCTCTTCTCTAACTTGTCTGGGGTTCGGAGTACACCGCGCCTCTAAAAATCTCATTGTCTGTAACCTCTGCGAGAGGGTGTGATGTCTCGCGCGCTCACACTGTCAACAACTCGCCCTCCGCAACGCTGAAGGGGGGTGGCCGGGGTAGGTGATCCATGTGTAGTTTTCGTCGTCTCGCCGGATGTTTCCAGTTTATATATAAGAAGGATGTGCAATCAAGCGGAGTTCACAGTTGATAGACAGAATACTGCTTGAGGGAGCATAACACCTCGGTGCCAAAAGGAGAACGAAGACTAAAAGCCTGAGACGCTATGTATGTATCAATCTCCCGCTTTGATCGCGCCATTTCTTCTATTGAAAATTATCGCCCGGCAGGGAAGCACGACCCGTCATGTATGAAACTCGTGGGCGCGCAACCCGGACGGGCAGCGGTACCCCACCTCGCGAAATCGGGTTCTGCCTGCCCTTTGCCAGCGGATGCGCTCCAGTCTCTTTTTGAGCGGCTTTTTTGATGTTCTAAATTCTTAAATAATAACGTTATTGTCAATGTTCTCTCAGAAGCAACTTGATTCACCGATCCAGGTGTTTTTTGCCTTTTGACCACGACAGCGCACGAGAAGTAAAGGTCCATCTTCCGTAAGTTTTATACGCCGCCATGCTAATCTGCCAAGAGTATGCCAATTACTGGCTTGCAGACTCAGGCAAAGTCGCACACGTGCCCTCATGGGCATCGAGTCTATAGCTAGAGAATTAGAGAGAATTATCACAACACGAAGGTTCAACAAGTTCATAAACGTGGACCTTTACACTGCGCAAAGTCTCGCATATCAATCATTGTCATCGCAACTACATGCTGTGGATGCGGGCTGCGATTTACGTGTGGAATTGTCAACTTTTTGGTAGAGCATGGGGCACTAGCTGGGGTTCACCAAAGATCATTGAATGCATTATCTAGGGATAGGTACATCTAACAACATTTATGTTGGTAACAAAACTTATGAAGAAAGGCGCAACAAGTTCCATTTGTTGAACACTGCAAAATTCATGCTTAGATAAAGTTCTAGTGTTCAAACCTAGAAACGTTCACTGGATGCAAACGCCGCTAAGTTGAAAAAGAGAGAAAAATGCGCGCATTGAGTTCAATCGGAAAAATGCAAAGGAACACGTGAACGGCGCACTCTCAGGTTGCGTCAGCAGGCATACTTGACATGCGTTAGCACGCTTGCCATTGATCCCAAATTAGGCAGATCGGACTCTTGCCCATGTAACATCCCGATTAACAGTAAAGATGCATCGTGGGTGTGGGCACCTTCGCCCGGTCAGGTGACGGCGCGGACGGGAACCCCCACCCGAGCTGGATATTGAACACACCCCCTTGATCTCTAAGAGCCAAGCTGACCTAGCTGATTATCATTCGTAACGGGATCTTGAACAAGGAATGAAATACGATCAATCAGTAAAAGAAAGGACATTTTGAAGTGGTCCAATAATGCCGACCACATTCCATCGCTATGATCAAGAAATGCTTCGCTGCAGCTAATAAGTGACCCGTGGTCAACTTCTAATGTTCAATTTCAAATGGTTGCTTACATGGAACCAGAAAAGTAATGAATTGGCATAATGTACAGTGCGACAATATCCAAGACCTATTTAGTATCAAACTTTACAAAAACATTTAACCCAAGTACTTGCAACAAATCGACTTTACCTGGTCAAAGATTCTACGGGAGAAATCATAGCAATCACTGCAGTGCACAAACTGTGTGTTTTTGACATCCTAATCTATTCGTGTGGGGTTTTCCCGAGATAAATTGACGATAGGGACATGCCAAAATTGACCGAGAAGTGATCTTTGCTTCTCCTACTACACCGTTCCTAATGCTGATCTCTTGCTACTCCCTGTCCTAACTGACCAAAAACCCGTTTTTATCACATGCGACCCTAAGATTGATTCCATCAAGCAATCTTTTGCACCTCGCTGAACTTTTCATCAGAAATTAGTATTATCACACCTTACTAACTACTTTTCAATTGAAAATTGTGAACTGATGGCCAGAATTGTTGTTTATGTAGTCTAGTGAACGCTTATCATTTCTAGTCTGGTATCACGCTCTCTTATCGCAAAAGTGGAGTGCTCCATATAACATTTTGAAGCACAGCAGCATATCGTACAGGCTTGTTCTCAACTTTTTCGTATTCAGTACTGTTTTTTCACTATTTCTGAAAAGCGTAGTAAATTTGAGTTATGTAAAAAGTATAAATTTTTTAGAGCTTTCTTCGGACAGCTTTTCATGGAGTAAAATGCTAAAAATATTGTCAAATGTTTGTCTCCAATCCACTGCACTTATTTTTGTGCTGCATTATGAGTGTATTAGAAGAATTACGGCCATTACTCTTGATAATATGTATTGATTACGCCTTTTTATCCCCATTGTTGAATCATTTCACTTGCAATTTTATTAGGCTTCTTCATGAGATCTTCTAAATTTCTTTTAGCCCCACATTTCTTCAAAACTGACCCGATATTCTACAGCATATTTCATGCTACACTAGATTCTTCAACTCTACTTTCCAATATTTCAGACTCAATGGCACTTCGCTTCGACGGAAAGGTGGCTATAGTGACCGGTGCCGGTGGTGGTCTGGGCCGAACCTATGCTTTAGAACTTGCCAAACGAGGATGCAAAGTCGTAGGTAGGAAATGTAAACTCGTCCACAAAACTCCTGTTTTGTTCTTCCTGTTTACTTTGTTTATTGGCCTGTATCTCCCCAGCTACCACAGACACAAATGTAATTCGTTCCGAAAAGATTTAGCTTTTGTTTTGAGCCTAAACGACTTCTTTGGTTTTGCAAGTATACGTAAAATGTAAAATCATGCTTAAACAACACAATTTTGTGCCTTCTTATCATAAGGGTCATTGCCACGTTGGCGAAGGAGAGCAAAGGTTGCTAATCGTGTTAACAAATCAATTCATTTCAGTCAATGATCTCGGAGGTGATGCACATGGAACCTCAGCTTCTACCTCAATGGCTGATAAGGTGAGTCTTGGCGAAAGGGTTGAAGAAATTGAAAACCACTATGAACATTATTGTATATTTCAATATGTTCGATACAAGTCAGCAAGGGAGATCGCTTTGATGTTTTTATTCAAATATTTATTTATTGGTCATGTCGAAAAACACATGAAAAAACAAACAAGCACCGAATCAGGATGGAATTTAAAAACAACAAACTACTCTCAACACAGAAAAAACATATCTGAGGGAAGAAGAAACACTTAATTGTAATTTAGAAGCTCCATCTTTGAACAAAGTCATGCGAGATCTTTTTAGCATTAACGTTGTTAAAAAGCACGAAATCTTGCAATTTTTTATGTTGTCTTTATTTCAACTTTCAACAGTCGCCTTGTGTAATTGCACAGCTTTTGTTTGCTCCGACATCTATTTGCAGATTTAAAACAATAAGAAACCATTTTTGCCTAATTTGTGCAAATCTTCGAGCTATTTCCCATAGCTTTATGCCATTTTCTCAACCATAAAGTGAATCGATAGCCATCGATCTATTATACTGTGGACTGGAAAAGTGTGCAGTTACACAAAGCGAATGTTTTAATAGAACAACTGTAGGTCAGTGACATCGGCAAAAAAAATTGTAGGAAAGTTTTTACAATCGTTTTCAAGGTCAGAGATTTCATAGTTTCAGATCTGAAGTTTTCCACGTTAAAACAGAGTAGTTGCGACGCTTTTTCGCCAAAATTGTGAGTTGATCGCTAGACTAGCAATTTCGAAGAATACCTCTTTGTCTAACCAATTTGATGGGCGTAACTATCAAGCTTACAGTGGAGCATACTTCTTCTACAGCTTTTGAATTCGAATTCTTTGAGCCCTTTAGCAGTAATAAAACATATTAATATCGAAATACATATCGTAGGTCGTAAACGAAATCAAATCTGCTGGAGGGCAGGCCGTGGCCAACTATGACAGTGTCGAATTTGGCGAAAAGATTGTGAAAACCGCTATTGATGCATTTGGACGAATTGGTACGTTTGAGGATCAACCGGTACGTTTTTAAATAAGTAAATACTATTCAGACATCGTCATCAACAATGCTGGAATCCTCCGTGATGTATCACTTGTCAAAATGACTGATCTCGATTGGGGTACGCTTATCTTTCAAATGTGCAAATAAGCCTAGCAATATCGGATAAACGTTCAGACTTGATCTTCAAAGTCCATGTAAAAGGAGCCTACTCTGTAACAAAGGCTGCATGGCCTTATATGAGAAAACAGAACTACGGTAGAATCCTTGTCACATCATCCAATGCTGGTATCTACGGAAACTTTGGTCAGACTAACTATGCAGCAGGTGAAAAAATGGAAAAAACCTTGTTTTTTAGGTATACACTTAGCAAAAAAAATTTTCAGCTAAATCTGCTCTCGTTGGATTTTCCAACTCTCTGGCTCAGGAAGGAGCAAAATATAATATCGTGGCCAATGCGCTAATCCCAACTGCTGGATCTCGTCTAACACAGACTGTTCTTCCAGAGGTAATATCCGGTACAAATACTACTTACTTAAAAGGTAATGCCCACGCAAGAGTTTCATAACCAGGTCTCAGGAAAACTATTGGTAGGCTCCAGTTAAGCCATTTTTTAAAAGGTACTTCTGACGATTTGCTCGCGGTTGAAAAATTTCGAGGCTAAACTCTCGCCCATGAAGTACTTTATACCGTATCCGAGAAGCTGATGGTCCGCTAGGAAAATGCACGATGGACTCAGAGTTCAATTTCTCGATTACTAACTCGTCATTTGGGCAGCCGCTATTTCACTTAGTCCTGGCATACTAATAGTATTCAAATACCCGAATTTGCCTGTATACTGTTTTTACACAAATGAGAGCTTTTCAAAATCATTTTTAGTCCCTCATCGAAGCCTTGAAGCCTGAGTATGTGACTCCGTTGGCTGTATACCTGTGTCACGAGTCGTTCAAAGAGAGTGGCAAAGTTTTTGAAGCTGGAGCAGGATGGTATGGAACATGTAGGTTTTTCCTTCATCTTCTTCTCGAGATAATCCCCGACTCAAAATGAAAGTTTTTAGTAAAATACTACCGGTCTAATGGCAAGGTTATTCCTCATGCAACTGCAGAAGACCGTAAGCAGGCTTTTTTGCCCTCGCTCAGGCCTACTTTTCTGTATCCTTCATTTCTTTCAGTACGAGATAACTGGAGTAAGATCACAGACATGAAAGATGCTCAGCACTTTGAAAATATGAAAGATCTCATGGCCGAGCTTATGGGCGCAATGTCCGAGGTCGACAGCAAAAAAGTGAGTCTAGTCTGTCTCTAACTCGAGCTTTGGCTTTCTAATTCCAGTAATTCCCCTGTTGTTTGCAAAAATTGACAAAAAAATTGGACGGAATTCCTTTACAACATCTTGTAATTTACGGATTCTACGGATTCTTCCTTCTCAGAAAATTTCTAAATTCGATATGTTCTGGTATATTTATTTATCGTGCTGTCGAAGTACGGCAGGTATTTGGTAGAAGATCTGGCATCACAACAGATGATTACAGCTTTTGTGCTTTGGCAACAGTCCATTTTAAACGAGTTCCCCACTACGACGTGAATCCCATTTTTTTGTCCAGATGGCGGAGGTATTGTAATTTCAGACAGAAACTAAGACTGATTCAACAACAGCAACTGGTGATTTTCCTTCACATATCAAATGCTCACCACTATTCAAAGAAATGAATGACGGAGTCAAAGTATGTATATATCAAGTATTTTACTACAATGTACTTCTGTTATTTCAAAGGGCCACATCTCACTTTTAGGAAGATCCCGCCTCTGTAAAGAATGTCAAAGCCATTATTCTCTATATTCTAACTGATGGAACTAAAGAACTTGGAAAATTCAGTAAGCTGAAATTTTTTGGCAGTATTTCGAATATACTGCTGAATTCTAGCTCTCGACTTCAAGAGCGCATCTCCATCTGTCTACTATGGTGACGTGAAGAATGGAGAGAAAGCCACTGTCACCGTAACCGTAGCCGACAATGATTTTTTGGAGATTGCTAGCGGAAAACTGAATCCACAAAAAGTAAATTTCTGATAGCATATTTAACCATGGATTTGATGAAAAATTTTTGTTTAGGCCTTCATGAGCGGAAAGCTGAAGGTAAAGGGCAATGTGATGCTGCTCCAGAAACTCCAGGCAATTCTAGACAAGAAGAGAAAGGCGAAGCTTTGATATGCCATTACCTCAGACAATTGTTTCTTTATAAAATGAGCAAATACTAATAATAAAGCAGCAGCTCATGTGTCGGTGTTACATGAATGTGTTACAGCATAAAATGTAAAACAAGTTAAAAAATTTTTGGGATGCAAAGCTATAAAAAAAATATCCCAATTTTATTTTCCATGGGCAAAGTGGCTCCCAGCGCGAGGCCACTTGCTGAGAATCTTGGAAAAGAAAATGAGAAAAAGCGAACATTTGATTATGTGGTACTGTCGCATAAATTATGCGATTCACCATTTTCAAACAACCCAGCATGAACAACGAACGATATTCCTGTTGGTAGTGCGTGCTGTAGAAAGCTTTTTTCAGTGTTCAACTCACTTGAAGTAACTAAAGCCTTCTTCATCTCAAACCATGGCAGTAGCAAACTTTACTCACCTAGTAAGCTGCGTTCAGAACTGAGAATTTTAAAGCTTAATTATCCGGCTATGAATCTCTCATTTTGTGCAGCTACTATGTATAGCGGCAATCACGGAAGGTGCACTTCAAATATGTATCAGTTAGAGTTACTTTGTTTCCATAAACAATTTTTTCAAAGTAATTCCATTAATGGCCAGTGCCGCTTCAACCGTGACTCTTGCCTATTTATCCGTATCCGGAAAAAAACAACAAAATACGAATTGCGCATTTTGTGGTGTGGTAGAGTACGTGAAAAAATTTTTTGTTACTTGCAAGAAAATTTCACTTTTGAAAACAGCTCATGAACAAGGGAAGGTCAGCAATGGTGATTTATGACATTGAGCATGTTTCAGTGAGGAAAGGGAAAGACTGGGCGATGCTTCTCGTAGCATGATTTCTGGCACTCCCATACGGCACGTCTGTAAATTTCGTTTTCAAGAGCACCAGGACTATGTTCCTTTACGCATTTGCGGAAGCAATCGTCTAGCATCTGTGCGGGACTTTGGCACTGTAATTTTTTGAGAGTCGAGGTTAATTTGAGCAGAAAAATCAAACCTCGTATGAAGTATGTGGAGTGCATAGCAGCAAAAGCAGAATGAAAATTGCCTCCAAGTACAGCATAGTGACGCCAGATAATCTAGAACAAAGTTTCTTTTACAAACATCAAATTAAAAACACATCAGTGGGAACCGAAACCTTGTAAGAATAATCTTTTTGAGCTAAGACGCTGTTAGCGTTGTTCTGCATGCATAAGAATTCATTATATTTCACTTGATTAGAATATGTTGTGGTATTGAATCACATATTTTGCTCGAGCAATAATCACTACGACATTTTCAATTATCACACCTAAAGAGCGCCTAAGATTTCTTGAATTCATAAAGAATGATGAATGCATTCTATGTTTGGGTGCCTCTTTTCATACTATAGTGAAGCGTGCACCAGAATCCAAATACGAATTTTGCAACTTTGCAAATGATTCTTATTGGCTCCCATAAATAAAGAATCCCACAAGCGCGCTGTTTGGTCGATGATAATTCTTCTGTTCCTATGATTATCGCGGGATTCAGCTACCATACTCTACCTTCAGCTCAACCTAAATTTACACTACCAAAAGTTATTTACCATTTACCAATCTTTCTGTTTGTAGGGCTGCAGTGGGATTTCAACGAAATAGCATCGTAATAAAATTGCAGCCTTTGGAATTTTTCGGTTTTGCTATGAGACTACATATCTTACAAACTGATACAAGAAGAGACATCTGCAGCTCTGTAGAACTGTTTATATGGTACACATGAATTTCTTTAGGACATAGAGAAAATAGCCGTTACATACCTGGTGTAACTTTAGTATGCAAAATTATTGCGTATCACCAATTATTCTGCAAATAGCTTACTTCACATTAAGCTATCGTATCTGCCACTTCTAGCATAAGCCCTCTCGGTAGTCTGACAGTAATTCTACAGTAATGAGGAATGACTTTTCGCGGTTTTCGTACTGCAAATGTATCCTCCACCTAGTTCATTTTAGACTTTTGCTCGTCTATGCTCGTCTCGTCTAGCTCTTGCACCAATATGAAGATTCAGAAGAAGAAAATTTTGGTTAAGATTTCCACCAAATCACCTATGCGCAGATCAACTATGAGTGTATTTTCTATTAAAGGTGACCTTACTTGAATGTTCTAAACTTATTCACACTATAGAATGCGACAAAATATGCTCCATCTGGGATTACCATCTGGTCTTCTGTTAAATGAGAAAACGACACATTGATGTAAGTAGGCTTCTGATCCTATTTGTCTAATTTGTACTGAAGTGTGTAGGCCACGAACATCATTTGCGGAAACATGTTCATTGGGAGCATCATGAACTGGAAGGTTTTGTGTTGGTGATAAATAAGTTGCCATTGACAATGTTTTATTTGATGCTTGTGTTATGACGTCAACCATTCCGGACGCATATCGCAGTCGCCGTTGGGGCAGATGAATCTCGTTGTTGCCCTATTCGCTTGAATCACTTTCTTTCAATGAGAATTTGTTATGGTTCTATATGTCTGAATCACGAATTTTGCTATAAACCACCTGTTCTGCACATCTTTATTTATCACCAAAATTAACAAAAATTGCGAATGGCACAGCAGCCACGTCATCCAGAAACATCGCCTGTACGACAAATTTCAGGGTCCTACAGCCGCAAGAGAGCTTAGACATGGCACATATCTGCAAATACACAGTCAACCCTTTGATCACGCAAAGTGGTAAACGCTTATCTCTCGGTTTACTATGTGGTGGCGTAAAGAAAGAAAGCCACTGTTACCGTAGCGGTTTCGACGACAACTTCCTGGAGATCGCCAGTGGAAAACTGAACCCACAAAAAGGAAATCGGTGATAGCCTTTGTGTAAATTGGCAGAAAATCTTTGATCAGGCATTCTCGTACATTATTTTTACTTGAATGAGAGCTTCAACCTGAATTCTAGTCCCTCATCGAAGTCTTGAAGCCTGAGTACGTGACTCCGTTGACCGTATACCTTTGTCACGAGTCATTCAAAGAAAGTGGCAAAGTGAAGCTGGAGCAGGATGGTACGGAAGATGTAGGTTTTCCCTCCATCATCTTCTCGAGGTAATCCCCGTCTCAAAGTGAAAGTTTTTAGTGAAATACTATCGGTCTAAGGGCAAGGTTATTCCTCATGCAGCTGCTGAAGACCGTAATCATGGCTTTTTCGCTCTCGCTCAGCCCTACTTTTCTATACCCTTCATTTCTTTCAGTACGAGACTGGAGCAAAATCACCTACATGAAAGATGCTCAGCATTTTGAGAATATAAAAGATCTTCTGGCCGAGCTTATGGGTGCGATGTCCGAGGTCGACAGCTAAAAGGTGAGTCTAGTCTGTTTCTAACTTAAGCTTTAGCTTTCTAGCTCCATTTCTACCTCTGTTGTCTGCAAAAACTGACAAAATAAATTGCACGGAAAAATCCTTTACAGCATCGGTGTAATTTTTACGGATTTTTTATTTCTCCCAGAAATTCAAAGTCGACGAGATGTTCTTGTGTACTTATTTATCGTGCTGTCGAAGATTTGGCATTACAAAAATGATTAAAGCTTTTGTATCTGCTTTGACAATAATCCAACTCGAACTAGTTCCATTGCTGTGACGTGAATTTCCGATATCTCCAGATGACGGAGATACTGTAATTTCATACAGAAACTAAGACCGATTCAACAACAGCAACTGGTGAATTCCCTTCACATATCAAATGCTTTCCACTACATAAAGAAATGAATGACGGAGTAAAAGTACGTGTATAACAAGTATTTCGCCACATTGTATTTCTATTGATGAAGCTAAAGGTTACAGATCGTCATTTCAGGAAGATCCCGCCTCGGTAAAGAATGTCAAAGCCATTATTCTCTTTATTTTAACTGACGGAACTAAAGATCTTGGAAAATGCAGTAAGCTGAAATATTTTGGCAGTAATTCGAATATATTGATGAATTCCAGCTCTCGACTTCAAGAGTGTGTCTCCATCTGTCTACTATACTTGGGTCCGAATCGAATAGAAATTCGATCATTCGAATAGAACATTCGAATATATTCGTATTCGAAATTCGATATTCGGAGTTCTTCCATTTTCGAATAATATTCGAAACTCGAATAATCAAAAAACAGGGTTTCGAATAAAATTCGAAAACTCGAATAATCAAAAAACGAGGTTTCGAATATTATTCCAAAACTCGAATAATCAAAAAACGAGGTTTTGAATAGATTTTATTCGAATGTTTATTCGAATTCATATTCGAATGACTCCGTATTCAGATTATTCGACTTTGTTGCAAAGCCAACTGCTGAGTATCAAGCTCGCTTCGTTCGCGTTTTTTTTCGCAAAACTCGGTAATGCATCTTTTGCAACCGTTATACCTTTGAATTGTATGGGGAGTCGCATTCTTCCGACTGCTTGCGACACTAAAAAAATCATATGTGGATTTTAATTGATGTAGAAGGTAGAGCAAGCCCTTTGCTTTTACATTGTTGATGCTGATAAGAAATAAAATTAATTCTGGTGTACATCAGTCTCCTTCAGACCATCTGAAGAAGAATCTTTTGGGCACAGCATAAAAATTTATATCGACTGCTTTTTATATCGTCCATATTGGGTAAAATATGACTTTTTGCTGATGTATAGACTAGATGCCGACCGACCGACTTTATCGATTTTTGGGGAAATTTGAGCTGCGGGGCTGAGAGTTGGTACAAGGGAGTAAGTGAGAGTGCTGATTACGGATAAAAATTTACGGGGCTCCTAAATTGCAGAGCCGTTTGCACCAGCGGTCGCGCGACCGCGTCGCGCCCGAGCATTTTGCCGGCGCCGGCGCCATCGATCGAGGCGGCGCTATTGATGCCCGGGCGCGACGCGGTCGCGCGACCGCTGGTACAAACGACTCTGCAATTTAGGAGCCCTGTACTTTATGATTTTTATCGATTTTTGGAAAATCTCGAGCTACGAGCTTGGGAGTTGGTACAGGGGGTAAATGAGGATGCTGATTGAAACCGAAATCTATTTTATCGATTTCAGCAATTTTTGGAAAATTTTGAGCTAGGAGTTGGTATTGAGGATACTAGGGGCTGATTATGATTGGATCGCAAGATATGTCGGCAAGTTTGAGATGTGATGGCTTTAGTTATTCGATAAATCATTCGAATATTTATTCGAAATTCGACTTCCAATGTTCGAATATATTCGATATTCATTCATTCGATATTTTTGATTTGCCGAATTTATTCGAAATTCATTTATTCGATATTCTTGATTTTCCGAATTTATTCGCAATTCATTCTTTCGATATTTTTGATTTTCCGAATTTATTCGATATTCATTCGATGAAAAATTCTCGAATTACCCAAGTATACTGTCTACTATGGTGACGAATGGAGTGTAGGCCACTGTCACCGTAACCGTAGCCGACAATGATTTTTTGGAGATTGCTAGCGGGAAACTGAACCCACAAAAAGTAAATTCGCATGATTAGCATATCTAATGGTAATTTTGTCATTCTAGGCTTTCATGAGCGGAAAGCTGAAGGTAAAGGGCAATGTTATGCTGCTCCAGAAACTCCAGGCAATTCTAGACAAGAAGAGAAAGGCGAAGCTTTGATATGCCATTACCTCGGACAGTTGCTTATTTGTAAAATGATTCAGTACTTTTAATAAAGCAGCAGCTCACGTGTCGGAGTTTTATACAATGTGTTAAAAAATAAAATGTAACACGAATTAGTAGGCTCTAGGGTGCAGATGAAAGTTATAAAAATTATCCCAACTTTTTCCATGGGCTATCAAGGCTCCCAGCGCGAGACTACTCGCTGAGAAACTTGGAAAAGGTGAGAAAAAGCAAACTTTTGATATAGTACTCTCGCATAAATTATGCGATCCATATTCAAAGCAAGCCAACATGAACAACAATATTCTTGTTGGTAGTGCGTGAAGCTGTAGAAAGCTTTATTCAGTGCTCAACTCACTTTCCTTAAAATGACATTTTATAAAGTAGCTAAAGCCTTCTTGATATCAAACCATGGCATAGATCAAACGTTTAACCTGTAGTAACTTGCGTTCAACACTGAGAATTTTAAAGCTGAATCATCCGGCTAAGAATCTCTCATTTGTGCAGCTATGTACAGCGGCAATCACGGACGGTGCACTTCAAATATGTATCAGTTGGAATTACTTTGTTTCATAAACGAATTTTCCAAGGAATTTCATCGATGGCCAGCACCGCTTCAACCGTGTCTCCTGCATGTTCATCCATATTTTGAGCTTTTAGATAAAAATGGTTTCTGAAGCTGTCAGATAATGTTAAACAAACTTTTAGATCATGCGTCAAGCTTCTGAAAATACTCTTGACAACAACAAAATACGATCGAATTTTGTGATGTGATAGAGTTTATGGACAAATTTACCGTTATCTGCAAAAAATTTCATTTTTGAAAACAGCTTATGAATAACGGAAGATATCCGCAATGGTGATTCATAAACTGACATTGAGCATGCTTCAATAATAGATGAAGAATTTGCCATTAGTATAGCATGAATACTTGCATAAGAAGCTGGTATCATTTTTACGTAAGCATTCGCGCAAGCAATCTTGCACCCGTTCGCTAGGTTGGCACTGTAATTTTTTTGAAATTCGAACTTAATGTGAAAAATCAAAATCAAAATCATAAAAATCAAACCTCGTATGAAGCACGCGGAGTGCATAGCAGCAGAAGAAGAATGAAGATTGCTTTCAAGTACAGCATGGTGACACCAGATATCTAGAATAAAGTTTTTTACAAATATCAAATGAAAAACAAATCAACGAGAATCGAAACCCTTGTAAGAATAATCCTGTTGAGCTAAGACGCTGCTAGTGTTGTTCTGTATGCGTAAGATTTCTTTATATATCAATAGATTAGAATTTGTTGTGGTATTGAATCACATATTTTGCTTGAGCAATAATCATTACGTGCCCTACGACATTTTCTCAATTATCGGATCTAAAGGGCGCCTAAGATTTCTTGAATTCATAAACAATGATGAATGCATTCTACGTTTGGGTGCCTTTTTTCATACTGTCATGAAGCGTGCACCAGAATCCAAATATGAATTTTGCAAAAAAATTTTACAAACGATTCTTATTGGCTCGCATAAGTGAAAAGCCCCACAAGTGCGCTGTTTGTTCGATGATAATTCTAATGATAAATCTTCTGTCCAGGTGATTATTGCGGGATTCAGTTACCATATTCTACTTCTAGCTCAATCCTTATGTTTAGGAATGCAGCGGAATTTGCTACGAAGTATCATCCTGATAAAACAGCAGCCATCTGATTATTTTTCGGATTTTCCTGTAAGACTATCGCACAAGATGACACAATAACAGGCAATGTGCAGCAGCTAGTCCTTCCTGGCCGTAGTTGCCATTTTTTTGTTTTCACTGACATAAACTCTCTCGATGCCTCACACTAATCGTACAGCAGTGAGAAACGACTTTTCGTGCTCTTTGTACCGTAAATGTATCTTATCTTCAACCTATTCGATTTTAGACTTGCTCGTCTATGAGATCTTGGACAGATATCAAAATTCTTAAAAGAAAAAAAATTTCTGGTTAAGATTTCCACCAAGTCACTTATGCGTAGATCAACTATAAGTAGATAATTCTATTGAAGGTGACCTTACTTGAATGTTCCAAACTTATACACACCATAGAATGCGACGTAATATTCTCCATCTGGAATTACTATTTGATTTTTTGTTGAATGAGAAAACGAGCACCTATATGTAAGTAGACTGATCGGCTTCATGATAAGCATGGTTTCAAAGGTTTTGGAATCAAATGTTCACGTTGACACGACTATTAGAACTCCTTCAATACTGTATTCTCTCGTGTATAGTGATAGGAGATCAACTTTGTTTATATGTACCGAAGTGTATGGGCCACGAACATCGTTTGCAATAACATGTTCGTTGGGAGCATTAAGGATGGATTGAGCTGCCATTGACAGCTTTGTTCAGTGCTCGTGTAATGGTTCATAATTCATTCCGGACGTATATCGCAACCGCCCTTAGGGCGTGCTTTCTTCAAGGCGTCCATCGTGGAGCGCATAAGCAGAGTTAGGATTGAGATAGCCTCAGATAGAGCATTATGCCTGCTAATGTGATAAAATTGTTGATCTGACTAATTCCAGAGGAAGCAAATTTATGCAATTGCTGATGATCCTCATTGTTCCCCTATGCACTTGAATCACATTCCTTCAATGAGAATTTGTTGCAATTTTTTATGTCTGACTCATAAATTCTTCTATAAATTACCCGTTTTAAGTAACATATGTTTATTTATCACCAAATCACATTGAACAAAGATTGGGAATGGCACAGCAGCCACGTCATCTAGAAACATCGCCTGTACGACAAATTTCAGAACCTTGCAGCCAAGACAGCTTAGACATGTTGCACATAATTGCAAATACACAATCAACGCTGTGATCACGCAAAGTGGTAAACGCTTATCTCTCGGTTTACTATGTGGTGGCGTAAAGAAAGAAAGCCACTGTTACCGTAGCGGTTTCGCCGTCAATTTTTTGGAGATCGCCAGTGGAAAACTGAGCCCACAAAAAGGAAATCGGTGATGGCTTTTGTGTAAATTGACAGAAAATCTTTAATCAGGCATTCTTGTACTTGTTTCTACTTGAATGACAGCTTTTCAACTTGGATTTTAGTCCCTCATCGAAGCATTGAAGCCTGAGTACGTGACTCTTGACCGTATACCTTTGTCACGAGTCATTCAAAGAAAGTGGCAAAGTCTTTGAAGCTGGGGCGGGATGGTAGGGAACATGTAGGTTTTCCCTGAATCATCTTCGCGAGATAATCCGCGACTCAAAATGAAGGTTTTTTAGTGAAGTATTAGGTTGTTACATAAGTCTTGTTACACTTAAATTCTTACGGCGATAAGTCAAGCACCTCACATTCTTTACAGGGCTCCAGGGTACCATTCGATAGAGCAAAGCAAGCTCTACAAGATAGTGTGCAAAAGTTCGCACCAGCTCCGACCCACCGTAAGTTTGCACCCAAATCTGAGTCGTACTAAAGGCTCAAAAATCACGAAAAATTCATATCTTCGCTCAAAAAATTCTACAAACCTCCAACTTGCTCATAAAAATTGCGCACTATATCAGACACTCATATGCACCGTTGCTGTATTTTTTCCTCATATAGAAATCGAGAAAACGAAAGTTTTCTTGTTTTCACAAAAACAAAGCTATGCTGTTTTTATTCATGTAGCTATATACTACAAGCCCTTAGAAGTATAACCGTAAATTTTTAGCTTTCCAGAAGCCTTAGTTTTCGAAAATTACCTAATTTAGCATTGAACTTCCGAGCGAAAAAAGCTAAATTCGGTATTTTTCGAACATTAGGGCTTCTGTAAAGCTGAAAATTTACGGTTATACTTCTAAGGGCTTGTAGTATACAGCTACGTAAATAGAAACACCATAGCTTTGTTTTTGTAAAAACAAGAAAACTTTCGTTTTCTCGATTTCTATATGAGGAAAAAACACAGCAACGGTACGTATGAGTGTCTGATATATTGCGCAATTTTTATGAGCAAGTTGGAGGTTTGTAGAATTTTTTTGAGCGAAGATATGAATTTTTCGTGATTTTTGAGCCTTTAGTACGACTCAGATTTTGGAGGTAAACTTATAGTGGGTCGAAGTTGGTGCGAACTTTTGCACACTATCTTGTAGAGCTTGCTTTGCTCTATCAAACGGTACCCTGGAGCCCTGTAAAGAATGTAAGGTGCTTGACTTATCACCGTAAGAAGTTAAGTGTAACAAGACTTATGTAACAACCTAATACTATCGGACTAATGACAAAGTTATTCCTCATGCAATTGCTGAAGACCGTAATCATGGCTTTTTTGCTCTCGCTCAGGCCTACTTTTCTATACGCTTCAATTCTTTCAGTACGAGATAGCTGGAGCAAAATCACAGATATGAAAGATGCTCAGCACTTCGAAAATATGAAAGATCTCATGGCCGAACTTATGGGTGCGATGTCCGAGGTCGACAGTAAAAAAGTGAGTCTAGTCTGTTTCTAACTTGAGCCTTAGCTTTCTAACTCCACCTTTTCCCTGTCTGCAAAAAGAGACAAAATGAATTGGACGGAAAAATCCTTTACAGCATCCTGTAAATTCTACAGATTCTTACTTCTGAGAAAATTTCTAAATTCGATGAGATGTTCTTGTATATGTACTTATTTATCGTGCTGTCGAAGTGAGGTATGTAGGTATACGGTGGAAGATCTGGCATCACAAAAAATGTTTAAAGCTTTGCTTTGGCAATAATCCTTTTTAAACAAGTTCCATCACTCTGAGGTTGATTCCCAATTTTTTTACAGACGAAGGAGTACTGTAATTTCAGACGGAAATTGAGACTGATTCAACAAAAGCAACTGGTGAATTCCCTTCACATATCAAATGCTCTCCACTATTCAAAGAAATGAATGACGGAGTCAAATTATATGTATATGTGAAGTATTAGGTTGTGACATAAGTCTTGTTACACTTAACTTCTAACGGCGATAAGTCATACACCTCATAGTCTTTGCAGGACTTCAGGGTACCAACCGATAGAGCAAAGCAAGCTCTACAAAATGGTCTGCAAAAGTTCGCACCAGCTCCGAACCACCGTAAGTTTGCAGCCAAAATGTGAGTCGTACTGAAATTCAAAAAATCGCGAAAAATTCATATCTTTGTTTAAACAAATCCTACGGATCTCCAACTTGCTCATAAAAATTGCCCACTATATCAAACACTCATATGTACCGTTGCTGTACTTTTTCCTTATCTAGAAATCGAGAAAAAGAATTTTTTTTAGTTTTTACAAAAACGAAGCTATGCTATTTCTTTTTATGTAGCTGTATACTACAAGCCCTTACAAGTATAACTGTAAATTTTCAGCTTCCCAGAAGCCCTAGTTTTCGAGAAATGCCAAATTTGGCTTTTATCACTCGGGTGCTCAATGCTAAATTAGGTATTTCTCGAAAACTAGGGCTTCTGGGAAGCTGAAAATTTACAGTTATACTTGTAAGGGCTTGTAGTATACAGCTACATAAATAGAAACAGCATAGCTTCGTTTTTGTAAAAACTAAAAAAAATTCTTTTTCTCGATTTCTAGATAAGGAAAAAGTACAGCAACGGTACATATGAGTGTTTGATATAGTGGGCAATTTTTATGAGCAAGTTGGAGATCCGTAGGATTTGTTTAAACAAAGATATGAATTTTTCGCGATTTTTTGAATTTCAGTACGACTCACATTTTGGCTGCAAACTTACGGTGGTTCGGAGCTGGTGCGAACTTTTGCAGACCATTTTGTAGAGCTTGCTTTGCTCTATCGGTTGGTACCCTGAAGTCCTGCAAAGACTATGAGGTGTATGACTTATCGCCGTTAGAAGTTAAGTGTAACAAGACTTATGTCACAACCTAATATTTCACTATATATGTACAGGGTGCGGCAAAAGTCTGGGAGCCTAGTACTTTTTCGTACAAAACGAGAGCGGAAGTACCTAGAAACGAAAAATTTGGCGCAAACATAATTCAAACCATTGCAGATACAGCCCAGTTCTTGAATTGCAAAACTGCCTCTTTCGGCTTCCACGCAGCCCTACAAAATCTAGGCAAGTCCACCTGTCATGGCACGCAGGTAGTCGTAATGGAATTCCCCCCACGCCTTCACAACTACTGCTTCTTTTACCTTGGGAAATGTGCAGCGTGATAGAGCAAACTTTCGTCTACAACATACTTCCAAAGGAATTTTTTGCATTGCTTAGGAATAAAAATATTGTTTTTTCAATTAGAAGCATGTGTACGTCGCATACCGGAATTTTGGCTACAATTGCGCGAATAAAACTTAGAAATATCGCTTAGAAAGTATAAAAAGTGTTCCCATGGCCAAATTTCAACAGATTTTAATTTAGAAGATGTATGCAAAAAATACAGTCTTGGTCGCAGTGCCTGTTGAGCATTCTATAGCTTTTAAATTTGTTCTGAAGACGGATTTTCACTGGCACGTAGGTAACATTCGCAACTTTTATTTCCCGTTCATGCAAGAACAGGTCCTGGCAAAAGCAAAACTAGGATACAATAGCGCAAAGCCTCTTCTATGTTGTGTGCATCGAAGTTTTGTAAAATATCAACAGCATCTCTAGTTACAGCAAAAATTGTAAATACCAAAAATTCTGATTTTTCGCTTTGCAGAAGTACAATTTGGTAATTTCCAATCTTACAAAAACAGGTGGCAGCCATTTCTAGCCAAATAAAGTGTATTTTAAGAGGATGACCGCAGCATCATGTGGCCTAAAATTGATATCAAAACCATCAGTATCTTTGTAATTGCAGTACTGCAAAGTTAGGCTCCCAGACTTTTGCCGCACCCAGTATGTACTTCTATTATCCAAACGATCACAGTTCAATTCTAAGAAGATTCCGCTTCGGTAAAGAATGTCAAAGCCATCGTTCGCTATATTCTGATTGACGGAACTAAAGAGCTTGAAAAATTCAGTAAGCTGAAATATTTTGGCAGTATTTCGAATATATTGATGAATTCTAGCTCTCGACTTCAGGAGCGCGTCTCCATCTGTCTACTATGGTGACGCGAATGGAGAGCAAGCCACTGTTACCGTGACTGTAGCCGACAATGACTTTTTGGAGATTGCTAGCGGAAAACTGAACCCACAAAAAGTAAATTTCTGATACATATTTGACCTTGATTTGACGAAAAAATTTCGTTCTAAGCCTTCGTGAGCGGAAAGCTGAAGGTAAAAGGCAATGTGATGCTGCTCCAGAAACTCCAGGCCATTCTAGACAAGAAGAGAAAGCTTTGATCTGCTATTACCTTAGACACTTACCTATTTATAAATGACCAAGTACTCCTAATAAAGCAGCGGCTCAGGTGTCGGAATTTATGGAATGTGTTGTAACATAGAATGTAAGAAAAATTAATGAGTTTCAGGATGCAGAAGAAAGTTATATAAAATATGGATTATATGAAAATGGGAGAGAAAAAAAAACCAGCTTTCTTTCCATGGGCATCTCAACTGGGGAAAGACTTTGCCTCTCTCGGAGAAACTCTCATATTTCATCCATCTCAAACCATGGCAGTAGATCAGACATTTATCTCACCTAGTATTTAGTTCAGAATTGAGAATTTGAAGCTGAGTTATTTAGCCATGAATCTATCACTTGTGCAGCTACTCTTAGCAGCAATCACAGAGGCTGCACATAAAATATGTATCAGTTGAAGTTTCCTCGTATTCATAAATGATTTTTTCACAACACTTGGCCAGTATCGCTTTAAGCGCAATTCTTTCACGTTTATCGACAAAATCTGAGCTTTCAAAAAACCCTGCTCAGACTGCAGCTACATTCATACGTGCAAATGAAATTAAGCCAGGTGTCCATCATGAATATAAAACCTTCTGATAATACTTGTGATAAGAACAAAAAGTACTTGTTGTGATACACAGACGTGTTGAACGATTTTATTTTCACTTGTAGGAGCTTCTTCTTTTCGGGGAACAACTCCGCATAGGTAACGGAAATATCAGTATGGTTTCCAGATTTCTTTTTCGCACTTTTCTTTACAGGCCCGAACAGTCTTATGAGGACGTGTGGCCAGGCAATTGTCGACGCACTCATTCACCAAATCGTGTTAGGTAGGCACGCACTATAATTCGATTTAAAGTCGAGGTTAGTGTGGACATACGAGTCAAACCTCGTGTGAAGGACGTAAGGCGCAGAGCAACAGAAACAGGATGAAAAATTGCTTCAAGAACAGCATAGTGACCCTAGATAACCTAGAACAAAGTTTAATCTCTCGAATCTCACATCAGCTAAGTTAGACACATCAACAAAGATCGAAACCCGTGAGGAGATGAACCATGCGGAGCTCAAGCGCTGCACAATATTTCCGGGAGCTCTTTATATATCATTTGATTAGAATTTGTTGTGGAACTGAATCACATTTTGCTTGAAAAATATCATTCCCGAAATTTCCTTATTTAACAGCATTATAGACGCTGAGGGGTGACTAAGATTCTTCGAATTCAATGAATTTCAGTGATGAGTGCATCCCATGTTCTGGCCGCTTTCATACTGTAGTGAAATTTGCAGGAGTCGAAATATGGATTTCGCAGAAAAGATTATACAAACAATTTCCATTGGCTCACTTAAGGGCCGGGCATACTTCACGCGATTTCAGTCGCGATGCGATTTGGCAATATTCCAACTGTCCATAAATCACTAAGGGCACATTTTAAATGTACAGAACATAGGGCGTTCTATCAATCTAGGTAAGTTATACACACTATGCATGTGCAGTCTGCTAGCGTTGGATCCGAAGAGTTATGGCAAATTGCCAAATTGCGTCGCGACTGAAATCGCGTGAAGTATGCCCGGCCCTTTAGACGAAGAGTACCAAAAATGCTTTGGTCGTTGATAGCTCCCCTGTGCATCTACAGATACCTTGACTCAAATTTACAGCACAAGTGAGTCATTTATCACTATTTGTGTCCATGGGATTGTAGCGGGAATTTAAAAGCAGGTAGCAAGATTGTAGATACATATATGTAACTCAACCTGAATTAGAAGGAGTCAGCAAGCAAGCAAGCAAACCTTCTATTCAGTTATAGTGCCATGCTTTTTGTCAGCTCAGTAGGCAGAAATCTTCTATGGCAGCCAGCATTCTTTTCAAATTCTCGAACAATAGATACTACCATTTTTTTTGCTGCTTCATGACTAGCGATCCCATTGAGTCAAGCAAGTTACTTTTAAAATGGGTAGGTAACATGTATTTTCAAGACGCTAGACATATAATAGGTGAACTCAGCTTTCTTAGCGATGCACCTGTAAGAATACTTTGGTTATTTATTCGGTTCTTTGGATATATTCAAGCTGCTGCAGTATGAAGGAACAAACCTAAGCAGCACCATTCAGAGTAGTCAAGCAAGAGATGATTCTCACTCCATGACCATAAATTTCAGTGTCGACTCAAGATATACATTTATCTCTTTGCGCTTTCGCTTTGGGATGTGTGGAGGAATATATGACAGGTCTATAACGCAAACAACGTGCAAGAAAAAGTTTTTCAAAGTTTATTTATTCTACTGCAAACTTCGCTCCAAAAATAAATGCACTCGATATTGATAGATATTGCGGTGAACATAATTCATTTTATACTTTTCGTTCTAAGCTTTCAAATTCTGCCGCTCTATTATGCCTCGCAGAAAATGAATGTTTGTAAGACTACAGCCACACCATCGGTACCGACTGGTGTCCGTTTAAGCTCTCTAATTCTTCATAAACAATTCAGTTGCCCCCTTCATTAAATTTCTCTCTTGGTTGGCCAATATTTACTGGAGCAAAGAACACTGTGGAAGTTCGCCATTTGGTTCCTAGCAAAAAACTATAATGGAGGAGCTTTATATGTTTCTTATTATTATGACAATTTATGAGAAGCGACAAAATCAGCTCCTTCTGCTATTACTGCATATTTCTCTGCTACATGCTTGGAGAAATGGACATTGTGTAAACAGGCTGACTCGCTTTATGATAAGCATGGTTTGGATGCCTTTGATTTCAACTGTCTACTCTAACATGGCTGATAGAACACCTCCTTCAGAGTGTCGTTTCGTATCTATTCTTAAAAAAGTAAAAATGTTTAATTCCTTAAGTATAATTGCGTGCGAGCCACGAGCAACCGCTTGTGGTCCACACACAATCTATTATAGCAATCCACGTTCTGAATCCAAATGCACCATTCAACTCAACTCCATGAAATACATCTTCTAATACAAAATACGAAAGTGCCTGTTTTGGCACATCGGTCAAATTCCAAGAATTTTTTCTTACAGTTTCTGCTTACGATAGGTTAATCGTTGTGCAATGATCGAGACTCTGAGTAACCTACTGTTGGCAAGAAACTGGAAGGACTGTGAAATTTGACTTGTACTAGTGTCCAAAGAGGCACATCTATACATCAAAAGATGCATCTCGAGCTAAGTTGATTGGTGGTTTTGTATTCAGAATACCCTGGAGCAAGATATGGCGATGTAACCTGAAGTTCGGAGTACTCGGCGGAGTGATTTGAATTTCTTCATAAATAACGAGCAGCATTGTATGCATTGACCTATTGACAGTGGCGGTCGGCAAACTTTTGTTCGCAGAAAGGGAGGGGGCGAGAAAGCAGTAATAATTTGTTGAACTGGAAGGAGTGGAGTCGATGCCTTTAAACATCCAAGAAAAGTTAATGTTCTGCTTCACTTACAATTTAGTTAGCTTCTCTTTGATTTGTCTTCTTTATAAATGTCTGAATTAGAAACTTTGCTTTTGAAATATGTATCAGATGGAGTTTCTTCATTTATAAGCGATTTTTCTAACACAGTTTTATGGATTGCTAATTCCGTGCCAACCGGGGCAATTGTACGTTTATCGACCTAGGTTCTAAGCTTTTATTTGCTCTCATATGTGCAATTAGTTTAGGTCAACGTTTTGGTCATGCATATAAACTCTATGACAATGCTTTTGTAAGAACAACAAAGTCCGAATTGCACAAGTTGTGATACATTTTTTGGATTACAAATTTATTGTTACTTGCAACCTTATCGTTTTCACAGGTAACTCAGCAGGAACATTGGAAGAAATCCTTGAATTTTTCCCCAAAACTTCTATTCGGCTTATTGCACCTGGTCTTGCATTCTACCTTTCGGTTTTTTCTGCCGCACTGTAATTCAACCTAAAGTTGAAGTTGATCTGGGATATGATCCAAACCTCGTATGAAGTACGTAGAGTGCATAGCAGTAGAAACAGGACGAAAATTTGCTTTAAGTACAGCATAGTGACTACAGATAATCTAGAACAAAGCTTATTTAATCGAATCACTCATTCGATTGGTCAAACACGGCAACGAAAAACAAACCCTTCTGAAAATAATCCTGTTGAGGGATGCGTAGCAAGCGTGCCCGTGAATATGTAAGTGTTCCTTATACAGTTCCTTATATATCATTGGATTCTATTTCGTTGTGATAACAAATTTCTGAATCACATATTCTGAGTGTACCATAATCATCCACGGCATTTTCTCACTTATAAACATTATTCTGCAACAAATTCTAAATGCTAATGCAATTTCAAATGCTAGGACTAAGGTTTTTCAAAATCATCAAGAATGATGAATACACGACCTACATATGTTAGGGTGTCGCTTTCCAGACTTTTCGTGCACAGAGTCGAGATACGGATTTTGCCACAGGCATCTTTATAGGAGGTCCTTATTGTCCCAAAAATCTGTTCAAATGTAACGCTATTAATTTCCCTTACTCTATGACTATTGCAAATATTCAAGTACCATAATGAAGGTCATTGTGGGACCACAATGGAATTTCTAATAAATTGGGCCATGATCGATAGTTGCCATATTTTGAAATGCTTGGAAATATTTGCTAGAATTATATCGCATTGTATCGCACAAGGTGTTTTCATTAAAAGACCTTTTGCTCTGCTTTTTGGAACTGCTTACGTGGTACAAGTGAATTTTTTAAAACGTTGTTTAATTCCTGATGCAACTTTTTTATGTAAAACCAATTTCAAATATAAAATCCAGAAATGCCACTCACTTTTATTCGATACTCCTAATCATCGCAAAATTTCGCGATTCTCAGCAACAGAAATCCTTTCTTAAATTTTACCTAATCTTGCAGCACTGAGAATTGACTGGCTATTGTTTTCGTACTGTAAATGTAGCAAGATAGCTTCAAGTGTGGTACCCTAACAGTCCAAGAAAGCAGTTGTTACAAAAAAAATTGTTAGCAAAACGAGCGTATTCACAAATCTCTACTCTCTCACGGAAATTCTATGAAATTTTTTTGAGTTTCAGCCTATTTCCGCTCAAATGCCAGAATATCTTAATTAAGATCTATAAAGCAACTTAAAGTGGGAAACCACAGCATTATTGTGTTCTTCTTCATAGCTTTAAATCTTTGCTTGTGAGATTCTGAGCCCTCATCGTCATTGCATTTGGTGAAAGGATGCCCCTTGCCTTCTTCAATCAAAAACAAAAAAATCAAATTCATCAAACAAACATAGTGTACAGTACATTGCCAACTGAAAACAGTAACCGAAAGCAAAAGTTTGCGTCTCTGATATTGCTTTTTCAATGCAATTTCAATAACCTTTTGATTTTTGTTTCAACCAGATCATCAAGAGAACTGTGCCTACCGCAGCACTTTTACATTAGTATGTACTTACTTTAGAAATCAGCGCTCTACTTCTACGCTTTGAGATAATCATCTGAATCAAAAAAGAAAATGTTTATAAGAGCATAGGTACACCAACGGTACTTATTAATTTCTCTCAAAGCTTTTGGTATATGCAGTTCAGTTTCTTTCTGTTTTGCTTCCTAATACGTCCTTCAGTCAGCAGAAATTACAGACTAGCAAAAAATCAGAGAACCATTGTAGAATCTCACAATCCATATCCATGAAGATTTTATTAAGAAAGTGATAGTTTGCCTCGGATGAAAGGTTGCAAATAACACTGTTACTAAAATAACTAGCTGCTTCTAGTATCACTACTCAGTTTGTGGTACCTGCTCAGAGCAATGAACATTAAAAATAGGTTTATTCCATGATAGGCCTGGTCTAAAAGACCAAATGTTTACGTTGATACGGTCGATAGAACACCTACGTGACAATATCTCTCCGTGTCTATTTATCAAAGTAACATTGCCTTATTTCACCAGTACTTTAGAGTATGAGCCACGAACAACCGTTTGTGGAAATATATTTGCTGAAAGATCTAACGCGTAGGTTTCTTGGTGACGAATAAGATGTCATTGACAGTGCTTTTCAATGCTTATTTAACGCCATTACAATCATTTCAATTTTATATCGCATTTATCCTTGTCATTGAGGCACTTCTCCAAGATTTCCTTCTCCTTCGTGACTTGCTCGTTCGTCTTCTCTATGGTCTCGTCCACTTTAGGTATACACTATAAAACGTAACAATGAGGTCATTCAAGGTGCAAAGATGAACTGAACTCCATAAGCATGTGGAGCACATAGCAGGAGAAGAATAAAGATTAGATTCAGGTAAAGCATCGTGACTGATGATCTGAAACAAAACGGTTACTTTGATTGGTTAAAAAAAAGCATTGACTTGTATGAGGAGTTATAGGTTTCCGAACATTCGGTCCTTAGAACTCCACTCAATTGCAAATGTACAGTTCCTGAGAGGAGAAAGCGTTGCATTGGCAAGATATTAGCCTTGAACGATGATTCAAACCACAAAGCCTTTATACTGCTGCTGATGTCGTCTAAATAACATTCTTTCAGTAGATTTTGTTTTGGTCCTATATGCCTGAATCACGAATTTTTCTCAAAAATTGTCCTGATGTATTCATTGATATTTCTTTGTTTAGAAACGATTACCTCCAACGAAAACTTGCAAATATCGTCATCCAGAAATAACATCTCTGACAAACGAATCGAACTTTGCAAATGTTGTACAAAACTACAGACGCACGGATTCAATAATGCAAAGTAATCTTTTTCCAGCAGATCTGATAAAAAGCGAGCATCTGATAAATTGGATACTGCAATGCTCAGCTCATGAATTATGCCGTCATCTCAATGTTTCAAGAAACAACACAGCATGAATAACGAACAATATTCTTGTTGGTAGCACAATTCAGTTCTCATGTGAATTACGTCTCATTGAAAAATGAATTTTGTGAAATCGTATGTCTAAAAACTTGGTAGTGTACAAGTGGCAGCGATAGCAGGTAAAGTTCTGGTCTAGCTTGTGCAATGGATTGTAGTTAAGCTGAAATAAAACTGCTAATCTGGGTGCGTTAAGGCAGCGGCTCGGCAGAATGACAATTTTGGGATATTCATCGTTCTTGACCCTTAGTTGAGCTGAGTCTGAATCTATGCCTTGCAGCTTTTAAAGATATCAATAACTCGCTTTCCCGGACTGAAAAGTGCTGTTTGGGCGGGTCGCGAAAGTGGCTGCTGGAGCCAATCCAATTGCCGCCGAGATGGGTACGGTGTCTCCACTCACGAGCCAATCGCGCTCTAGAGGTTAGACTTACGCCGTTCGCCTAAATGGCACTTTTCACGTCTGGGAAAGCGAGTTAATGATATCTTTTGAAGCTACAAAGCACAGTCTTGGTCTTGCTGAATTCACTAACTTATTTGAAACTTATGACGCATTTCACCAGAGTAAGTGCGACAGTGTAGGAAATGCGGAGCTCTTTTTTTCAACACTGAAACTGTTTTCACTCGTTGAAATCCTATATCTGAACTGAATTTATATTGTTGCGATCCTGTAGACTTGGAAAGCCTAAATTACATGTTTTCATGTAAATTGATGTTTTCTTGACATTCCTTAGTTATACGTTTTATTTTAATTTTTTAACGGATCGCAGAAACTAGGCATTGTAATCAGCATACTCAGGGCATGACACTGTAAGCACCATGGACGTTGCTGCAGCTAAAGCACCGTAACTCCAATTTAGAGCACAACTGCTGTGTGTATTATTTGTCACTGTAGCTAAACATAGTTGCGAGATTTATAGATAGAATAATCCTGTAAAGCTGAAGCATTGTAAGCAGTACTGTGGCTAAGGAGATTTGGAATGGGTGGTCCAATAATGTTATCTGGAGCAGTCATCCGAGCTATAAAAAGCCATGGAGATCAATTTATTATTTTTCGCTGGTTATACGGTAGCAGTTGATCCCTTAAAATTTCCGCTGACTTCTTTCTTCGTTTGGAGAATACGGTAGCTCGATACAGCACGCGGTAACACAAGTATTCTAGAAGTCAAATTAAGCGTAAATATTGTCATTCCCGTTCCAGTTCACAGACACTCCGCTACTCTTTTAAGGGAGTCTCATCTAAAGGAGTTATTCTTTCTCGATAGTAAATATGCCGTCAAAGCGATGTGTACCCTGAAAAATATGAAAAGAGATCCTTATTGTCCATCCACATCTAGGCTCTCTATTTGGATTTTTCTCTTTGTAGAAATCTAAATTTTCCGGAAGGGCAAACAGCAAACTTAGAAAAGGTTTTCTGTTGCACACAATCTTCTTCTAAGGGCAGCCTATTCCTTTTCAACGGCAGCTATAAAGAAATAGTTGGTGGTTTTGATGATTTTTTTTGGAACTAGTATATTTAGGGCGATTTCACCAAAGAAATGTCAGTTGCAGAACAATTAGAACAATCTCAAGGAATAACTATTTGCTTGCTCGCTAAACAAATTCTGAACTGTGCGATGTGAAGTTGCTCATATAAATGCAAACACGGTCAAAACTTTGTTTCGCATACTAGCGTATATTTGAGATACTCGCATTGATAAAAAACGAAGACATTGGATTTTTGATACACTGTGGTGTTGGGCATGAGATTGGGATCTCGTTTCGAAACGTTTCAGTTCAGATATTATGGACCGGAATAGAACTGTTTCAGTAATGCGTAAGTCACTGACAATGGTTTATTCAATTCTTATGCAACAGCAGTTTACTTAGTCAGGTTCCTTTTTTGTCCATTCAAGGATTCCAGCCGATGGTTCCAGTTACGATGGCACTGCAAGAGGTACGATGGCGATATCAAATGTGAAAGGTTGAACTAACTCCGTAGTTTGCAGGTGGAGAGCACAGCAGCAGAATCAGTATGAAAAGCAGCTTCAGAAGGAGCATCAAGGCTTTTGATCTGAAAAAAAAACATTTTCTTAGCTGGTTCCAGGAGAAGCATTGCGACTCCAGTCAACTGAGTGAGGGTATAATTTTCTTTAGCTTCTCTTCATGAGAGTTGCATACTGCGAACGTATAGTTTTGAAGAGAAGAGGACATATAGAGTACTGGGGCATTGGCAAGATACTAGCAGAGAACGGTAGAAGCCTTATAAACACTTGCCGATGTTTCTTGTTATTGTTCTAAAACGTCTCAAATTCTTTCAATTAGATTTGTTTTGGTTTTAAATGAGTCACGAATATTCCACATACATTACCTTGATATTTTCAGTGGCATTCACTTGTTAACAATTTCACGTTAAACAAAAATTCTGCAAATGGCCGACACAGCAACGTCAGCTGAAAACGCTTGCACGCTCATCAAATGAGATTTTGAAAGAAAGGGTACGCCAAAAGAAGCTGAGGTTTGCTACTCAGCATAGCCCCAGAATGACAAGAATTTGGGAGGCGATATTTTGGGGGAGGCTGCCTTTAATCTGAAATAAAACTCCTATTTAGGTGCGCTAATCGGTCGTATATGAATTTAGTAAGTTATATGAGACTTACAAGGGAAGGATACTTGGTCGAATTGGCGTTTCTATACGAAATGTACACTGTCTTATAGAGCAGAAATCGCTGATTTCAATCTTCTTACCTTATCTGCAAAGCGCTTGTGGGACGGGAGTTACGAGAATTTTTTCATGCAAAAATTCCAAAAGCGTGGCTATAATAAAGTCATTCAGAACTTTGATCCACGAGCTCAATGGGGCCGTGAATATTACCAGAGCCTTTCATGCAATGAATACCTTCAATCTAATAAACTCATATCAATCATTACTCATTTCAAGTGTCAGAAAGATCTCAACGCTTGTTTTCATCTTAGCAAATCATTGAATTTTTACCTCAGAAATTTCCCACAACTCTCCTCCAAGAAGCGCTTTGCAGATAAGGAAAGCAGATTTGGAATCAGCGTTTTATGCTCTATAAGAATGTATACATTATGTTTCGAAACGCCGCTTCGAGCAAGTATCCTTTCCTTGTTAGAGCTGACGCATTTCACTACAGTAATTGCGGCAGTGTAGAAATTGCATAGCTTTTTTAGCGCTGGAACAGTTTTCACTCGTTGAAATTCCGTCATTTGAATTGAATCTTAGTTGTTGTATTTTGTAGAGTTGGTAAGCCTAAATTACATATTCATATGTGAAATGGCGTTTTTTGACGTTCACTAAGTTATAAGTTTTATTTTTTTTCACAGATCGCAAAAACTAGGCATCGTAAACAGCATGCAGAAAGCATGACACCGTAAGCATCATCATGGAGATTGCTGCAGCTAAAGCACAGTAAATCCAAAATTCAGAGCACAGCTGTTCTTTAGATTATTTGCCAGTGGAACTAAACATAATTGCAGGTTTTATAGATAGAATAGTCCTGTAAAGCTTTTTCAATGTACACAATACTGTGGTTAGAGGAGAATTGAGATGCGCGGTCGCAATAAAGTTATCCAAAACAGTCATCCGTGCTTTTGAAAAGAGCCTTGGTGATTCGTTTACTATTTCATCACTGGTTATATTAGGTTGTAACTCGAAATGCTGGTTCACAAAAAAAATTACGCTATCTCAGAAAACTGTGCATATTATTCTGAAAGCACTCTTCTTCTACTTTCTTAGGCATGGTTTCGTTTCAAAAGGAGTGGGTTCTTTGGGAATTTCCGTGCTTCTGAAATCAAGAGACTAATTCCTGAAAAATTCTCTTTTTACCTTTTTGCTCTAAATCCACCGCGAAGAGCCGAGATTTTTTGCAAACTAGCGCAATGTTTGAAAGTGTTCTGTGCTACAATATACACTTCGAAGCCAATTTTTCAGAAGTTTTCAGAATAAGAAATTTCATCTCATGCTCAAACAACGCTGCTATCATTTTGCGGCGTATAAAATTCCTAAGCGCGAAGCAATTGCAGAGCTTTCGCCATGTACAGAAAGAATAAGCATAGAACATTTGATAGCAGAAAAATCGCTGCTGTTTTTCTCTCTAACGGCTAGAAAATTTTAAAAACCAGCAAGAAGGCACTTTTTCGCTTTTTCAGAGCAATTGAGAAGAATGAGCAATTACAAACCTTTTGCAACATTTTTTGGCTAAAGCTTTTTCGTAAAATGCAAGCTTGACGTTGTTGCATAAGCGACTATTGTCTACATATTGAGTGAGATTTATAGCATTCTACTACATTGTTAAGTAAGTTATGTCCTCTCAAAATGAAGGTTTTAGAAAAAAACTACTGACAGTCTTCGGCGTATAGAAATTTTCTTAGTGAATCTACAATGACATTGTAATGCGTACTAAATTGTTAAAGGTCTGCTGATTGCAAAAACTTTTTTTGAAAAAAATTGGTTATTTATGTAAAAAGTTATAGTAATTCAAATTCAAAGTTGGAGAACCTGCATTAATTCTGTTACAACCTAATACATTAGCAAATGATTCCTTCCAACTTTCGGCTGAATTTTATCCTTGTTTGGAGAATATGGTAGCTCGAAGTTACAGCACGAAAATAACACAAGTATTCTAGTCTTATTCTAGTCTAGTATTCTAGTGAAATTTGGCGTAAATACTATAGTTAGTACGGATATTTTTCGAATATTAGTACTCGACTGGTTTATTCGTACTAGAAAAGTCGAATATTCAGTATGTGCATTTATTTGATTATTCGAGTGGTCGAATAAATGAAAAACACCTTTACTCGAATATTTTTTTATTCAACGAATCGAGAAAACTTCCTGAATATCTAACATTTCTAGTTCGAATAAATCATTTAAACACGAATAATCAAAAACTATTTGGTTCTAACTTTGGTAAATACAAGGTGTCCTGAATAATGTGCCTATTGTTTGATTGTTATCACTTGTCATGAAATCCTTCAAAAGGCTCCAGGTACCATTTTGTAGAGCTGGCGTCAACTTTAACTGCGGTTATGGAGCGAATCACCGATGCCCTTCATTAATGTAAAACTACGATAGGAACTTTCTTGGCATATGGCGTCAGTGTGAAAAAGCTGTCATTTCAAATAATCTCCAAAAATCCGAAAATTTGTGTAATAGGTTTTCCAAGCGCCGAGTTTGATACTCAACTTCGTACAAGGTCGTGAAGCTTCCTAAACGGTGTAAACCATTTTTTAACAACATCGAAAAAAGGCTGCTAATGCTTACCTGGCATAACTTTTTGAGAAAGGATTATAATGAGAAGCAAACTTCATATTCAAAATCAGCAGCTCTGACTATCCCACTGTGGGAGTCTTCAAGTGGTTTTGTTTCCTTTTTAAGCAAAAATCTGACCCTCCATGACTCAAAACCCTCCTCAAGGTTTCCACCGTAATTCCACAATAATGAAGAGACATGAGTTATTTGCCTTTATACTGTTAATCTAAGTAAAAGCCAACTCTACAAAATCGTACCCAGAGTTTTTCAAAGACTTCACGACAAAAGAGTTATTAACAATCAAAAAGTAGTCGCATTTTTGGGACCTCTGTATTATTGTACTCGTTCCAATTTACAAGTGCCATTTCACAGGTAAGGCTTACTCTTTTGAGGAAGTCTCATCCAACGGAGTTATTCTTTCTCCATAAAAGTAAATATTCCGCCAAAGTGTGCCCCAGAAAATATGAAATGGAATCCTTTATTGTCCATCCACATCTAAACTTTCTTTAGATTTCTGTCTTTGTAGAAATCTAAAATTTTTCATCGAAGGGGCAAACAGCAAATTTAGAAAAGGTCATCTAGTTGCACACAATCTTTCTCCAAGAGCACGCTGTTTCGTTTCAACAGCACCTAGTTATGAAAGAATTAGTTGTTCGTTTACACACTCGTTAAACAAGCTTCTGAAGCAATAGGATAAAGCTGCTCACATAAGTGAGCAAACACAGAGTCAAAACTCTTGTCACTTACAGAAGTGATTTTTTTTATCTTTCCTTGATACGAACAAATACTTCACTTTGTAGTATTGGGCATGAGCTTCCGGCTGAAATGATTCGTTCGAAAACAATTTGAATAGGATCAAAACTTTTTCAGTAATGCGTAAGTCGTTGACAATGCTTTATTCAGTGCTCATGTAACAGCAATTTACTTATTCAGGTATTTTTGTTTCTCTTCTAACAGCCGGTAATGGTGGTGGGGGTGGACACTGTAAAACTTTGTTTAGTTATCAAAAGTGCCATTTTTAACTAACTCCGTGATTTGCATGTGGAGCGCATAGCAGCAGAACTAGGATGAAGAGGAGTTTCAAATAGAGCATCACGGTTACTGTTAATCTGAAAAAAAGTTAATTCGATTGATTTCAGAAAAAACATTGCTGCTCAAGATAATCAAACTAAGTTGTAATTTTCGGAACTTCATCATGAGAATTACACTACACGTGTAAACTTAGAAGGAAAATCTATGCAAAACTGGTATGTGGCTTATTCGTCATGAACCATGAAAGCCTTTTAAACACTTGCCGATGTTTCTTGTTGTTGTCCCAAACGTCTGATTCAAATTCTTTTGACTAGCATTTCTTATTGCCCTAAACGTCTGAGTCATAAATTCTCCTTATGATTACCTTGGTATTTTCTGTGGCATTTCTTAATTAACTAACAATTTCACGTTGAAAGAAAATTTTGCAAATGGTCGGCACAGCGATCACTCATCATTGCTACATAAAAATCTCTTCATGTAACATTCTGAGTTTCTTGAAGCCAGCAATGATCATGTACAACAATTCTTGTCTGGCCACTAATTCCTGAGGGTGAGGTAGATTTCCCTTGCTCACAATTAAAGGCAGTGCCCGGTCAAATTTCTGAATGGAATCTTTTTCGCTTACCTGGGCTTATTCCTCCCGCTGATTCTGAAAATGCAGCTTGGAGGGCACGAAAACGTCGAAAATGGGATTTTCCAGAAGCTCTCGATTTGAATTTTGCCGCCTGCCGCCAAGGTTAAGACGCAGAGCCTT